GCACTGTGTGAAACCCACGTACGGGTTCAGCTCCATTTCTTCATCGAAGAAGTACGGGATGGTCGAGTGGAAGAAATCGGTCTGGAACTGATGGCGGGCATCGCAAATGCTGTAGAGGCAGGGGTAGTTGTCTCGCTCATCGTTGTACCTGGGCTGCCCGTTTTCCGATCCCCCGCTGAAAGTTAACTTTTAGTGGGTTAAGTGGAAATCCCCGTACCTGCGCTGCCCGTTTTCCCATCCCCCATCCCCCGCTACGTAGAAGTGTCTCACTTGGGTTAAATACGGAAATCCAACCGCGAACTGGATGGCTAAAAGGCGAAGGAAAGGGATGGCTCGGAACCAGCGAGGTACATATTCTCCGGTTTGTCCGCGTAGAGGCACAGGTAGTTCTCTGCAAAGTTCAGGCCCCCCGCTTTTCCGCGGCTGGTCCTGCAAGCCGACACCCACGCGCATTTGGCAGGGCTCCCGATATTTCCCCTTTCAAACGTCACCCCCACCAAGGGAGACTCACCTTTCATGGGCCAAAAAGGGGATGCTGAAAACGCCACAAAGGGAAATGTAGGAATCGACCTCTGTATTTTCTCCCCAACCCCTGCGGTGGCAAGACATGCTGTTGCAGCCAGGCATGAACAAAACCCAGGAAGCGGGACGCCTTTTTCATGGCCCGCGAGGCGCAGTCGCGAGCCACGCCTCTGAATTGGGTTGCACCCGGGGCCCTCTTGCAGGCCTCTTCCCTGAAGTTGGGTACATCCAACTAAGGGAGTACATGTTACTCACTCGCCCCCAAATGATGGACCTGGATATAAGAGGTGATCACCTTTTGGGGCAGAAAGGACATGGGAATCCAAAAATGGAAAGCAAAAAGCTCAAGTCAGGTCGATTCGCGAACTGGGGTTTAAAACGGTCATTGACCATCCTAGTGCTTTGAAGTCCGCGTTCTGGGGAAGGAAGCATGCACATTCCCGCTGGAAGAAAACCATTGTACTTGGTACTTTCAACCATTGCATGCTGTGCAAAATGGATTGCGCAACCATCCACAGTAGTGTCAAGTTTCATGGGGCCCTTTGGACACGATTTGCGGAAAAAAAGTCATGTCCACAAATCAGGTGACTCTTAACACTTCATGGCCGTGTGGATGAGGAAAACTGTGGCTTACCAACAGGGGTGGCATCGAAGGGTTGCAAGGTTAAACACATCTGGGGTCGTTTTTCCTGCAGAAATACCATGAAATACCTAGGTCCTCCAGATTTGAGACGTTAGAATGAAGGTACCATTTTTTTCTGTAGTCTAGTTAAGTAGGGGAACCCTCCCCCCAAAAAAGGGTAGAAGGGCACCACTGGGGGACCTAGATACATTCAACAAGGGCGAGCTTAGGGTGTCAGGTTGGTAAAACGGGAGGTGTGAAGGGGTGTGCAAAAGGCGATCCGTGATGTGGCCAACCTCACCCATCCTCACCCCGAGGTTTCATGCTTGAATACCCCGGCAAACTTAAACCGCCAGGTAGAACCCTTGGTATGGTAGCTGTGCTTGTGCAGCCCCCTACTTAAAAAATGAACAGAACCAAGAAACCTAAAAGAACCTAAACACATTCCAACAACAGCCCAGTGCTTGATTCGGCCAACCGAACCCCTGAACACGTTCGCATCTGCCCAGCTCTCTGGGGGGTACCGTCCCCATTCTGAACCCAGGGATCCGGATCCTAGAAAACCTCCAGAAACCCTGGGAAATCGGCCAGTGTTTGAAAAAAAAGGATGGCTGAAAAGAATGGAAAGGGAATCCTCCCCTAGAGGCTAAAACCAAAAAAACGGGAGCCCCCGCTAAACAAACTAAAAAATCCTCCCTCCCCAGCTAAACAAAAAAAAACTCTCCCCTCCCAGCGAGCGAGCAAGCGAGCGTCCTGAGCGGCACGTTGTTCATGAAGGCGTCGTCATCCTCCAGGCCATAGACCATCTCCCTGGCGTTGGCCCTGAGCCGCAGCCAGTCCTGGCGAGAAGTGCAGGAATCCTTACATGAAATACACCTGAACATAAGCCGCAGCCAGTCCTTGTTCTCCGCGTTCTGGGGCACCTTGTAGTACCTCACTGGGTTCGGGATTTCTTCTTCTGTTTTTGCTGGGTGTCAGCTTTGAGACAGAGACACAGGCAGGGACAGAGACACAGAGACACAGAGACACAGAGACACAGAGACACAGACACACAGACACACAGAAACACACACACACACACACACCTTTGCGGCTTACTGGCCCTATGCCCAAGCTACTGTGGCCAGTCAATTCTCGGCTGCTTTTTGCTCCCCCGCGAAAAGTGACTAACGTTTAGTGGTTTAATACGGAAAAAACAAGCCATTAGCTGGCCAAAAAATGTTAAAGTCCGAACATCCAAGTAAAATGCACCAAAGTATATACCAGGGTGTGTCATTTTTTTGGACACTCAACAAAATGGCTTCAAGGTGTCCCTTTAACAAGCCACAAACAAATGGGGTACCAACTCAAACAAGACACACCTATCTCTTTGTTTTGCTTTTGCTTGCGATTTCCATCATGGCTTCAAATGACACAACAAGGGGCCATCTCAATGGTGGGAGGTGTTGTGTTTTTCTCAAAAGAAGGCTGCCTGGAAACAATGAAGAATAAACTAACTTATGACCTCATGTTGCACCCCAAGGGAGTCTGATCATCATATAGACTCGGAACCCTTACAAACACCCCTGCGGAAAGAACATATAAACTAAAAAACACGTGGGAGAGGGCTTCCAAAGGCCAGTCTTGTTTGTCTTGCCCAGGTGGCATTTTCTTTTCACCCTTCCGGAACTTCAGCCCGGAGCCGCTCCGAACCACTCCAGAGCCTGTCTGGGCAAATACACCAAAGCATTCAGCGGGGAAAAGAGGTGCTTACAGTTTTTAAAAGCCGCCGGAAAAGCCAACTGAGCTGTCCTCAGATTCTATGCTAAAAGTTTAACTTTTCTTGGGTTTAATGGAACGCCCCACTAAACACTAAAAAGCTAAAAAGCTAAGAGGATGGCTGGGAGCACCAAGCTAAGATAAGCTTCTTCGGCGGAGTTCAGAGTTGAAGCTAAAGATGTGTCCTCGTTTCGTTCATGTTTCACAAAACCAGTCTAGATTACTTCAGGCGAAGCGTGCGCCTCGAAACCGAGAGATTTCTTCGCTAGAAGCGACAGGGAGAAAGATCCTTGGCCAAAATTCCTGAAATGGTCAAAATAGGTAAATACCCAAAACAGGTCGGGAGCTGGAAAGGACTAAGCCTGCGGGTTCTTTTGCTTGACCAACCTCCCACATATATCCCGACACCAAATTCGCGGTTGACAACTTGACCCAACCCCAAAAGATCCTGAAACACGCCCCTTGCTTTTGGAGGCCAGCTATGGCGCTGGCACGAACAAACCTGTCGATGGGTCAGCCAACCCCCCACCCCCTTGGCATTCTCAGCCAGGGTACCAGGTGCCCGGTGCGACGTGCTGCGCCTGACGGAAGACTCGAGCGAAAAACCGGGAGAAAGGGGAAGCCTCAGAAACCTCGTGCGTGGATTCGTTCAGCAAAAGAACCCCGCTGTTTGTCTAAGCCACGGACGTTTCTGCTCAAAAAGGAGTGACCAAACCACGTCAATAATCCCTAAAAGGACCAAATTCTGCTGTAACCCAAGGTGAGGATGATGCGGATTGCCTTTGACCAGAAAATGGGGTTCCCCAAAAAGTATCAAGTAAAGGAACTCGCTGAGTGGGTTCCTGGGTGAGTTTTGCTTATTGGGGGGAACTCTCCTGCACATTCCGAACCCTTTGTTTCCCCTGGAATTGTTGGTCTCTCTTTGAGCCCATCCCGAGATGCCCGATCCCCTTCGGCCACTGAACGCAAAGGCCTAAGTCACTCGAGATTGGCAAAAAACAAGTACCTCAAACGTGGGGTTCTTGCCCAAAAAATATGTTTTGCCAACGCATCCTTTCGGCTTCAGCCCAGTCGAAACTTGAGTGCTACTTCCATGTGCTGAAGAGCCGCCTGGAAAAACTAATATATGTCCAGTGGCGACAGGCTGCCATTTAAAACATGTTAAACCAACAAGGGGAAATCACATATGTACTTAAGCAAATGGAATGTTATGTTGTGCGTTCAGGTAGCTGAACTTGTTGTTTGCCGCTACCAAGTCCAGGAACTCGGGACTTGGCATTTGCAGAAGCGAAAGGTTGATGAGATTCACATGGAGCCCAAAAAAAGTTTCCCCGAAAAGGAGATTCCTCTAAAACTTGTGGTTTTCAGGTTCTGCGTTACTTCGCAGGACGGAAGGCAAGGAAAACAGGACACCACAAGTCTAGAATACTTTGCTCGAGAGAAACCGAGACAAAAACAAACAGGCCTTGATGGTGCGCTCATCCTCCATGGGCTTGGCTCGCGCCAAGTAATGCAAGCGCAGCGCCAGGCTGTTGCGGTCCTGTCCCCAAATGGGTCTGTGTCACATATAGAGGGACCCCCCCAAAATCGTGATCACAACCCCTGACTGTTTTTTTCACCCCCCTACCTTTAAACATGAACAAAGCCAAAAAAGCCAACAACCTAAAAACCTGCCAAGAACACTGAAGGTGAGGCTTTCCTTTTACCCGTAAACCAAGGTGAACAGTGACAATTTGGGATGGGGGATGGGGGTGTGGGCGGGGAATGAGGGGGACCCACGACCATCTGACATAGGGGCCAAAGGATGGATGTTTGAACTCAATCTTGCCCGTTGCTGTGTCAACTGCAAATGCTACTATATTTCCAAAAGCTGGATCAGGGGATCCCCAAGTAAAGAGCCTTTATCATAGTGAGCTCGTTATACCCCCGAATTGGTGAGCGCGCGCTAAACCAGGGATCCTTACATTATACACCTGTTTCCCTTGATTTTGGTGTTGCAAAAGCAACATGCTTCAAATGGTTACAAAATGAATTTCTTTTAAGGAGGTCCTGGACCAACTCGGGAATTCTCACATCTCACATCTCACGTCCCCTGTGCCTTGGGCTCCCAGTCTGCCACATCGTCCAGGTGCAGGTCCTGAATCCGTGGCTAAGGGCAGTTTCAGGGAGAGGGCCTTTGCAGCCATGGGCTTTGGAGTTCTTTTCCACTGATATATACATATATACGTTTATATATGTAGAAATATACTATACAAATGCAGTCTTGTCCTGCCTTTGAAGCAGTAAATAGGTGGTATATAAGCATCCATACCTCCAAAACCATAACTGGATCCCTTGGCTTGTCTTTTGCCAAAGGAAGGGGTGCTGGCCATCATGGTGAAAAGACTTACCCCTTAAAACTCCAAGCCCTGGGGAAGTTAATCTTTTACAAACATACAGCCCATGTTACCCAAACAGTTGAAAAGTTGTGTTTTTAAGAGGTAAGAAGAGCATCCCTCCAAGTTGTACCAATGTTTGTAGACTGACAGACCATCCAACCAGCCAAGCAGCCAACCACTCAGCCAGCCGAGAGCTTGCAAAATGATGGAACTCCTTTGGTTAGTAGTTCAAGGGAAACCAAAAGGACCAACCGTTTGAGGGAGCCACTATTTAAGACACAGCCAACCAGCCAGCCAGCCGACCAAAGCCACAAATAACATTGGAAGCAACACAAACGCGAGCAACGGACAACACCACCACAAACCGATAGTAGGCGACTACCCAAAACTGATATGTAACTAGCTAAGAACCTTCAAAACCGAATGGGGCATACCCAACACAAGTGTCCTTGCACTCCAGGTAGCCTCTGGGTCTCGCTTCCATCCACGACGGGTATCCCATGTTCTGATGGTGTGTATACGTTTAGTGTGTCTGTGTGTTTGTTTTTGACTTATCAGCATTGCTTCTTTCACCTTGGTGAAAGCAGAAATTAACAGAAGACCGATTTCCTTTTGTGGGTCTCTCTATTTTGACACGTATCAGGGATCGAGCACTTTCAGGTACGAGCTTCTTTAGCTCTCCCAGTTTCCAAATCCTAAGGATCTTAAAGGCTTGCGGGAGAGTAATTACCGGTCTGGGGGGTACCCAGCTGGCTCAATCCGAGTGCAAACGGCGAATCCAAACTAAGCGTTACCTATATGGATATGGTCTTACACCGTCGCGCGACCGCAGGTTTTAGTCCTGTTCCCGTTTACCAGAGTTCATTTTGGGGTTACGCTATTTTTGACCTTCAGCCAAATATGGGCATGAATTCTAACTAGGGACCCTTTGGTGGACATCCTTTTTGTGCCCATCAATCACTTTTTAGGGGCTTCCCCATTAAAATTCAGAGCCATATTCTCAGGGAAAACCATGGATCCCCCCCACTCCCCCCCACTCCCACTCCCCCCCCACCCCACACCCCCCACCCGGATCTGTCCTTCTTCTCCTTCTTTTGACTCTTCAAGTCCTCCTCCAACTTATCCAACGCCGCCTCCAGCTCTGCCATGACCTTCTCCGGCATGCTGCTCCAGCCGCCCTCCTGGGCAGAGAGGCCCCCAGATTGGCTTCCGGGAGTCCCTCAGCTCCCCTGGCTTGGAGGTTCGGATGGGGTTTGAACCCCTTGCTAAAAGGGGGGTTCCACTCCTGAACCACCAAAACCACCAATCCAGACCACCAAACAAGGGGAAGCCGACACCCCCAAAAAGGTACCTTCAACAAAACACAGACCCACATGGCCCCATTGCAGCCCATGTCTGTGATACCAGAGTGGTCGGCCTTCCTGTCCCCAGCATTACTTTAGCACTTGAAAGAGATTCCCTCGGTGTTACGGCAGAACAAATCAGTTTGCCTAGGGGATTCGTCCATATCTGGACAGCCCGCCGCGCGTGCTTGTGGAAGTGCTTGGGTGTCAGTCAATTTCTCATTCCCTCCCAAGACCCGTTGTCAAGTAGCCATAAAAGAAGACAGGGCACCAACTCTAACAACAAGACAACCCCCCTGTGCTTCTGTTTGTTAAACACCAGGCGCATCGCACGCATTGATCCCCAAGCCGAAAAAACTCAGCCGAAGGCTTTGAAGTGCAATCCACCCAAGCGGCATGATAGCCGTTCTGCGATTGCACCTAAAACTGGATCCAAGAACAGTCAAGTAGTTCGGAGAACTGAAGATCTTCGCTTTTCGGGACCCGAGCTCACTTGCAAGGATTGGCTAAGTCAAAATGCGCTGGTCAAACGACTAGCCCAGAATCTTGGAACGTGAGCTTCCTTTTGCTTTCTCACCGCCTGGAAACAAATGGAACATGTTTCCAGTAGTGAAAATCGATTCCCTTATAAACCCACAAGGGAAAAGAGCTTTAAATATTCATTTCAGCAAATGGAAGCTATATATCCCCACTTTCGTTTTCTCACGCCTAGCTTTTCTTGGCCCTTGTTGGCCCCGAGTGGATCCAGTTCCCTGTGTAGCAGGCAAACAAGGGCAACTGGGATTCAGAGAATCAAGGCATATTCATTTCATAGTGATTTCAGCAAATGGGAAGCGAGAAAAACACCACCCTTTAACCACGAAAACTTGGCACGAGTCTTGAGGCGTCCAGTCAGTCCTTTCGCAGGCGCCGCAAGGAGCTCTTGCCGCACATTCGCAGCATGACCTCCGGTTCCACATCCCCTGCGTGGCCTTGGCAACCGAAACATCCGCCCCCACCTTCCAGGAAAGGAAAGGTTGGGGGGCCCTGATCTTCCCTCGGTTGCTTTCTGCTCTGCTAAAAGTTTAACTTTTAGTGGTTTAGTGGAAAACCCATTAGTTGGCAAAAAGTTAAAGTCCTAACAGCCAAGCAAAATGCAACAAAGTTCCCCATGCAAGGGAACATGGAATGATAACTGGGATTTTCGGGGTCACCCCCTCCCCCAATTCCGTTAAGGGGAGGAACCGAAACGCCCTGCTGTGCCGTTTCGTCTTTTTGGCGTGAACCCATCCAAAAATGGATTGGGGTCCAAACGACGTCAAATTGGAACTTGAAGGAACCCTCCAAACGAAAGGAAGTCTAGATCAAACTGGGCTACTTCAAAAGCCTGCCCTCTAAAATGGGTGACATGCACGACAAAACACAACTCCGGTGATTCCTTCCGGGTTTCCAGATTCTGTGTCAAGGATATCTGCAAGGTTCCTGACCTGTTCCCTGCACACACACACACACACATCACCCCAGAACAAGCAACCGCATGTCAAAGATCAACCTAAACGCCCTGATTGAGTCACAAGCATATGACATGCAACGCCCTGTAGGTCTGGTGGGCATGGGACAAATGCAGCCTTCGGCGCATGAATTTGCAGAGCTCCCATTCACCCCTCTAAGCGGTCCTGGACCCGCAAGAAACATGAGAGAGACCCGTGTCATTTTGGGAGATGTGTGCGTCTCCCCATCCCTCCCAAATGGACAATCGGCAGGTCTCGCTACTTGGATCTTAGACCTCCAAATATGAGCTTTGTCCTTGTCTTTATACACAATATGTATGTAAATATTCAAAAATTGGAACCTCCCCCCCCCTCGAAAAAGGGAACAACAACAACAACAACAACAACAACAACAACAACAACAACAACAACAACAACAACAACAACAACAACAACAACAACAACAACAACAACAACAACAACAACAACAACAACAACAACAACAACAACAACAACAACAACAACAACAACAACAACAACAACAACAACAACAACAACAACAACAACAACAACAACAACAACAACAACAACAACAACAACAACAACAACAACAACAACAACAACAACAACAACAACAACAACAACAACAACAACAACAACAACAACAACAACAACAACAACAACAACAACAACAAAAACAACACAGCGGAGAAAAAAACACAGAAGGCTGGGTCGAGCGGCCATCTTTGACCTTGGCCAGGTCCATCTTCTTGGTGTCGTCCACCCACTGGTGGAAGAAGCGGCGCACGTTGTCCTCGTAGGAGTTCCCCCCGAAGTTGGGGATCTTATCGATGGCCGCCGCTAGCTTCCTCAAACCCGATCCATGCGTCACCGCGTGCGCGTGCGCGTGTAGCGTTTACATGTGCAAACATCATGGTACACGTATGATAATACCATATACGTAACATGTATGTGCTGTATATCTGCATATATATATATATTATATAATATACACATATATATATATATATGCACGTATAAATGTGAGACACGTACACGTATTATACATATGCATATATGCATGAATGTGAGATATACATATGTATATGTTTATGTATATAGTTATGTATATATTTATGCATATGATATATAATTACATTATCATATAAATATACATGTCAATGTATACATACAGGTATCCATGGATCAAACAAAGGGATTGGGCAAGTGACAAGTACTGGCAAGGGCATTTGTTTGCCCCGGTCCATGTTCAAACTGCTTAAGCTGTGAGCCTGCAAAGCGCCCTTGCACGGAACATAGATACACGCGTGGTTTCATGAGCACCAAACTGGAGCCTGGGCAACCCTCTTGATAAATGGAGAGAGGAAGCCCACCTCTTTAACCCCAAGAAAAACCCTGAACCCCCGCACCATCTTTGGGGTGCCAGGCTTCTCTGCCGCAACTGGCAAACAAAAATGCAGGCCTCTGGTTGAAGGACCCAGCCAAACCAGGAAGAAAAGGATAAAACCCTTCAAGCTGGTTGAAGGCAGGCCTCTTTTTTGTTCAGACCCAGCCAGGGGGAAAAGCGGGAAACCCCAAGCTGGGTTCCAACAGCTCCATGGATCGCCGATTTCCGCTGCAAATCTGCGCCCTTCCGTTGGCTGGGAATCAAAGCCCACTCGACATGGGGTTTCGGTAGGATACGTAAAGCTAGCTGCCTTACAAGGAGCCTGAGGTAAGAGTGACTTCTGTAGCTCGCCCAAATGGATCATTGAATGATCAACCCCGGCCTGACGAACTGATTTGCTAGTCAGGTGTGTGTCCCCTTTTCTATGCGAATCCGGGTCACTTTAGAGGGTGACCTCAAATGGGTTCTACTTAGATCCGAGCTTCCCACTCAACGGATTCAGGCCACTTTTGGAGAGGCTGCCCCTGCTCACTCACATGGTATTTTTCCGATTTAGGGGGACATATCATCTTTTTGTGTGGTTTTCCTGATGGTCATTCCAACCCCCAAATGGAGATTCCAGCCCCGGATGTTTTGCGGTGGTTTGACCCATTTCACCCATTTGGACGGTAAATGTGGGTATATACTACATGGATTGTCCGTTGGAGGCCGGCCAAAGAAACGGAGTGTTGACCGCCCGCTCATGTCACCCCATAGCTCATGTGGTTTTGGGGTTCCATCACAGGGTGCTGCTTCGCAGCCCCCGAGTTACAAACCAAAGACAAAAACAGAAATTCAAACAAACAAAAAACATGATCAACAACAACTTGATCTAAAAACCAAAAAACAGAACTTAAACAGACAAAACAACTCGCGAAAAAGTCTTTGCTTGCGCCGTGGCTCATGAAGGTGACCTTCTGCTCGGCTCGGTGGCCCTCGTCCACAAAGGTCACGTGGTAGCGGCACCGGCAATCCTTGGGCATGCACCCAATGGCGCCGATCACGTTCCGCAGCACCGTGCCTGGGGCGAAACAACGAACATGTCCACGCCGGAAGCCAATCATGCAGGGGGCACAAGCCGGATTCCCCCTTGAAAAGTTGGGGCGAAACAAACACCAAGGTCCACACGAAAAAAACGAGGAATGTCCTCGTAAAGGAATGTCCCGCAGGGAGCATTCCTAAACCGAGCTGAGACCCGTTTCATCTTTTGGAGACTCGGATCTACTGGTCTCAGGGGAAGAATTGAACAGGGGGCACTGGATTCCCCATTGAAAAGTTGGAAATTCTTGGTGGTGTCCATTGAAACGATCGCCACTTGGTCCTCCCAGGCTCCATTGCTGCTGGGAGGGCAACAGGGTGGGGGTGGGTTCCCCAATTCCGTTTAAGCCCGCGGGCGTGCCCATTCAACTCCGCCCACTCCCTGGTGTGTTATTCTCAGTTGCCCAAAGGACCCAGAACTAAAAGGTTGACCTTTTGGCACCTCTACTAAAAATAGACCAAAATGGGAAAACCAAAGGTCAAAAGGTCGGCTTTGGACAACTGAGTATTGCGCTGGGAAGTCTAAGCGCCAGGGAGTGCTTGCAAGGACAGCGCCCCTTGTGTATGCATGACTTAGATCCAGCTGTCAGCTCCTTCAATCGCTCAACTAGGTCCTCCAGTAGAGAGGGTAGGATAAGGGTACCCTTTTTCTGTAGTCTATTGTAGTAGGGGAACCCTCCCACAAAAAAGAAACGGTGAGAAAGGGCACCTAGCTGGGGGACCTAGTAGATCCATCTGGCAGCTCCTTCAATCGCTCAAATTCGAAATGTTCCGCGCCCAGAGGCTCAGCACCTCGCCAAGGTCAAGTCAAACCAGAGATCAAAGCCTGGGAGCTCTAGTTCTCGGCAAGGCACACTTGTTCTCGCCGGCGCTGGGAATGGTCACCGTGATGTACCGCAGGTTGGAGGTGAGCTCCGGATCATAGCGCCGGAAGTGGGTGTATGGGGAAAAGACACCAGGGCAAAGCATGACTGCCTTCACACCGAAGCCGATAAGAAGCACGTAGCAGAAGAGCCAAACCTCACTTCTCTGAATCGTGGCCTCGCGCTTGATGCCCTTTAAGGTTCCTGAAATATATCCCAGACCCAGTGCTTCCAGTTACCACTTGTCTAGGTCCTCCAGTACAGAGGTTAGAATAAGGGTACCCTTTTTTCTGTAGTCTATTTTAGAACCAAAACAGGGCAAAAGGGCACTGATGGGACCTAGTTGTAGTAGCCAGGGCTCCATACCTCCAGGCTTCACCTGAATTTTGCCGAAGATCCTAGCTGAGGAAATTTGGGGGCCAATACGGGTGGCTTTCTGGAACCTCTGTAGTCACACAAATCACATGCAGAAGCCACTACTCCGACAGTATTCCAGTTCCATTTGCCTTTTACATTGTTCCGAAATAGTTTTGTGCAATCCCCTTTAAAACATGTGTGTCTTAAGACAACAACTTACACACATATATATATATATATTATATAATATGCACGTATTAAACGCGCAACGACAAACATCTTCCAACAATCTCACCTTGACACCCCCTTCTAAGCACGCCTTCTCGCAAATACATCACCCCAAACACACCACCGGTTCGCACCTCCTTCCGTGAATCTCTCTATTTCCGGGAGTCACCCCACCAGCAAAAGGAAACTCATTGAACTGAGCTGTCCTCAGATCCCCCGCCAAAAGTTTACCTGTTAGTAGGCTAAATGGAAAACCCACTAAACACTGAAAAGCTAAAAAGCTAAGGGGATAGCTGGGAGCCACCAAGTGAAAGCTGGGAATCAAAGGTGCTGTCTCCCAGAAAATTGGGGGGAGGGGGTCGGGGGGGGGAACGTTTGAAATCGAATGCAAGGCCTTCTTTGAGGGGAAAGCATATGATTCGACCCACGTTGCCGGGGACAACTCCGGGGTCCAAGCATCTGTTAAAATGCGACAAAGGACGTCCGCCCATGTAAGTACCTAGGTTTTCCAGTCGAGGGGTTGGAATAAGGGTACCAACTGTTTTCTGCAGTCTATTTTGGTAGCGGAACCCTCCCCAAAAAAAGGGTAAAAAGGGCACTACTGGGCAACCCAGGTACATTTGGAGACCCCAACGGAACGCCAGTCATTCGACAAATACCCTCTCTCCCCCTCACATGGAAAACCTCACAGGGGGTCCCTCCGAGCGGAAACTGATCTTCCGGGCACGCTCCCAGTGCCCTTTTTAGGAAGGCTACCCCAAAGAACCCACAAGAACTCGGCACTAAAAGGCGGCTAGTCCGAAGGGCCGGTGGGGACTGGTTCTTCTCAAAGCCGACGTAGCCCACCAGCGTCGCCGGCTCGATGAGGCCCTCCTCAAGAAACGGCAACATCCCCAGCTTGGCGGGCTTTGGGGTGAGATGTATCTTGCCTGGGGGATGGTTCAATTGGAAATCAAGCAGAACAAAAACAAGAGTTTGCGGGTCTGTGGACAAGCCAGTTTTCATGATGTGCAATATGTTTGAGGGCCTCAATCTATTTCCCTTTGAACCTTCAACAGTTGCAGTTGCAATGGACACCACAAGTTTCATGGCATCAAAGGGTGCGTGTTTTCTGGTAGCTCTTCTTGGGTTTGGCCTCATGAGCAAAGACACAGCACTTTTTTTGTGTTCCAGACAACCCCCTGACTTTAAGGAAATCCAGTGACCCATAGCCACTTTGGAGTCCCAGTCCTATATCGGTCGAGGCATCAAAGTGATAACCCCAAAATCATTGGCCTTGCTTGTTCCTTCAGAATTGCCCCCGAGGCTGGACCCCGCACCGAACATGAAACCTGACTGGCGGCCCCTGCAAGGCCAGCATCTGTCTTTCAAGAGCCCTCGAGCCTGTGGGCCTTTCTTAAACAGGTGTCCCCTAAAATGCTTTTGGTGTTCCTCCAACTGCCAACCACAAAATGTTCAGAAACTCCTGCGTGGGTGAGTGTTTTGAGGGTACCCTGTTTGCGTTTACATACACACGCGGAAAGGGAAATCACATGTTTGGAGTCCAAAGCCCGAGCCATACCCTTTCAGAGAAACCAAAGCAACCAGGTCGTCTTGTTTTTTTCCCGGTGCTCCACAGCAATTAAAACAATTTTCCGCCGCTCGTTTCATCCGTGTGGGGGTTGACCAAAGGTCCCTTACATCGAAGAACCATTCCTGAAATCGACTAAACAAGGATGGCGTTTCCGACATGGGAAAAGTTATCCTTGATCATTTGGGGGCGCTACATCGATCAACCCCCAATGTGCTTTTCATCGTGCAACCCATGGAGGTACAGGGTTGGGCCAACCCCTTTGACATGTCTAAGCCACGATTGTTTACCCAAACTCCTGATGGTTTCCCATTTAAGCGGATCAGGATGCGTTTCAGCACCCCTGAGGGAACTCATTTCATGAAACTACCCCCCCAAATGCTTCCTCCCCCACTGGGAGGCCCGAAAAGCCACTTAACTATAAAAACCACCAAACAAACTTGCCTGGACAAGGTCAACTTCTGTGATACTTTTCTGAATCTGCCCCTATGGGGGGTTAGTCTTTGGGAAACCCGTTTCGAGGTCCTCCAGTAGGGAGGCTAGAACAAGGGTACCCTTTTTCTAGAGTCCATGTTGGTAAGAAAACCCCCCCTCAAAAAAGAAACTATGTAAAAGGGCACCTAGCTGGGGGGCCTAGTTTTGTATCACGGGAGTGGGTTCCGTTCCAACCACAGCAACCTGGCCTGCTCGGGAAAGAATTCTGCGCCAAGAAGCCGCAGTGCAGTTCGCCATGGGAACCTGCTCGGACTGGCACGCGTAGGCGCAGCGCCCCGTCACCGCCACGCAGCGGTCGTTGAAGGGCGGGGGTGCGGCCTGCTGTCCTGGCGCCCGGCGGCCCGGAGGCGACCGGAAAAAGGCCACGGCTGCTCAAAATGGGGGGCGGTTTTGGGGTGGCCCTTACTTAGATGCTTGGTTTTGGCTAAGGGCCCAGGAAAAAGTAAGAATATCTCCCGTAGTGATGAATTCCTGTTAAAACCAACAAGGGGAAATAATAGATATTATAAAACAATGGAGGGATGCCTCATTTACTCGGTTGCTTTCTGCTCCCCTGCGAAAGTTTTCAACTTTTAGTGGTGTTAGGCCATACTGTGGGTGGACGAAATCCGTTCGCAGCACGAAACGAAACTCTTCGTTGGTATTTACAGGGGGAACATTAGTCCAGAGATTCTCCGGTGGTGCATACAACTTTAAGTGTCCTTTTGGTTCTTCAAAAAGACCACGGCCTGGCCACCCATGTGAGCTCGCCAAAAACCATTGGCAGAATAGTCCGGAGCAAGTCAAGTCAAGGATCTAATCTACGGTGAGCTTGTCTACCTATGTGAGCTCCAAAAAAAGAAGAAGAAGCAAAAAACACGGCAGAACGGAAAAAAACACACACACACAGAAAAAAAAACAAACACGGCAGGACGAATCCTCCCGAAACGGGTGGCAGGCTTGCCCCGAAACGCCCCCCGGGTGTGGGGTGCCACGGTCCTGGCTTGAAGCGGTCGAAGCCATCCTCGTACAAGGAGCTGTTCACCGCGCAGGTCACCAGATACAACGGACCTGCCGTTGAGAGCCCGGGGCCCGGGGGACGTCCATAAGGAGCTGGGGGTTTCACTGGGGGAAGTCAGGAAAAATCGGAACATGCGGCAAAGGCCCTAAACATGAATTATTGCGAGCAAACCGGCCAAACCCTGGTCAAACAGGAGGGTGGGTAATTAGCAAGTAGGTCTGGAAAAATCGGAACATGTGTAGGCAAGCCAAACATACTCGACCACAAAACCGTGGCCGAACAAGGGAAATCGGAGGACCTATTCCCTTGCTTGCAATATATGCAAGGCATCCCCCGTACCTGATACCCATCCCGTTTGGTCTTCCTTTGGAATCAAAGTTCTGGGGCTTCACCAAATCCGCATGCTCGCTGCAGCCAGCCCTCAAAAAAGAAACCATATCTTGTGCGATTACCATATCGAGAGAGAATCCAAAAAAACAAGTAGTAAACAGTTTGAAATCACCTGGGTGCCATGTGTAACGTATGACTTGGTAGGGATGTGACCCTGTCGACAGTCCCGCAAGGCCCGTGAAAAACCTTCTGGTGGGTTCATGTGAGCAGCGCCTCGAACCCATTGACTTGTGTTTCTACTGCGATTGGTTTGACTGGGTGGGGTGGGTGGGGTGGGTGGGGTGGGTGGGGTGGGTGGGGTGGGTGGGGTGGGTGGGGTGGGTGGGGTGGGTGGGGTGGGTGGGGTGGGTGGGGTGGGTGGGGTGGGTGGGGTGGGGTGGGGTGGGGTGGGTGGGGTGCGTGGGGTGGGTGGGGTGGGGTGGGTGGGGTGGCTGGGGTGGGTGGGGTGGGTGCGGTGGGTGGAGTGGGTGGGGTGGGCGGGGTGGGTGGGGTGGGGTGTGGGCCTTGTATATTACTATCCCTACTTAACCAGGTAGTAGCACCCCCAAAATGGACGATAGGGTTTTGGACGGACGCTGCTCATGGAAGAGATTGGGTTAGGAGCTTGTTCAAAGCCTGAGTTGTTTACACTGTTGCTAGCTAGACAAAGAGCCCAGGGCTGGAGGGTAATTACAGGTCCAACCAGCCACATGTGCAGTCTTTTATGTGGGTTTTAAGAGGAAGCTAAAGGGAAGACCCAAATCCATTTGGGGGGGGGGGCGGCGGCAAGCCACCCAAGCTTATTGCCCAGTTGCGCAGTACGCAAAACAAAAAGGGTTGACTTACTTTTCCGCACTTATGTTTTCGTCATTCCCAACCCCTAGGAATTTGATCCTGGTTTTTCCCCCGGATCAGTGGAAGCACTTGACAGCTCCTACATGCTTAGGGGGACTGCCGCAGGTTTTGTGTGGCTCTGGGAAGAGGCAGATGCGCATCCACACCCAAATGAAACGACCCAGTTTCCCTTTGGGCCCCTTGCACCACGATGCACCCAACATGTAGAAAACCTTGGAACCAGCTGGAGGTGGGTTTTGAACTTGGCCCAACTGTATTTAAGGAACCCTGAAACCCATCATTGCCCCAGATGACACCGATTTCGGGGAGAATTTAATTTGGACTCTTTTAACTGGACCCTTTTCATGATTTCACTGATTTTGGGGGGAGATGGCAAATCTTTTAAGAAGTCGGAACCCCATAATTGACTCTTTGGGGGACAACGGCCCTCTACTGTGGATGGCAAAAATCCGGTTCGCACAACCAAAGAAACTCTGGTTTCTGATGATGCCCCTCAAAATAAACCCGAAGCCTGCCATGGCGAAATGTCTCCCCGAGCCTTGGCGCCCATAGCACCAGCCCGGGTCGATGGCAAGGCGATTCTGCTCGTTCAGCAGCATGGCGTGGGCGCTGACGGGGTCTTGCACCGGCGCCACCTGAGGAGGGGCCGTGTCGCGAACCAGACAAACCAAAACTGATCGGTATTCATGTACCCAGAACCATGCTTCAAGAATTCAAACGGCTGAATCTGGATGGGATTGCCCATACCCTCCAATTTCAGAGGTTGTGATTGTGACTCAGATGGCTCAGCAGGTAGAAATGATAAGCCAAGCAACTGGGAAGCGCTGAGACGGGTGGTGGGGAGTCCTTGTGCCCTCTGGGAAATTGAGGGAAACCAACAAAAAAGCCACTGATTTTGAGGCAACCCGCGGGAATGACTCTGCGTGAAAAAATAAACTCCTGGAATGATACATGGGTTTGTCTTTTTTGTAGCCCTGTTGTGGGTTTCAAGGGGAACTAACAGGAAAACCACATTTTCTCACTTGCCCAAAAGACCTGGAAGTAAAAGGTGATCACCTTTTGGGACCTTTACTAAAAATGGGAACCCCAAATGGAAAAACCAAAAGGTCAAAAGGTCGATTCACTTTGGGCAAGTGAGTTTTGGTTGGTAGGGGTCTGCTTAAAAACCTGCTTAAAACGAGGATTTCGATCTAAATCAGCTGGCCTTGACCCGACTGGTTAGGGCTCCCCCAAGTATTGCTCCCCTAACTCAGCTTGCAAAGGTGGAGTGTCGACTGGTCCAAATGTACCTTTGTTGGCACATAGAACTTTTCTTAGCAGCTCCTAACCCAAACACTCCCACTCCAACAAATGGCACACACACATGCCTCTAAGTTGATCTACTTTAGTCGTAGGAGGTGTGGTGTGGATTTGCCAAGGTGAACTTTCTGGCCTTGCATGCGAAGCACTCGTTTCAGTCATATGAATCATGGAAGTGGACGAGAAGCTGCCATTTGCTTAAGCCCCCAGAACAAAAAATAATAGCTCCAGTAGTGATGATTGTCTTTTGAAACCAACAAGGGAAAATTCACGATATTCTCAAGCAAATGGAGGGAAGCCTTTGGAATGTTGAGTTTTTCCCAAATCTTTCTGTCAGCTTCCACGTTTTGTGAACAGTAACTTGCTGGGAACCTGGGTCAACGGACGGGAAAAAATCCGCCGACCCTCTGCCTCCCGTCCCAGCCTCCTGCAGAGGGGACCGGCGTGGGATGCAACTGGAAGTGATTGGAATCAATGATAGTCCCTGGGGGACACCCGAACCCACAAAAAGTGGATTCCCAGGACCGGTCCCGGGACCGGTCCCGGGACCAGTCCTGGGACCAGTCCTGGTCCTGGGACCAGTCCTGGGACCAGTCCTGGGACTGGTGGTCCTGGGACCCTGGTTCTGCTGTTTCAAATTGCTTGTAGTCAGCCGAAACCGGTCCTGGAACCGGTCCCAGAGACCAGTCCCAGGAATTGCTGGGACCAGTCCTGGGACTGGTCCTGGGCCAGTCCTGGGACCGGTCCTGGGACTGGTCCCAGGACCAGTCCCACCGGCGGTTTGGTCCTGAGACTGGTCCCAGGACCGGTCCTAGGGCTGGTCCTGACCGGTCTGGGAAGCCGGTCGGGATCGAGTCCTGGTGTGACCGCTGGTATTGGGTCCCAATTCAAACTGCTGTGCTGCCACCTCAAACCGCTCCAGACACCTTTCTGGACTGGCACCCAGGACACTGGACAGGGTCCCAGGTCGTCACTCCCTGCGACCAAGCCGGCCCGTGCGGTTATTGACGTCCTTGTGGTAGTAGAGGATCCCTGGATCTATTCTGCAAGAGAGTCCAATACGTCAAGTCAAACCGCGCCAGACTGGGACCAGCCTGCTGCCGGCGACCGGTCCAGGGCAACTTCGGGAGGGCCAGTTTCAGGGCGACCCCGGGAGAGGCGACTGCTCCCGGCCAACTCGAAGTGACTTGGGCGCAAGCCGGCCCAAGCGGTAATTAACGGACTAGCTGCCCTATTTCTGACTTTTCCGTTAATCCTTGTTTGTGGTCAACTTCGGGAGGGCCAGTTTCAGGGCGACCCCGGGAGAGGCGACTGCTCCCGGGCCAACTCGAAGTGACTTGGGCGCAAGCCGGCCCAAGCGGTAATTAACGGACTAGCTGCCCTATTTCTGACTTTTCCGTTAATCCTTGTTTGTGGTCAACTTCGGGAGGGCCAGTTTCAGGGCGACCCCGGGAGAGGCGACTGCTCCCGGGCCAACTCGAAGTGACTTGGGCGCAAGCCGGCCCAAGCGGTAATTAACGGACTAGCTGCCCTATTTCTGACTTTTCCGTTAATCCTTGTTTGTGGTCGTAGAGGATCTTATAAGTGGTCCCTGGGTTTGCGGACGTGTTTCAGGACCGGTCCTTGTGACTTTTCCCTTAATGCGCCGAGGGTCGGCGGCAGCAGGCGGGAGCCTGGTTAATAAAATAAAAAAGGAAGTTCCCTAAAGGTCCGAAAGGGCCAAGAGACCTCCTCGTCGAAGCTGTTGTCGTCTTTGACCTTGACCAAAGGCTTGCCATCATTGCCCACGGCAATGGGAGGATCAGTCATGCCATAGTCGTTCTTGTACAACTTCGTCCAAGTGCCCCGTGTGGCACGAGATGACTGGAGGATGAAGACCCGTGGCTGGCTGAAGACTTCTGTCCCAGTCGGTGCTGTGGCGCCAGCAACTGTGACCTTGAACCGCGGCAAAGATTCATAGATCATTGGTCCCTTGCCTGATGCACTGCCACCTCCTCCAATAGGAAGCTCACCACCTCCAATGCCAGGAATGCCACCAATGCCGCTCGGTGTGTCAGGATCTGGGTCCAGACCGGGAATCCCGCCTCCAATGCCAGGAATCCCACCGATGCCCGGGATGCCCTGCAATCGCCGCATGTCATCCTCCGAACGCGGGTCATACAAGCCTCACTTGCCCAAAGGATCTGGATATAAAAGATCACCTTTTGGGTCACTAACAATTTGAACCCAAAAAGGGAAAACCGAAAGATCAAAAGGTCGATTCGCTTTGGACTGAGCAGCATTTGTGGCACTTCCACTGCTTGAACTTCTCAGTGGCAGTGTCACACGTCCCCGGCATGGCGCCCTCCAAGCACTGCCGCATGTCCACCGATCCTTTGAAGTCAGCACCCGGAATCTCCCTGCCAGCAACCTGGGCAGTCTGTTGGACCTATCCAAGGATTTGCAAATTTCGATCACTCCAAAGCCGCCTCAAATAACTCCTCAGATCCCCCACTACAAGTTTCACTCCATTAGCTTAAGCTCCCTGAAGCTCCCTGGCAAAACAACAAAAACAAACAGGACTGATAGATTCGCAATATTCTTAAGCTAAGGAAAGGGACGCCACTAAACCCAGAATATTCCCTTAAGACCTGGCAGACCATCAAGATAAGCACCCAAGTAAATCCCCAGCCGATGAATGCAACCTTCCGCTCCCAGAACGGCAGCCACCCGCAAAGGGAAAGAGGCCGCAGCCAAAATACATAAGTTCACAGCCCTTGATATGGTTGCAAAGTGTTTTGCATTCCCCTGCTCAACATGAACAGAACCAAGAAAATACAAACAAGAAGACATTCACTTGCCAAGAACAGTGAAGCATAAGGTCAACATCGGTACCTGCAATACGCCCAAAAAGGGTGCCCTCAAAGAAGATCCCTCAAAGGAGATTCCTCTAAGGATGGGCATGTGGGTTACTTACATGTCAGTCCGCAGAAGTGAACAGTTTTTCTGCCAAAGCTCATCTAGCGCGCGGTTCGGCCCTGAGAGCGTCTTCCTTTGGAAGTTCCGTGGGCTCACTTTCTGTGTTAAACCCGAGCTCCAGCCAGGTTAATACTGTGGATGGACGAAATCCTGCACCACTTTGACACCGTGAGAAACCATTGTTTGTTGGCATTTGCCGGGGAATCATCCTTCCAGGCTTTCTTAGGTGGTGCAGGATTCTGTCCATCCACAGTATGACTAGGTGCCCCTTTCCAACAATCTGAAATCTTTGCCTACATCGAGTACACAAACCATAGCACGTTCAGATTCCGTTTCTGTCGACCCCAACCTTAAACACGGGTCCTACCCTTTCCCTCCCCCGCCCCCACAAAAAAGAGCCGCGAAGGGAGACCGGTCCTTTGAAAGCTCCAGCTTTTGGAGCAACGAATAACACGCTGGAATACACTGATCGCGGGTCACCTCTTGGTGGATTTAGAGGGAGACCGACAGGAAAGCCAAGGCCATGCTGCGAAATTCCAACTCCTAAAAACACAAGACATACCCAGGCATGCTTACCTTGAGGACCTTACTCTTAGGAATGCCCCCCAAACACATGGGATTTCACTCGAAAGGTCGATTGCGCAAACATGACGGCGGCTGAAAATGACCTGAAATCTTTGATGCCAATATGCCTGGGCATTTTCTATAAGATTCCAACTTAGCACAAAAGAGGGCGCAAGCAATCCCACTGTTCATCACTCTTCCCTTGTTCCGGGGCTGTTGCTTGTTGTTATTTTTCGGGATCCAAATTGGTGGTATTCCTTTGGGTTCCGTTTCAAATTCACCAAATTCAAACATGGATCCCCAAAAACCCATACACCCCTATGGGTGTTCGTTTCTTGCAGCGCAGCTTTTTTGGGGTGTAGGGTCTTAATGACAACAGTTTAAAACAAACACATATTTGTTCGGTGTCTCCTACGGTCTATGGCTCAAGCTGACTGATGTTTGCCCCAGGGTTTCGCATCGGTTTTCCGGTCGGATCGGACAGAGTGTTCAGGGGAAAGCCACCCCCAAGCAAACCAACCATCTGCCAAAGCTTGTTTTAATGGTGGCGTGCCTGAACCCCTGGCAACTCAGCCGAAAACCCGCCAAAACCCGAAACCCGAAACCGGGCAGCTGAGGAGGGCGTCATCTGGATGGTGCTGTCCGCGGTGCAACCCTCCAACAAGTTGGAGCTGATCACCGAGTCGCAGGTCCAGCCACAGACCCCTCCCGCCGAAGCGCCTCACGGAATTTTGGGCACAACCAGGTGATACCAGGTGCAAAGCAAATACATCAAACACCCCTTTGGTGGACAAACAAAGCAGAAAGGGACCCATTTGGGTATGTGTGCTCAAAATTTGGGGGGTCCCCAAACAATGAGTGGTTTCCTATTGGCTTCCCTTTACCCAAAAAGTCTGCGAACTCCAAACAAAGACGAGCCCCCCATTTCTGTGTCTGAATGTGTGTTATTTTTTCGGGAAAGCAAAGGAAAAGAGACTCTTCAATTGCCTTTTTCAGCCGCTAGAAAAATGAGAAAATATGTACAGTAGTGAAATCGATTCCAACTTTAAAACTAGAGAAAACACAAAGCAAAGCACTCGCACCCTTTTCACATGGAATCTGACGTCCGGGGGTCCCTTTAAAAGGAAATGGTCCAAACCAGGACCCCCCGAACGTCAGGTTCCGGCTCATTACTGGTAAGAGGCTATTCCTTTCAATAAAACACTCTTGAGCAAATGGAAGTAAATGAGAATCCCGAAAGAGGCGGGGGGGTGGGGTGGTCAGAGGGTTCCCGCAGGCTCCTTAAGGAAGTGCTGCGGCACATGGAAGGAATTGAAGGATGGTAAACCCACGCCTTAGCAATGGGAACTCCCTTCAAACTCCTAGTGGATCCGTTTACCTGCATAGTAGGAGACGCGAAAGCCTCTCAAAATGTCATCCCCAAAAAACAAACACAAAGGATGTGACGATGCGTTTCAGGGAAACCCGATGTTTCGATGACAAATCACGAAAACCACGATGGGTCCAAGAGGGCACGACATTTTTCCGGTTTTTAGACTTTAAGTAGAAGGTAACCAAGGGGACCAGCCTTAAACCAAAAGGAACAACAGGGCTCTTCCCCTTAAAACATCCCCCCACCAAGGGATACTCACCTGTCATGGGCCAACAAGGTGTCTAAAACAGCAAAAGGGAAATATAGGGACCCCTGTATGAGGCTAGCTGGGAGTCACTGAGTTCATCCGGGCCGTTGATTTGGATGGTCCAATTTCTTGAGGGGATTCAAACCACTTCGGGCCCAACCCCCCAGCATAACAGTAGCTTGTTGCTCACCTTGGCTATGACCCGCTTGCAACGCACCCCTTAAGTGGTATAACCTAAAAGGCTAACCCTCACTTGCTGAGTGGATGGCCCAAAAACAGTTCAAACTTCATATTTACCACTAAAATGGTCTTCCCAAAAGATTAAAGTTCATGAACTCAGGAAGTGAGAGCCACTCACTAACTCGGTGGAACATCCAACTGGGTTTCGTGAGTGGAAAACCAAAGTCCGGGTGGGCTCGCTTCAACTGAGAAAAGGAAAGCGAACGAAGCAGGCAGGTCGCAATACTCCCCAATGTCCGAATCTTCCAACTGCGTCTTCCTTGGACGGATGGGAAGACACTGCAAATGACCAGAATCATACTGCCAGAATACCGCCATCAGCCCTTCATGATAAAAGTTCTGATCACATGCGCATACTATATCATACAATCATGGTCAGAGTCATCAAGATTCTGAACGTCAGCATGGGCAGAAGAATAAATATGAGTACGACGATGATATGGTGATGACGATAATGATATTGACGATGATGACGATGATGATGACGATGATGATGATGATGATGATGATGATGATGCTGATGATGATGATGGTGCTGAGGATGATGGTGATGATCATGATGATCAAGATGATCATGATGATGATGATGACGACGACGATGATGACTAGGACCAGCACCAGCAGAACCAGCAGCACCAGCAACACCAGCAGCAGATTAACCAGGACAACCAGCAAACGCTCGCAACGGCACTGGCAACGGCAAAGCAAAATACATGATCCCCATGCTTTTTGTCTGGGCTGAGCTGGCAAACCCTGGCCAAATGCTGCTGCGAGGGTGAGGAAAGCACATGGCAATCCCAAGTCACATCTGGCCGCAGGAAGCTTCAAATCAGATCATACTGACAAGCTCTAATAAGCCTTATGAATCTATGAAGATTTTCATCGGGGATGCCCCGTTCCCCGCAGGCCCCGTTTGGTCGAAATCAAAGGCGAGCTTCTTCTCGAGCTGTGCAAAGCTCTCTGGGTTCCACACCACGCAGGCCAGCACGTACTGACCCGAGTGGGATGAGCTCGTGGCTGCCGGATCTTCAGGAGGTGCAACGCAAGTTTGCGTGGAGTAGGTGTACGCATGCCCCGCTTTGTCCGTCCTGGAGTCGTAGAGGTGGATAGGGTGTCTTAACAAAGGGGACCCCCCGCAAAATGTAGGTTTCATTTTGGGGTTCCTAGGTGTACGCATGCCCCGCTTTGTCAGTCCTGCGCGGGCTAAGCAACAAATAACATATTTATCAGGATCGGGGTACGCAAGCCCACGCGGCTTCAATTTTCAGGCACAAAGAAATGTAGTCGTGTTGCACTTCCGTGTCTCTTGTTAGCGTCTCCCCAGCTCCCGACTCGGCCGCAAAGCTAGGCCCCCAAAGGTCTGGAACGGCAAGAGATGCTGAACGCTGTGTAGACCAGCGAGATGGACTGGGGGCACCAGTGAGTGTTCCCTGCTGATTCTTGGGTGTTGCGGAAAGGGGGCGTTTCAGATCCTGCCAGTTCTGCCGAACCTATGTCCGCCTGCTCGGCTTGGAACAGACTGTCCGAATGCACCCCCAACAAGAAAAACATAAACAAGATGGTCTGATTGTTTTAATTAAAATACCCATCCATCCTCTTTGTTTCCTTTTTGGAGACGAAGAACCCAATCTGGACTTCTTGAAAAAAACATAAAATCCTGGCTACCTCTTGAAAAGAAACCAAAACTCAACCTTCAAGAGACTTAAAAAGATCCGAATGAATCGCACGACCTCCATTTGGAGAAACCGAAAAGAACACCCGGAAAAAACAGACGAACCAGCTCCAAAACAAGTTTTGGGAGTACCTCGGGATATTTTGTTCTTTTAATGGAGTACCTACAAAAGAAGAAGAACACCGCGCGCCAACCCCAAATTTGCCCCTTTCTCGGTAATTTCCGGCGAGTGGGAGAGCGTTGCCTGGCGCGCCAGAAGGGCTGCGGGTAGGCATGGCGGCGGTCCGCCACCACCCACCAGTCATTGAAGTCTGCGGAGGCCAGTAGCACCGGATACACCGTGTGGACATAGCCTGGGCCAACAGCGAAAAGCCAACGCGGCCGACTCGCAGAGGGAGGTCTCCCTCTTCACAACCCGAAAGGCATGGTATGGCCTTGGCAAAAAGCGGGCTCTGGTTTGAAGCAAGCCCGAACCAAAAAATGAACAAACATAGCCTGGCAATGGGCTAAACAGCCGAAACCATTGCTGGCCTTTGGGAAAATAGATGGTGTTCCTTGTAAATGGATGGCATAAACCACATCTAAACCAGTGTAACCCATGTTCAACTAAACTAACCTAAAGGTCAGCTCCGTTTTGGTCGTTTTGTGGACTGCGACCCTTTGTAGGGGTTAATTTTGCAAGGGCAGTCTCGAAGGTCCCTCATGACTGGCCCCGGCGTTTTTGGAGAGTAAAGCTCTTTCCGGGTTGGCTATAAGAGGCAATTTCGAGGGTCTTTTTTGAGACGATTATGTTTCTTTAAAATGGGGAAATCCGCTTACTTTCCATTGCAACACAACACGCATTGCCTTAAGAGCGCACACGCGCAATATGAGCCACGACTGAATTGGCTTAGGGTGCCGGGTTTTCAAGAAATCGAGCAAATTGAGTTGGCCGCCTATGTCCTCAAATTGACTCCACTGGTTTTAGGGCACACTTTGACAGGCAAGGTGTTCCATTGTAAATACCATACTTTGTTTAAGGAAGTACTTGCAGTGGATTGGGTTAAGGGGGTTAAACGGGAAGGAGAATGAGGAAACATAGCAAATTAGCAAATCATTTCGCCCGAGGATGAGTACAGTTTGCACAAATTGGCACCCGTGGTTGTTACTTCCCAAGTCAACATGGAACCCAAGTCAGCTCATCAGACCGGGATCTGGAGCCTGGACCTTCGCTCCGTTTCCAGGCATCCGTTTCCAAGCCCAAACTGAAAACCGACAGGGGGACACCACCCAATGACAAGTCAACCAGGGGCTCTTCCGGGGAAGCCACTACAGGGGCTCTTCCCCCAGACCCCCCTCCCCCAGAAACCGGCGAACTCCGATGGATTTCTTCGTAGCAGCCCTTGGCCAGCTGGGAGTCGTTCAAGGTGAGGCTCACTCGGAAGTTCATCTCGTTGGTGCGGTAGCCGCGCCAAGAGGAACACGAGTAGTTGCAGCCTGGGCTTGAGACAGAGTCTGGACGAAAAAAAGTAGAATCATCACCCTCCTTTTGCTTTAGCACCCTGGCCCTTTGTGCAACCCGTGAAACCTGGTTTTGCTGCGCCAGGCTCAGATTGTGCGGAACACGCCACTGTCAATTGGTGATTTCCATTGGGAAGCTGCCCTGATTGCAGCTTGGGCGTGCCCAGTTGCAACCAGGACCCAGGAGCCATTTCTGTTTGGGGCGGAGCAGAGTGACCCCAAGAGGAAAGTAGATGGTGCTAAGCCATTGGGTGTGGTTGCCATGGAAGCCGGAAGCTGACTTGTGAACATGGGCCTTCCGGGGGGGCCGTCAGCCTGGGTAAACAGACTGGGGCCTGGACTTCGTGGTTTCCTTGGCTGGGTTTTGCCAAGTCGAGCCGCTATCGGACGCCTGCGGGATGGGGGACATCTCAATCGGCATACTCGCCGCGGACTTTTCGGCCAAATTCTGCCCCCCCACCGCCGCGATCGCGGGCCACTTGGGGTACTGCTCGTGCCAATACCTTGGCGGCAAGACCCATGGAACCCCCCTATCGACGTGTTGCAAACTGCGTGGAGCCCCGGATAGTGTGATGTGGTTGGATGTTACTTCTCCACTTCGTTCTTCCCAAGCAGTTCAAGCTGAAAGATCCAAGCAAATAGCAGCCAAGATGCTGGGTCGGCATCGGGTTGGTCACCAGCCACTTCCTTGCACCGAAAGGGATGGGTATCTGTCGATGCGGAACCCGAAATGGGAATCCGAAATGGTAGAAGCACAAACAACAATCCAAAAACTTGACTCAAATCGGGAGCCAAAATTGGACTCCTGGACATGATTTCCGCTTTGCAACTGAGCTTCGTCCAAAGAGGAAAGACCACCATAAAGATCAAAAACTGGCAAACGTAGCACATGTGGCAGCAGCACGCCGCCGTCATGGGCGGTCTGCATCCACCTAAAGCCGACAACTGCGAGGGCAACTTGCACCGGCTGGGGGGTGGGGTGAAAAAGCCCCAGTTGCAGTGTCATAGCTGTTCCAAAAGGGCAAGTGTCTGTGTGTGTGTGTTTGTTTAGAGGATAACTTTTTAGAGTTGGTTTTAAAGGAAACTGAAAGCACAGCCTACAAGGAAAGGGCCTCCCTATTTTGACACATGCCCTCAATACCCCTCGCCCCCCGATTTCCCCTGGTTCACCTTTCTGAAACCACACCCATTTGCGAATACGTTTTCCGGAAGAAAAATGATCGTCCGGTGGTTTTTAGGTCAGGGGGAACTTTCCATTTACCCTCAATAAGAACCAGGGTGCAAATCTTCAAACCACCAATCCAAACCACCAATTAAAAGTCAGTGCTAGTGTGGATGGACAAAATAGTGCACCAGCTAAGAAACCCTGGAATGCTGATTCCCCTGTAAATACCAACCAAAAATGCTTTCATGGTTGCAAAGGTGGTGCAGGATTTTGTCCATCCACAGTACATTGCCTTTGGAAGCAACAGGGAAACAAACAAGCAGACTCTTGAGCAAATGGAAACGAGAAGCTCAGATCGAACTTGGGGAAGTGGGCAGGTCCTTGCCGTGGCAAGCAAAAATTCCCCATCTGGCAAACAGTGGCCGAGAGGAGACATGGCTGTGGCTCAAAAAACCGGTACCCCAAATGGAACCCTAGGGACCAAAACCTGCGGTTTGCCCCCCCTTTTTAATTTTGAGCCACACCCACATGCAAACTAATGGGCAAACAACCCACGCCGACTGTGACCGGGCATAAACCACCAACTGGTATAAGGGAGCTGCGCTGGCGCCAATTCAAGCAGTCAGCGCGAAAGCGAAAGCCCTGATATGTCCGCCTGTGCCGTAGCTTGGCTATGGCTCCCCGGCATGAAGCTGCATGTCTTTTTGGAGGGTACCCTTTGTGGGTAGCTGTAAAGGGAAACCAATTGGAACATCTTGGAACACCATCTTATGTATCTTGCGTTTTCTCGTGGTCCCTCGAAAAAGAAGAACCGCACCCTCTTCCCAAACCAATCCAAACCAGCAAGCTGGTTGACGGCCACAGCAAACCAGCCAATAGCTGGACCTGTTGGCGTTTCTTGGCCAGGCTTCCGAGCTCAAGAGATCAGAGCAGTTTCAATCTATGGCTCCCGATTGACCTGAGAACATCTGCCCCTGAGGAAACGAAAAGGACCCGGGACCAAAACCACCAATTTTGGTTTGCTGAAAGGCTCGGTGCATCCTGGAGGGGTCCCTAAGTTTGAGAGAAGCACCCTCATGTTCCCAAAGTTCAAGGCTAATGACTTGCACAGGTGGACTCAACCTGCATCAGGGCCTTGGCCCGCCTGTCGTGCAGGTTGATTCAGCTTGAATTTTCAGGTTTTGATTCAATCAAATAACTGAACTGACAAGCTGGATGTGCCCCCTCGACCTGAAAAACTCGATCGCAAGAGGTTTGCTCTGGGCATGTGACGTGGTTGCTTCAGATTCACCAGCGTGTGGTCGATGGTCTCCTGCACGACTTGAAATTCAAAACAGGGCCCGTCACCCCAAGACTCACTTCCTGAGCCAAACAAAGCTTGAGCGTGTTGTTTGCCACTAAAACCTGGTGCAAGAACCTTCCCAAGAGATGGCAGAGGACAGCAAACACTGTCGTGTTTTCACTTCCGCAGCGTGCACCAATGGCTGTCTTTCTCAGCTGCCCCTCGGTTGACCCAGGAAAAAAGGGTTAACTTTTGGGGCCCATGACTGGAAGGGTCTGAGGGTTTTCGGAGGACTTGGTACCCGTGGCTAGCATGCAAAATAATCCCAAAAAATCAGTGAAACTAGCAGAAGAAAAGGGACTTTTTGGACAACCGAAAAAGGACAAAATAGGGTGCCACTGAAAGACTGGCCAGGGTATTGACCTGACAGTGATGCAAGGTGGCTCATCTATGCAAGGTGGTTCGTAGGTCCATCAAATTCGGGCGCATCGAAACCATTCCCAGGTGCGGTTCATAACTCTATCCCAAGATTCATGGGAAATAAGCCTCAGTGGCCTTTGCAGGGTGCCGGATTCAACCTGCACTAGGCTTTTTTTTGTTTAATTAGTGAAGGCTGAATAAAGCCGCCCAACCACAACCAGGCTTCTTGGTTGCTGTTGACCCCCTTGCAAAAAGTGAATTAACTGTTTGTGGGTTCAATCTTGATGTCAACCAGCAAGTTAAAGTCAAAGACCCGTTACCCAATAACCATCAAGCATTTCAGGGTGCAATCCTTGTGAATGAGGCGAACCCCCACTTACTTGGTTCGAACACCAGGGCCATGGGTCGTACAGCATGTCCCGTACCAGAACTCCGATCGCTAGCAAGCTACCTTTCTAGGGGTAAATTCCACATTCTTTCCAGGGATCCTTCTTTCCAGAAAACCACCAAGAACCCCAGAGACATGGATCTGGTTTTTCAAAAAACGATGGCTGAAAAGAATGGAAAACGAATCAACCCCTAGCACCTTAGAAGTGAAACTACTCAACTTTTGGTGGCTCAAACGCCCTCCTCGTCCTCGCTCTCTGGGTCGGTGCTCCCATCGGCATCAGTAGATGAGCCTCGCGGAACGCGTCGAGTTTACCCTCGAAAGAAATGGATAAGCACCCACCAAGCCCCGTGAACAGCGTAGCAAAACCACAGTAACAAACACCTGCAATTCTACCGATAGTTGACAACTTAAATGTGACAATAGATATTGCCTGGCAGAAATTGTATAATCATGACATGACAACTCGAACGATACGAATTATACAGTTGCAGTGATCTCAACACTATGTAGTCATAGCTCTAGAGGTTTTTTCCCCATTCTTTTCAACCACCGTTCTGTTCGAAAACCAGCCGTTTTCCCTGGGTTTCTGGAGGTTTTCTAGAAAGAAGGATCCCTGGGTTCAGAATGGGGAATTTACCCCTAGAATAGCAACTCGAACACCTAGCAAATCGAGCCCTGTCCGTCCAGTACAGCGCAAGTCTTTCGGGCTTTAGGGATCGAGTCATGACCTTGAGGCTCACCGGACCTGAGGCTCCGAAATGGACTTTGGGTCTTTCAGTTGCAGTCCCTCCCAAAAAACAACGCAAACAACTTGGGGGCTGCCGGGATCCCCCAGCAAAAAAAAAAAAACGTGTTGCTGGTTAAAAGGAACTATGAGGGGAATCCAAAAAGTTAAAGTCTAAAGATCCAACCCAATAGCAGTAGAGAAAAGGACGCCAACTTCCAAGAGCCCTCCAAGCTACCTTTTGAGCATACCCCGAACACCCTGTGAAAGGAATCTTCACGGGAAACTCGGGGTATGTTCAAGAAAGACTGTGGATGGACGAAATCCGTTCGCACCACTTCGAAACCATGAGATCAGCTGGAGTCAGGTGACTTGTTCTGACTTTTTACTGCCGCTCTGAGGGTCGCACCGTCATATGGCCCGCCGCCTGAGCAAAAGCCAAAACTGGAAGACCGCGCTAGGTGAATGGAATAACCTAAAGTGTTAACATAGGTCACCCAGAAGGAATCTTCACAACAGCATAATGTCCCTGACTACATATAATTTTGGTCCTGGGGTGCTACATGTGGGCTCCTCTTGAAATCTTTGACAAAGGCTGCCATGCTCTACTTAACAGTTGCACTCAAAGGACTTGGAGGGAAAGGTTCGCTCTGAGAATCGCCCTGCCGACTTTCCCAAGTTCGACCTTGTCGCTTCTTCCCTTTGCCCAACTCGGACCCGAAAGGCGTGAGGTCATTTCCCCCTGGACCCCAGGGATCTCCCACATCGCTGCCCTTCCAACATTGGAAGCCAGGGTGCGTCCTGGCAGCCCATTTCAATTCTTGGGGCTACCACGGGGTGAATTGCAATACATGCGCCACCCCTTGGCTGGAAATCGGAACTTTTCCCAAAAATGGCGCCCTGCTTGCGGGCCCTGCTTTGTGCGGGTGTGTCTGAAAGGGGTGGTTTGTTGGGATGGTTCAAGCTGAAGCCAAAAAGGATACCGCCCTTCCTGCGGTTTAAAGGTCGATCGCCCGTTTGCGGATTTCTTGGAAAGATCAATGCTTCCAACAGGAAGCTCAGGCTACCAAGGTTGACCTTGGCAAAACCAGCCAACCCAACAAAAAGCTCAAGGTGCGATTTGCTCATCTGCTGATTTTGTGCTTGACTAATTGGCCCTTGGCTCCAGCTGGGCGTCGAAAATTCATGGGCCCTGAAAGGGCTTCTGCCTGGCCCGGAAACCTCAGCTTCTGTCACCCCAAAGCTGGATGCTTACTTATGGTAAATCATGGTTTCAAAAGATATCTCGTCCATGTGGTATTTGGACCCAGGTGTGCTCCCCTCAAAATGTGGAGCAAATTCTTGGGATGATCCGTGTGTGAATGGGATAATGTTGACCCCATATTCATCAACCATTGCTGATTCATATGGGGCGCTTCCGTTTGGAACACCCCCATATGAATCCTTTACCTGCCACCCCTCCCCAACGTGCCACGTGGCGATTCCAAGGCAGAAATCCTTTCTTCTGGGGCTGTGTGGGACATAGTTGCGTAAAAACTGGGGTGTTCGATTCCCCCTGGTCCGCTTTGCATCCGATGGGCAACATCGCCAGCATCACCTGCATCCTCTGCCAATGATGCGGATGATGCAGGGGATGTTGCCCATGATGGTGAAGGAAATCTGGAAATGAAGGAAAATGCGTGGAAATGAATGACATGAAGTGAAATGAAGGAAAAGGAAAAAACAGACATAAAGGGACATGAAGGGAAGTGAAGGAAAGTGAAGGGAAATGAAGATGGAGCGGGGTGAAAAGGAAAAAATCTTACGGGGGGGGGGGAGTGTCGGGGGGGCGGGGGGGGGAGATCTTAGGGGGCAAATGGGGGGCAAAGGAAAGATCTTGCAAGGGGGGGCAAGGGAGAAAAGATCTGTGGGAAGAGGGGGAAAGGGGGAGACCTAGGAGGACAAAGCAGGCAAAATATCTTTAAGGGAGGGGGGGGGGGAGAAAAGGGGGGGAAAGATCTTCGGGGCGGGGGGGAAGTGGGGAGCGGATCCTTGGAGGAAAAAAATCGGGGGAAAGGGGAGGAAAAGATCTTAGGGAGGAAAAGGGAGAAGATCTCAGCAAGGGAAAAGGCCTTAGGGGGGAAAGGGGGGAAAGGATCTGAACAGGGAAAGGGGGAACAAGATCTTAGGATTACTCTGGCCCTGGGCTTCCGTCCGACGTCCTCTTCGTAAGTTCTGAGACCCCGGGCCGCCATTGGCTGAGATCAGCTGACGATGGCTCATGGCAAGCCCCAGCAGCGACGATAAAAATTGGTGGCAGCGTCTGAGTTTGGAGAATGGCCGCGGATTGAGGTCAAGGCCGTCAGGGTGAAGTTCCGCCATGAAAACCGCCTCAATTGAAAGCAACGAAAATGCACAAGTGCAAACTTGTTACACCCAGTGCTGAGCCTGGCTTCGGGTTGGAAAACCTAACCGAACTGGAAAAAGGAAAGGGTTCCAAGGTGAAATCGTGTTTGCCATAGGGAGGGTTAGGGTACAGGAGGCTTTGGATCCTATGATGAGCCAAAAAGGGGGAATTGGACCCCAGTTCAGCTGGGCCCTTTGCCTTCCTGCTCCTTTCAGGAGTTGCTACATGGCCATACTGTGGATGGGGGCGAAATCCTGAAACTCCTACAACACCCTGGAATGATTCGATTCCCTTGTACATACATGGCTTCATTTCGTGGTGCGAAATGGCCCTCGCAACCATCCATAGTTCTCTCCAAGCCTTCTACCTGTCTAAAAACCTCAGGGCTCAGGACCAGCACTGGCCAAGAACATGTCTTGACACGTGTGTGTGCAAACGCACATAGGTGTTGTCTTCCCCAGAAAATCCCAGGCAAGCCTTTATGGTGGGCAACCAGCTATTTGTCTGTTTTTTTCCCTAAAGGGTGGCAAGCCCTTGGCCACGTATACAGGTCAACCAGGGAAACCTTGGGCTTCCCTGGTTTCCAAGCCACTTTACAAGGGTTCAACCAGGGCCGACAGACAAACCAAAGCAAAGAGCCAAAGAGGAAACACCAAAGACTAGCCATGAAAACACACAGGGCATGGACAAGCATGACAAGCATTCAAATGACATGCGATCCAGGTGTTTGTGTGTCATACGGGACCTGCTTTTGCTCATGGTTCTGGCCCTTCCCATTCTCTTTAAGGATCCTTCTGTTCATACATGTGCCTTGAACCCAAGGATAATATTATTGTCATTGAAATGCGAAGAAGCATGCGTGAACAGACTGACCCACCCTGATAGAATAGTAGGCTCCCCTCGGTTTCCCTTTTGCGACCGCTTTCCGGAGGCCACTTTGCGCGCTGATCCATTTTTTTCTCAACGACGCCTTGAAGCGCGATTGATGGAAGCAGGGGTCCCCCATATTTCGTAGAACCCCACCCGTCCATGAGGCCATGTTTGCTTAAAGCCGAGAACGGCGATATGCAGGGAGCCCTGCAGAAAACAATTCGCAATGCCTTGCAGCGCGGGTGTGATTGACCTCCACCCCACCCCCAAGATTGGGTATGTGCCCCTTGCACAGTCGCCTTGTAGTGGTTGCATACCCAGGAAAATAGTGAGTTGGGGGTGCTTGGGGGTTGGGGCAGTGGAAACCCGGATGACGGCTGCGTGTTTCGGAGTTTCGAGCCCGATTTTTGCGATCCAAAAGGATCTGCACCTGCAAGATCCCGCAACAGGGGTCCTTGGGCCCTAGCGTGGAACATGTGGAAACCCAGTCAAATCGTTGCACCAAGTGGTCTGTCCCAGTATGGGGTTTTGGCTTGTGAATCCCAACTGGTGGATGCTGTCCGTCCACAGTTTTTTTCATTTCTGTGATGCCAACATGGGTCACTCCCAAAGCTTTGGCATTCCAACAAGTGACCGTAAAACCGACTAAGCTGGTATCTAAAGCTGTACGTCCCTGTGACCTGAAGATTGAATCCCTTGGACCATCTCTAGTTTCAAAGCCGGCCAGTTCCCATCAGCTCGGAGAAATGATTCGGGATGACTCACTTGCCCCTTAGACACTGAGCAATTGTGCGTTAAGCTTTTTAGGGCCGTGACTACTGCAGTTGTCTCAAGAAAAATATTGCCTAGGCCCTAGGCCGGCTGGCCCCTCCGATGCAAAGTCAAGTGAGTCACAATCAAAACCCGGTACAAAAATGGTCGACCCAGAACCATGCAAAGAACTAAGAAGGCGGCCGCATCTATTTATGGCTGGGATCGTGCTTTATGAAAACCTTCACTTACCCGAATCCGTTTTGAGCACGTGGCTCAAGTGAGTGAGTTCTCCAGCTTCCAACGCCAGCCTTTGGTATTTCTAAAGGTTGCGATTGAACATGTTGCATGACAAGCCAATGCTCCGTTCTATCGAATTAAACTATGCCCATGTTGCACCCCGAAACCTTCCAAGGGACCTAGAACTCACTTCCTGAGTGGATTGGTCAAACAAGATGTTTAACGCTAAAACACGTTTCGCACGACATTGTTGAAAGTCCAGGATCAACAGTAAGAAGGGTAAGGACTCCTGTTGCAAGGCGGCTATCTAAAAATATCGCCACTGCCTTAGTGCCTGCCTCGCCATTGCTCGCCCCTGCGCCTCTGCGCCTCTGCGCGTGGCGCGGGCGGCCTCCTCTCTCAGCGGTTCGTGGTGGAGCCAATCATCATGAACGCCTGCAGTCACCCTGGGGCTCCAACCACCATTAAATCGAAGGGGTTCATACAACCACCAGTATTTTTACCTAAGGATGGTCATCATCCAAATTGGGTCAACCATTCTTTGATTGGGGGTTGAACCCCCCCCCCCAGGGGTAACTTTTGCGGCACTAAACGGGAACTCAAGTCTCTTTGACGGAACTCAAGTGAGGAAAAGGAAACTAGGCTTTTTGGTTTGTGGAATTCCTTGCCTACCCCCCCCAACAAAAACCTGGAAACAAAAGGTTAACCTTTTGGGACCTTATTTTTACACAATTTGGACCAAACTTGGGAAACCACAGGTCAAAATGTCGATTTGCTTTGGCAAGGGCAAGTGAGTTTTTTGACCCCAAGCCTGTTTTTGGAAGCCATCCTTTTCCTGGGACCTTGATCAAACATGGGCCAAAACCGGGCTGTTCCACTTTGGTACATCCCCAATCCATGAATCCCAGGCGAAAGTTTGCCTGCAGCTTCCGTTTGCAGCAAGTACCCTGCTTGGAGCTGGTGCAATCACAAAAAGCGGATCGTATTGAAGAGGCACGACCACGTGACGTTCATTTGCTGGCAAAAACCAAGCACATGTTTCATGTTTCCAGTAGTGATAGATTCCCTTAAAACCGGCAGGGGAACAAAACAAACATTAAACAACACGAAGAAACAACTATTCTCAAGCCAAAGGTGACTGGCCCCTTGTTGCTCGGTGTGGGGGGGCGGGGGACGGGGGACGGCGGGGGTGCCAAAGCTCAGATGCCACAAGGCCTGGTTCACGCCGATGTAGGGCATGAAAAGAGTCAGGAAGGGCATCAGGACGAACCACGCCGGACCCAGCCATTTCATGATGCCGGTGACTGTCCTCACTCCGAAGGCACCAACCAAAAACTCTTAGAACACGGGGGATGTGATCAATCAAAACCCGGTATTAAAATGGTCTACCCAGAACCATGTAAGGAATTTAGAAGGCGGCCGCAACTATTTCTGGCTGGGACTGCCCCGGGTTTTGAGCACGTGGCTCATGTGGCACCCATAAACAACGGGATTCAGAGCGTGGCACGGAACTTCTGGCCATCAAGCTGCTTGGTACGTGGGTGGTAATATTTTTCCTGGTTCTGAGGGCACTTGCCCCAGCTCCTCTACGGCTTGGATGTGGAATCAAAGAGTACTACAAGTACTGAGATCAAATTTACGCAAAAGAGCCACCAGAGCGAAGAGCAGGTGAAGTCCACAAACAGCGCATCCAGACCGATTTCTAGACGAACAACATGCTCGACAACACTCGGACAAGGCTCCAACCAAACAGGAATACTGGACTAAACAATGGGAAGCAAAACGCAATCAAAGAACCTAGAGATACAAGGTTGAAACCGAACTGACAACCGGACAAATCTAAAAAATGAAAGAACATGTTCAAATTTCTTTAAGAGGTTGCCCTCCCTCCCTGCTCCCCTCAAACACCGGGTTTCTAAATCCCCAGAAGAAAAAGAGGAAGAAGAAGAAAACAACAAAAACAATAAAACACAATATTTCCAGACCAAACAGGGGCAATATTCTTAAGCAAATGGAAGTAAGTAGAATCCATCCGTCCCGCAAAGTGATCCATCTGGATCCCCAAGGACATTCCCCCAAATTCAAATTCAAGTCTTCTGCTTAACTCACTTCCGATCGAGATGAGCCAAACAAAGTAACCACACTTTGAATTGACCACTAAAATAGTCCAAACCCAAACAGTGTACAGGGATCCTTACATGAAAAACACCCGAATATTGCCTTGTAAATGGTGGTTCCCCTTTATTTTGGTGGAAAAAACAACATGTTTCAAATGGTTGCAAAATGTATCTTTTAAGGAGCCCTGGTGTACAGTCCATGAACTCAGAAAGTCTGCTCCATCCGGGGTTCACAAGGGACCCTTTCGGCTAAGGAACCCACAAAACTGGCCACGTGAATCTCACTTACTGGCGGGGAACCAGCTATTTGCCTTCTGGTTCTTAAAGGGTGGGAAGCCCTTGGGTACCTGCCAGTAAATGGATCCTCTGGGTTTTTCAAGAAGACCCATCCAAACTCGAAGCACTTTGCTAAATACGGGCCCCTTTGGTGTGGGGATTTCTGTCCAACCACATGTGCGGTGGCTCCCGGTGAAGTTCGTCTGAGCGTCTCGTTCAGGATCAGATTGCCAATCATCAACTCCCACCAGCCGCGAGTGCACAAGGCTTGGCCCCACGAGAGCTTCGAGGCTCTCTCTGGCGTCATCTTTGTGCGACCCACCCACCTAACGACACGGATCCGGCCAGTGACCAGCCTTCTGCTCCAAAGGAAGCCATGAAGGAACGCCGACAAGGCAAACAATGCACTGATTGCTGGCTTAAGAGGAAGGTCAACAACACCCAGTAAGGCAACAGGCAAAGTGACGAAAACACCAACAAGGCAACACGTGACAAGGGTTTAATTGTGACAAGGGAAAACCACAATGAACATTCTAGAAAGGCAGCAAGTTTAAATATCTAAAGGTCGACTTTCATACAGCAAAGGTACATGCCCCAGAGTTAGTGGGTTACATGGGATATACAGGGTACATACCCGGAAAACAATGCTTGAGTTCAGGCTTACAGGTATTGTATGTCCATTTCGGGTAAGTTGGGCCTTAGAAAAAAGGTACGCCATAGTCGAGCCATGCTGCAAGTATGTGCACGGGTGCAGCACATCGAGAGCAATGAGCGTCACAATCCTCAGCTGCGAACGGTGACGCAAGGGAGGAAAGCCCTCCAGAGGGACCTTGTTACCTTGGTCGCCGCAAGGGACCCCTCTGCAAAAAGTCTAGCTTGTTGTGGCTGTGGGAAACCCAACTTGGTTTCAAATAAAAAGTTAAAGTCTGAAGATCCAACCCAATAGCAGCCAAGTTACTAAGGTACTTGAACCCTAAGCTGGGGGAACCCTTCATCTTCCCTAGGTCCTCCAGTAGAGAGGTTGGAAGAAGGGTACCCGTGTTTTTTGTTTTTTTGTTCCTCGTATGTTTCCCCCTTTTTCTCTGTAGTCTAATTTAGTAAGGGAACCCTCCCCCCGAAAAAGTTGGTAAAAAAAAGGCACCTAGCTGCGAAAACCCAATCATCTTCCTTTCTTCAGGGAAGTCAAGAACTCCTCCGAGAATCAGCACGGCCGACAACACGCCTGTGTGCTTCCTGCCCTCCACAATGTAGTAGGTCCAAGCACCGACTGCCCCAAGGATGAGTAACAAAGTCCAGTACTTCACGAGGTTTGTGGACATGACACCACGGTCACCACCCACCTTGCATCCAATGGGTCTGGGCAAAAATAAGCACATGCCCCCGTCCCCTGTTAACTTCCTATTGGGACAATTGAACAATATAGCAAACAATATGAACTTGCACATTGAGCGGGACACGCCAAACAAAACCCTCTAACCACGAAAAGTCTAAACGTCGAAGGTCTACCGGTATCGCTGGAAAACAAATCGCCAAGCCACCCAAAAGCTAATGTCTTCTCCATACATCTGGTAGCGCATGTAATCCTGGATGCCCTTGATAATGGAATAAAATAGCAGCGGCGCTGAGATGTAGAAGAGCTGCCTTGGCTGGAATTAGAACCCTACCAAAAACAAAATATGTGTGTTCCTTGTTCGTGGAAAGCAAACAGGGGACCCCAAAAAGCATTGCACGAATTCGAATTCCAGGGAAGCTGCGTGGACCGCCAGATGTTGTCCATCGACAAGCTAATGACCTCGTTCGCCTCCATACCTCGAGATCGGTTCGGTCAAACGCCAGAGTCGCTTCGCCAGAACCCGCATGCTGATTCAAACGGACCCCCCTCCCAAAAGAAAAAACCCATATCAACGGGCTTGTCTTACTTTGAGGGCAGAGTGGGTCCACTGAAAAACGCCACATCTTCAAGGCATCTCCTCTTAAATGGCCGTCTTTTAGTGTTTTGACTTCTCCACAAGGGAATTGCGCTATCTGCTTTCGGATCCTATGCTTCCAAGCTGCTGGTGGAGAGCGTGTAGCGCAAGGAGGCAGCAATAATCATGCCCCAGCTCAAAATCTGGACAATCAACCTGTGTCGCCATTGGCCCCGCTGCAAACCAAACTTCTATTTCCCTAAGTCGCCTGAAACAAAGAGAATGTGCCCAGTAGTGATGATTTCCCTTTCAAACCGAAAGCGGAAACAAAGAGACGGCCTTTCAGCCAATGGAAGATTTTGCTCGCGATCCGATTGACCAAGTCACCGATAGTGATTAGTGAGAACCAGCATCCAACACCCAACTTGGCAAATCACTTCGGCCTTTCGTTCTGCGGTTGGCTGTTTGTTGGTGAGTTGGAAAAAACTTAGCTTTTTTGTAGGGCAAAAAAGCGCACGTGTTCCCCAACAAGTTGACAGGTGAAGGATCCAGCGGAATAGCCGCAAAAGAGACGGCCTTTCAGCCAATGGATTCTTTTTCTGGCCATCCGCTTGGCCAAGTCACCGATGAGAAAAATAGCAGCCCCAAAAAATGCATAGGGGTTTGGAGTTTGGAAACAACTTACCTTTGTCGTAGGGCAAAACAAAGCGTACATGTTCCACACAAGTTGACAGGTGAAGAGTCCAGCCGAATAGCCGCCAAGCAGCATGAAGGTGAACATCCCGGTGGAGGAGAAGTGGTAGGTGCGCTTGGCGAAGATGCTGTAGTAGTTGAAGCTGATCCTGAGTTAGGTTTCAAAAAAAAACACGTTTCCTTGGCTGGAATTAGGACCCCAGAAAATATATATATATATATATGTGTTGCCTGGTTAGTGGAAAACAAAGGGAACCCCAAAAAAGCAAAAAGGGGAGCTAATTCTGGGGAAGTTTCCTGGCAAGGGTCCGTAAAGAAAGGGACCAAAACCCATGGAACAGTCCGATTTTTTTCAACAAACCTATCGTTTCCCAAGGGTCCACAGGAAAGGGACCAAAACCAAGGTAAAAAAGAATGGAACAAATCCCTTGATTTATGCAAGCAAAGGGGATAATTGAACCACTCACTTGCCCAAAGCCGACTTTTTATGACAATGGGATCAAAACCCACAGATGGAACAAATCTCTTGAATTGAGCGAGAGAAAACTGAGATGTCCGCTTTCCGGTCCCCCGCGAAAAGTGACTAGCTTTTAGTGGGCGAAATGGGAAACCCCACTAAACACAAAAAAGCTAAAAAGCCGAGGGGATGGCTGGGAGCCACCAAGTAAAGGGGATGATTGAACAACTCACTTGCCCAAAGCCGACTTGACCTTTAGACCTTTTTGTTTCTTCTTGTTGGTCCATTTCTAGCCATGACTCCCAAATGTTAATCTTGTATTTCTGGGCCCTTTGGGCAACCGCGACCATGGGGGAATTGCTTCGTCCTGAAGATAAACCCCAAGCCATCAAGCCAGCCCTTTCTGATTCACCCAAACTAATTCGCTGCAATGGGTGAGACTTTGCTGCTGTGGCGCCAAAAAAAGGCCGTCCAAAACCACAAGAAGTAGGTCAAGTTGTCCATGGAGATCAGCAAGCGGCCCCACCACCGCATCTCATCCGGCCAGATGACCGGCAGCTTCAAGCCACAAACCCGCTGCACGAACTTCAGAAGCTCGGTGCAGATGAAGACCAAGAAAATGAACAGCACCTTGGCGGGCTCGTCTTTTTTGAGTTGGTACCCTTTTGCGGGCGTTTTCAACGGAAAACAAAAGGAACACCGAAATCCCTGTTTGGGGGTCCGCTAAAAAAAAGAAGATAGACTACCACTAGCTTCCCTCGTATTATTTGTTGGCGTTTTGGTAGTGTTCTTGTTGTGTGAGAAAGAACACGTTTTCCGAACCAGGTTGAAGCTTAAAGATCAAACTGAAAGACCTTCATCCCGGCGGATGTGTCACCTCGCCTAAAATTGGCGAGCCAACACCTATGAACCACCCAGGGTACATTTCTCCTGGGTCAACAATTTGCAGCCCCGCAAAAGAGCTTAACATTGCTGTTGGCCAATGCGAAAACACGCGCTCCGCTGCGAACACCGGTTGCGAACACCTCCCCCTACGGATCGCAGGGATTTCTTCGAGCTTTTAAAAAACAAACAAATCCGAGGCGCAAGGCTCACCACCCAGCCAACAAACTGGAGGGCCATAGTCACATAGGTCTGCAAGAGATCGGGATGCTGCTTGAAATGTTCCTGTCTGGCGATCAAGGCAAGACTCTTCAACCTTGGTTGCTGCAACGACCCCCCTGCAAAAAGTGAATCACTTTTTGGGGGGTTAGCGGAAAACCCAACTTGATTTCAACCAAAAAGTTAAAGTCTAAAGATCCAACCCAATAGCGGTCAAGCAACCAGTCCACAAAGGGCGTGATGGCGGCCGTGTACGTCTCTTCAGAGATCAGGCCCCACTTCACGATTGCCCAGGTGGGGTCGGTCCGCCCAACCATCATGAAGACCGAAGCGAGGAAGCAGAAGAAGAAGATCAAGGTGAACCAAACCTTGGTCCACTTTCAATCCAAACCTCGAAATCTAATATGTTGCTTTGTTCATCTGTTTGGTCAAGGGTAAACAACTCAGATATACCAAATGTTGACCCAGAAACCATGTAGACACCCTTGTGGCAGCTAAAGAAGGTCTGCAAAGACAGAACCACACCTCCCTCGGCCCATCGCTGTACGGCAGCCAGGTAGTCCACCGGGTTCTTGGCCATGCCAAAGGACAAGCGGCGATTGATGAACTGAGACCGACGGCCTCGGAGCACCTGTTGAAGACTGCTCGCCGTGTCCTCCACCTTGCAGCTCTCATGGAAGGTCCTTCGCTCCACGTACTCCTGACTCTTGCGCTTGCTGTCCGCATCCCGGACGCGCCTCCGCTCCCGCTCCCAAACCAGATCTCCCGGAGGGTGCCTGATCATCCAAGTGCCATTTGTGCCGCATGAGCTGACACCGCCGCAGCAATTTCGAATCATGCAATTCAAGCGGAAGAATTGGGCGTTGTTATTGTCCAAGTAGTCCAACTTGTCCTGCATCTCATGGAAAAATTGCGGACACTGCGTGAAACCCACATAAGGGTTCATCTCCATGTCTTCATCAAAGAAGTACGGGATGGTCGTGTGGAAAAAATCCGTCTGGAACTGATGGCGGGCGTCGCAAATGCTGTAGAGGCAGGGGTAGTTGTCCCGCTCGTCATTGTACATGTTCTCCTTTTGGGTTTGTTTCCAAGGAAAGCCAAAAAGACACCACAAAATTTCAGAATTCCGCTTCCGCAAAAGGTCCCGGAAACATGAAGGATTGGCATATCACTCATTCGCCTGGAAGAAAAAGAACACCCTTTTCCAGGTTGACCATGTTGAGTGGGTTTACACCAAACCCAAAGGGGATTGAACGAACGACACTGGACGGACAATGAAAGTAGCATCCTCCAAATCACTCCCTAGCTCCAAATGATCAACGGGGGGTACCTACTAGTAAACAACAGCTCCCCTGGAGTCTGTTCAATATTGGGATGCTTTGCAGTGTTGGGCGTTAAGAACCGAAAGAAAGAAAAAACAACATCAAAAAAACACCTTCAAGGCCCCCCCCAATACGACTGGGGGTGGATCTGAGTGGAACATTCTACTAGCTTCAAAATTGTTTAGTATTGGTCAATTCGCATGTAGTATTCAGGGACTCTGGGTTCGGGAAACCATGCGAGAGCATTAGGGGGACCTTTATCATTAGAGGGTGAGGATGACCCTCAGAACGCTGGCTAGGGGAAACCAGCTCCACAAGTCCTTGGAAAAGGGGGGTCTATACGTGACGCGATTAAAGCCCTAAGCGTTGCACAAACCACCAAAGTCCTCTAGCCTGAAACAGCTCAATCAATTCCCCACTGACCTTCGGTACCCGTACCTCCGTTTCAACTGGATCCTCAATCCAATCCCTCCCTCTTGGATCATCCAAGCCTGGGCTTACCCAGAACCATGTAAAGAACTAAGGCGGCGGTCGGACGAAGTTACTGCCTCTACCTACCCGGGATTGAAAATCGTGGCTCAATTGATGCTTTGGAGCCCGGCGGTTTTGAGGTGTTTTTGAGCTTGGCTTCCATTCACCCGCAAGAACCAGGCATTCAAATCCACCAAGCCACCAATGAGGAGTTACCCGAAAGTTCCTTTTTGCAGCGAGCCAACTTCTGCGAGTCTGGCTGGTTCTTGCGATCCAAGTGTGATCCAACCCAAACCAACTAGGTCCTCCAGATTTGAGAGGTTCGAACAAGTCGGTACCAACTTCTTTTTTTTTGTCTGTAGTCATTTTTAGTAGGGGGCGGAATGGGTTCCCCTCCCCGAACCAAAACCAAAAAAAACAGGCAAAAAACGGGCAAGCCCCTCGCCGGGGGAATCTGCCACGCCAAACCTTAACTGAAAGCTACCTGAAACCGAGCGACCGGCTTGTCCGCATAGAGGCACAGGTAGTTCTCCGCGAAGTTCAGGCCCCCCGCCTTGCCGCGGCTCGTCCTCTATACGCGTCCCATTACCAACTCACGTGAGAAAAAAACACGACTGATACTTCTCAGCTTTCCGAGCGCATGCGTGTTGGTCTCAGGGTCTAAGGGTTGGTTCCTCTTCCATTATTTCCAAGCATCGCTCTTTGTAAAAAAAAACGGCCGTTTCCTTAGGTTTGCGGAGGTTTTCTAGAAAGAAGGATATCTGGAAAGAATGGAAATGGAAGGTAGCACTATAGACACATATTGTAAATGTTGCTGCGTGGATTGGCAATAACAAAAGGTCCAAACTTTCGGGTTGCCCCCAAAACGCTCCAAACCCAAAAAGTGACCCCGTCGTCCAAAACGGCACCGAGTATATGAAACATTTTCTATGGGAAGCACTTCCGGTTTAATGAGGGCTTGATATATCCTGGGAGGAGTTAGGTTTCATGCGGGCGAGCGGGTTTCTAAAGAGTTCGGAGTTCGAGGCGCGCCTGGCGAGCCCGGCGAGCCCTCGCCTTGAGTTCACGAGAGACCCTTCGGCTGCGGCGGTCTTGTGTTTTTTTTTTTTCAGCGCCCAAAGGGAAATTTACCGAGATTTGGAACATATCTTGACGCTGGCCCAAGCGTAGGTGTCCGTTTTGGCTTCTATTTCTGTGGGTCGGAAATGGAGGGCGAGTGGTTGAAATGGTTGCGTGATAACCGGCCATCTGCATCTGTTTTTTCCCAAATGATCGACCGCGTAAAAGGATTTCTAAAAAAGAACTCGTCCCTACGGTGCCCCCCCCCAGTGTCTCAGAGCCCCCCCCCTTCCTGCAAACCTCCAGCACATGAGGCCAGCTTTCGGGAGAGTTCAAGTTTCAATTTTGGCAGGGCACCCTGGCTTGGTATGGCTTGGTTGACGTTGGAAGGGGAGCAAAAATCCAAATTTTAGCAGTTAAGTGGTTGGATTTCAACCACTCAACCACAATAAGCAAAAATGTAAAATGTGTCCTAACAACAACCATGCTGTGGACAAAAATATACATCAACCCTTTGCTTCCTGGTGCAATACGTATCAAGTCTCTGCGGGTGTTCCCCGTTTGATAAGCTGTAATGCTATGGGTTGCGTGATTCGACTGGTAAGAAGGTACGTGGCAGAACACGGCGGCTTCGTTTTTAATTGGACCCATCGTTGGCTGATACCTAAAGGGAAACCAAACGGAAGCCCACCAATTTGTTGGGGAGCGATTCCTATGTTGAGAACCCCCCCCAATTGGACTTGTTGGGTCCCCATAATTAAGCAGCTCGAATCGAGTCGAATAGAGGTCCTGAGCGGCACGTTGTTCATGAAGGCGTCATCGTCCTCCAGGCCGTAAACCATCTCCTTGGCGTTGGCCCTCAACTTCAGCCAGTCCTGGCGAGAAGTGCAGGAATCCTTACATTATACACCTCAACATTGCCTTGTAAATGGAGGTGTCCTATTATTTTGGTGAAAAAAGCCATGTTTCAAATGGGCAAGATGCATCTTTTAAGAGAAGTCAAGGGCATTTCCAGGTTTTGGAGCTACTGTGGCTGGACGAAATCCTGGATCTGATTGCGTCCATCCACAGTATGGGCTTTGGTTCTGCACCTCTCATATTTGGCTAAGGATTATATGTGGGGTGCAAAAACCCTCCCTCCCACTTCACATAGCAACTGTGGGAGGATACCTGGAAGATCGAAGTCGGACCATACTCCTGTCAGGTGCCAGGTTGGAGGAGCGGGTCAGCCCCACACCCCGAAGCCATGACTTGAGCGGATTGACTGGTCAGAGTACACACTGCTTAAACTTACCCCTTAAAACTCCAAGCCCTGGGGCAGTTAATCTTTTACAGCCATATAGCCAATGTTACCCAAAAAGTTGAAAAGTTGTGTTTTTTAAGAGGTAAGTAGAGGTTCCACTATGATCCAAACCCAAAAAGTTGTCTACGTGGACAGTCGCAGCTTTGGCGAGTGACCGACCTGGAGGACTCTCACAAAGGGCTTTGGAAGCCGCCGTGCGCGTCAAGGGAGGCTTCTTTGACTGCGGAGTTAGGTCCTAAGCCCAGGTCAACATTCATGCGAAGCGGGGTTAGGTCCACAGCTCCCTTTGACAAGCTGTCCTACAAAGCGGGAAAATGAACAACATTCAGCAACTGAAAGAGAAGGCACGCAGGCATGCGCCGAAAGCACGCTGAATCCAGTTTTGTGGGTTCCTTAGCCGAAAGGGTCCCTTGTGAACCCCGGATGAAGCAGACTTCCTGAGTTCATGGACTGTACACCAGGGCTCCTTAAAAGATACATTTTGCAACCATTTGAAACATGTTGCTTTTTCCACCAAAATAAAGGGGAACCACCATTTACAAGGCAATATTCATGTGTTTTTCATGTAAGGATCCCTGTATTCTGTTTTGGTTTGGACTATTTTAGTGGTCAATTCAAAGTGTGGTTACTTTTTTTGGCTCATCTCGATCGGAAGTGAGTTGTGGTCTTTGGATGTATTCCGTTTTTTTTTTTTTTGGAATACATCATTTCAAGCCAATGCATCATTAGCCCCCAATGTGCTTTTCTATTGGTCAACCCCCCTTGCAATGAACCGGACCCTCAAAATCAAGTGATCTTTGGATGTGATTTGTTTAGCCCAAATGCATCATTTCAGGCAAATGCGCTTTTCTATCGGTCAACTCCTCCACCCCCGCCCCCCTACGCCCACCCTTGATTCTTCACAAGGCCTTTTTGCTGGGGGCCTCATTTGCATTTTACTACTCAGTTGCCCCTTAGCACTTTGAAGACCTGACGGCGGTTGGGCCCGCCTTGTTCTCGGCGTTCTGGGGCACCTTGTAGTACCAGGTGCCAGGTGCCACCTCGAACCAAAAAACTCACAGACGTCGGACTGAAAATCCGTGAACCCTTGATCCTTCCAGAAAACCCTGATGCTCCTGAGCCGGAGACTTTTGGGGTGCAGGCAACTTGGGCTTTACCTGACTCGCAAACCTGCTTTTGCGGGCAAAGATCCGCACTGCCGGTGGGTCTCCTAAACTTGCTCTACCCATTCTTGTGTTTTAAAGGAAACCAAAAGGAACATCACTATTTTGAGAGGTCCCTTAAAAATTGACACACCCGCATGAAGCGTCCACTGCTCAAACCTTGATCTAGCTGGGGTTTTGACCTAGTCCCACCAAAACATGAAAGCCAAGTGGAGGTGCCAATGCGATTTGCCTCTTAAAGAAGTCCAAACTGCTTCTTTGCCACTCAAGTGGCAACCAAACCCAAAAAGTGACCACTCACTTCCTGAGTGGATGGGCCTAAGAAAGTCCAAACTACTTGTTGTCCACCAAAATGCGCTTCCCACAAAGTCCAGTCCAAGAACTGAAGTGAGACCAACGCTCACAGGGACTGAGTCACTCGACTCCGCATCTTGGTTGACGTTGGAAGGAGAGCAACAATCTTGTTTTTTTGGCAGTTAAGTGGTTGGATTTCAACCACTCAACCACAATAAGCAAAAACAAGTCAGAAATGTTTCCCAACAGCAACCATGGCACAGGCTTCGGCCGAGCTGCGTGCTGGGCCTTGATGGTGCGCTCGTCCTCCATGGGCTTGGCGCGCGCCAGGTAGTGCAGCCGCAGCGCCAGGCTGTTGCGGTCCCGAGGCTCCCAGTCCGCCACGTCGTCACGGTGCAGGTCCTCCAGCGCGCTGAAGCTCAACCTATTCGGGGTGTCTCTTCTTTGGGTTTCTTGTCTATCCCATATGTGTGGTTTTATCTTCTTAGGTGGGTGTGGCTCAACATTCAACGATCGGAGGGGCAGACCGCAGGTTTTGGTCCATGTGTCCACTTACCACGGCAAGCCATTTTGGTACCGGTTTTTTGAGCCACAGCCAGGTGGTTGTCTATCCCAAATGTGTGGAGTTTTAACCCATGAAGTTGTTGAAGTTGTTGATGGTTTGCTTTTGTTTAACCAACCTCGTGGTTTTCCGTTTGGCTTTCACCTTAAAACCGCCGCCACAACAAACAGGGGGTACCCTCAAACATAGGCTTGGGCCGAAATGGGGATTTGGACCCTGAACAATTGTGGTTTCCCTTTCAAAAATTAAACCAACCCCAAAAAGGGTACCCTCAAAAAACACAGATCCACATCTGCCAGTGAGAAACAATTCCCTTTGAAGCCAACCTCGCCAAATCAAAAGAAAAATCGACGAGACATGAACCTTTTTGTCGCTCACAATCTCTTGAAGTCTTGCAGCAATAACCAACCTGGCCAAACACCGAAAACAACCGACTCAACGCATGTAAGTCTCTTGAACACGACCGACGTTTTGAGCATTGATTTCTCTCCTTAGGTGTCCTTTTTTTTTTTGGGAACATAGATGGCCCTGGTAGCCATCTAATTGCTTTTTTTGTTCTGGCAAAACAACCAAAACGGAGACCTATGCTTCTCTCCTTCTTCTCCTTCTTGTTGTCCTTGAGGTCTTCCTCCAAGATGTCCAAGGCGCCTTTTGACTTGGGCCACCGGGACCCAATAAACCCCATCCACCAGTTGTGACCCCTGAGGCAACGAAGAAACCAAATGCATTTCAGCACGAAAATACCCTACCAATTGATACCAGGGCATTTTCAGGTATTACCTCCCAAGAAAAGCTAAGGCGTTGCATACTCCTCATATAAGTGGTACATAGCCTCGCTCCATTACCCCTCTCCCTGAACATGCCCTTGAATTGGATGAACAACCCAGTTGCCTTGGGCGACCAAAGGTCTAAGATGGTGTCACTACTCCCAAACCACTACCCCCATTTCTTTTTAATCGGATACGGTCGCCACTAAAATGGTCGAAAATTCCCCCCTCCCAAAAACAAAGGAAAACAAAAGTGCAACTTAAGTCACTTTCACGGAACACAAGTGAGGAAAAGGGAAGTAGTAGGCTTTTTCTTTGAATGCCATACTTGCCCAAAGGACCTGGAAAAAAAGGTTCGCCTTTGGGACCTTTACCAAGTTTGGCCCAAACTTGGGCAAAAGGTCGATCCGCCTTGGTTGCAAGTGAGAAATTAGCAAGTCGTGGAAACCCACACCACATCAGGTGGACCCTGGATGAAGAAACCCCTGTCTACTAATGGGGGAAGTCCCTAGGTTTCGTGGGGATTCGCCACCATTGGAGGGCAGCACCCCCATATACTTACCCCTTAAAACTCCAAGCCCTGAAAAAGTTAATCTTTTACAGACATATAGCCCATGTTACCCCCAAAAAGTTGAGAAAAGCTGTGTTTTTAAGAGGTAAGCTATATAAACAAACAGGCGTTCATTCAGCCCGGGTCAACATTACCCACACCGACTCACCCTCCCCCCGCCTCCCCGCCCCTCCCCCCCTCCGCTGCCCCTCCCCCCCAAAACGTCCCGTTTTGGTCGTAGGCGCTCTCCAAGGGATCGATGGCCTGCTGAGGCATGGGGCCCCATCCGCCTTCCTTCCGGAGCTTCTTCAAGGAGTTCCTCGGTTGACGTTGGAAGGGGAGCAACAAAAATCAAGTTTTAGCGGTGAATAAGTGGTCAAACTTCAACCACTAAACAACAATAATCAAAATGTAAAACGTTTCCCAGCAACCATGACTCACTCCCGATGGAGTGGATGGCAACCAACAAAAGTCACCGAACTGTTGAAGTTTGCCACTGAAAAATGTCGAAACCCAAAAAGGTTGACTAAAGTCCGGACCTCAGGAAGTGAGTGCCCCCTGTAAAAGGGGACGGGACCTGGAAAACCTGGAGATGACCCCAAAAACCCATCCACAAAAACAATTGTCCGTTTGCTGAAAGGAACATGTGCTTTATGTGCCGCTGTTGGGTTTAAGGGTGGAAGAATATATTTCACGGCTAGAAATAGTTTCTCATGTTTTCCAAGGGGCACAAAAGCACATGGAAGAAATGGGGCGTTGCCAACCACAAGTTTGGGGCAATTTGTCGTTTGCTTTAGATAGTTTGAGGGACCAGCACATAAAAGGTGATCATCTGTTGGAGACACCTAGGGCTAAGAATGGGATTCCAACAAGGTGTCCATTCGGTTTGAACAACTGACGATGAACAAAGGCGACGAGAGATCGTTGTCCCCAAACGGCGGGACACCTCAAGCCACGGTGTCCTTTCTTGGTAAACACAAGCAAGGACTTGAGCGCCTGCCATGTTTACCCAGATACCCTTGTAGTCGGTAACCGGCTGTTTCCCCTTTGCTTTTTGAAGGGTGCCAAGCCCTTGGTTGTCCATACGGGTAAACAGTTCGAAAGGTGCGACTCACAATACAACGCAGTCATTGGAACTCGGGGGGAATGGAAAAAATAGAAGAAACAAGGCGACATAAGATACGGCCTTGCGGCTCTGTCAGGGTTCTCACCGGTGAACCTTGAATGGAAGGTGAGAAGCCCCTGAGCAAATTAGTATAAATTTCAGCTAACCCTTGGTGGTTTGGATTGGTGGCTTGTGGAGGGTTTAAGTGACACCTCCAAACCGTGAGGTGAAAACCACCCATCAAAAGAAAGCTCGGATTGTGGGGGGGGGGGGGCTTGAAAAGCCCCTACCTTGTTGCGGGTGAAGGCCCTTCTCCACCTGCATTGGTGGAAAAAGTGCGGGTGACTCGTCTGTTCCAGTGAACATCCCAATCCCCACTAAAATAGACTAAAATGGGTGGTGCACCTACCGAAATGTGTCCTTCTGGTTCCCCCTTAAGAAACACCAAACCAACACCCGTGTAAATTGTCCAGATCCACGGCCCGGCGTCTTGCCACACATCCTCGCCATGACGGCAGGCTCAATCTCCCCAGAATGACCTCGGCGAGAAAAAAGTCAGCGAGTAGTCCACTGCAAATCAGCTTCCCTCTCTCAGATGCCCAGTGGATTTCCATGGGAACAAAAGGGCATCCTTTTTTTTGGGCTAGTTGAGGTTTAAGGGGAACCCTTCCCCCAAAAAAAGGGAAAAAAGGCGTCAATGGGCGAGAGAGGCGTCTCATGGGCGGTTGGATTGGTTTGGGGATTTGAACCCCTGGCTTTCCGAGGGTGCAAGCTGGGGTTTCCACTTCGTCACCAAACAGAAGGGCTGCAAACCACCAACTCGGGAGAAGCTGAGCAAAAGGGAGGTAGACTCTCCTATAGAAAGCTTGGGTTGACGTTGGAGGGGAACTATAATCTTCCAATGTTGGCAGTCAAGTCAACCCACTAAACCACAATAAGCAAAGATGCAAACAGGCTTTTCCCAACCAAGTTTTCCCGGCGCCTGGGTCCCCATCACTGCTTCTTGGTTACAGGATTTTTTGGGGGAGAAGTCAGTCGTTGGAGGGTGCGAGTGACGGGACCTCTTGAAAGCCACTCTCAAGTGAGTCAGAATCCAAGCCTGGAATCAAGCAGCCGGAAGCCCCCTACTAACCCCTTCCCTTTGATAACAAGTGAGGCCACCCCCGAAATGATACAGGTTCTTTTGGGAAATGTAAACTCCTTCATGGAGATTCCACCACGCAACGCGACAAGCGTCTTGGCAACTTGTCTGGCCAAAAATCACCGGATTAATAAACCCGTCGCAAAACGAAAATGGCTGGTTACCTGCCATATATAGATCTTGTAGGCAATTGGAATCTGCTGGTAATGTCCATCAACGCGGTGCATTTCTCGAAAGCTTCAACATTGAGGATGGCCTTGAGTTTTCGGGTATCCGAATCCACGGAATATGCTGGGAGCCGCGTTTACCATCCGTGTGTCCGGGTAACCGCAACCATGGTAGGGCCTTGACAAACCTAGCCTCTAAAAGTTGCCCTGAAAACGACCCTTTTAAAATCTAAAATCCAAAATCAAAAATCTAAAATCTGAAAACTTCTTCGAACCAGTTCAGCTTTATTGAGCCAACGAAGGGATTTCTTCCTTGGGAACACATCGGAGCAAGCCACCGGTGCCCAAGGTGCACAACCAAAAAATGTGCAAAGCTGTGGGTGGCCGGCACCCAAACTGTGCTTCATTCCGGGCGTGAAAATGATACATCAGCCCAATCCTTTCTTGGTTGACGTTATTTCAACCACTAAACCACAATAAGCAAAAATGTAAAAATGTTTCTCAACAACAACCATGAAAAGGTGTGTGCTTTTCCCGGCGCCTGGGTCCCCAATCACTGCTTTTTGGTTACGGGATTCTTGGGAAACATCAGTGGTTAGAGGGAGTGACCCACGGCACGTGGAATCTCACGAAAATGTAAAGCAATGAGAGAGATCGCATGCATGGGGCGCATCCGAAGGAACCTGTAACCTCAACAAACGTCTATCAGGGGAACCTGAAAAATCGCGAAAACCCGCAACATGCCCTTGAAACAACTCGGTTTGCTTGGATGCCTACGGCTCCCCTTGCCATATGTTTGTTCGTTTTTGGCGAGCGAGGGGCCGTCCTTCACCTTGGCCAAGTCCATCTTCTTCGTGTCTTCCACCCAGGCCTGCGGAGGCCGAGTGGGGATAGGGCCAGTCCCACCTTGGGAATAGCGTGCTTCAGCACCTCGAGCACCCATTTGAGAGGGGCCCCGTGTATTAAGCACACACCAAAAAAATTGGCAAGACAAGGAACTAAGTCCAAGGAATGTTGGTTGTGGTTGTCTTGCTTGCTAGAAAGAACAGGTGATCACCTTTTGGGACCTTTACTAAAAGTGGACCAACAAGGGCAAACCAGGAGGTAAACTCACGCCACTAAAATGGCCTTCCCCAAACCCAATTCACCCCGGCTGGCGAATTGTCGCTGTTGCCTTGTTGAGATGTGTTCGTTCCCCAGCAATCATCATTTTGGTGGCAAAGTCCAAGCCAGGGAAGTTCGCAAACCAAAACCGTGGGGTATTGCGAAGGTGCATGACACCCATTTCCAATTCACGCATGCTGCATTGTGCTGTCCCCACTCCTTTTGGGTGAACAGACAGTTGGGTGCTGATTTCCGTCAATGGCACTTCTATTGATCATGCATGTTCACAATTTGGAGGGTACCCCCCTTGCTTGGCGGTTGTAATGGGAAAAAGGCAGAACACCCAACAAGTCTATTTTGGGGGCTCCAAATCCTAAAAGATGAGCAACCCATAGATGAATCCCTGATCCTACAGAAAATCCACCATGCTATTGGGCCAAACAAGTGACAAATCACCAAGAAAAAGGGAACTTTCGAATACAATGACACAAAAGGGAAACCACGGGAAAATTGAGCACTGGATGTTAGACCAAAACTTAGCCTCTATCTCTGTGGAGGTTAAAACCGGCCAATAGTCATGTAACAAACCACGTCACTCTTCATGTAAGTATTCATGTAAACAAAAACAGGCCTTAAAGAAACACGTAAAAGATCATGTAAACAATGTGTGCCTCAGTGTTGGGAGCTGGAAGCTGCATCATTTGCCATGTAACAGGCCTGAACAGAGATAAAAGGCGCACAATCAGACAAGCCAATGGCAAAACATTGGCACAAAGAAGGTAAGGCTCCAACGCGCCCCTCCCATCTCCATAACAAGCGCCCAAGGTGTTGATTGAATGATCTTTGTTAAATCCTTAGCAGCTGCCGTGCGAATGTTAGGAGGCCAAACATCTTAAGTCTTAAACACGTGGTTGGTAAGCCTAAGCATGCGTGAGCAGAAGCAAGAGCAATTCCTGAGCATGCTGTTGCAATCTTCGGAATGGTTCCTAGGTACGCAGCTCCAATGTCTCCGAACGGTTCAGAACGGTTCAGGGTATGATGCTGCAATCCCTCCTGAACGGTTCAGCACGGTTCAGGGCATGCTGCTTGCAATTCTTCCTGAACGGTTTAGAACGGTTCAGGGTATGCCGCTGCAATGACTGCTGAACGGTTCAGAACGGTTCATAGTATGATGCTGCAATCCCTCCTGAACGGTTCAGAACGTTCCTGGGAAGCTTGAGTGACGAACGGTTCAGAACGGTTCAGAACGGTTCTGAACTATACGCCTGCTCTGTGCGCTGCTTGCTAGATGGGCTCCAGAACGGCTCAGAACGGTTCAGGGGCATGGGTTCCAATGCCTCCGGAACGGTTCAGAACGGTTCAGGGGCAAGCGTTCCAATGCTTTCGGAACGGTTCAGAACGGTTCAGGGGCATGCAGTTTGGTTGCCACCGTTCCTCGGAACGGTTCGTGAGCACGCGGCTGGCGGTTCCTAGTCCTAGGTAAATGGTCAGGCCGGCATCGCAACATCGCAAGCGATCCGAAATCTCAAAGCACAAAAAGGCAAAGACTTGTCTGAAATTTACGCGAAAATTTACGCAACCATTTACGCAGAAAAAGGCTGGCTGAACCGTTCTGAACCGTTCAGGGGACACATTTTGAGCATGGAGGTCCGTCCGCAGAACTTGCGTGCACATGTGACAGCATCGATCGCTCCTCTTTTCCGGCCTTTGCTCAACTGGGTTTCTGGAATCGGTTCTTGGATTCCCTGGGTCTTGCGGACAAACAAGGCGAAGCCGCGGCAAAGGAAAAAAACAAAAAAACAACGCGCGACAGTACCACAACGCGGCAAGCAAAGCTGCAAGAAGGCAAGGCTTAAAATCGTCCTTTGCAACTCCTGACTGGTTGGATCAGCGGCCACGCGGAGACAACCTCGTAGAGTCGTGTGTGCATGTGTGTTTGTGTGTGTGGGTGGTGTCTGTGTGTCTGTGCGCCAGGTGCATGTTAGGAATATAGACGTTAATCTTGATGTTTTTCAAGATTGGCCCTCGCAAGGTCGCCCAACAAATAGCTGACTAAGTCTTGATTGTTGGAAAGCGCCCTCAAATATTCTTAATGTTGTTCACGCAGCTGACATAACCAATGACCGGACATACCGGACGTTCTTTGACAAGACGCAGTGTTCCTAGTCCTCGGTTCCTACAACATCTCCTTTCTCATGATCACTAAACACAAATTGACATGTATCTTGGTGGGGGTTCTGGCTGCTTATTAGCATGGCAACGCAACCCAAGCGCAAGCATGGGCGCACGCGCTTTTGCGTCCGGAGCTTTTTGGCTTTGCCAACGCGACACATGCTCGCGAGCAAAAACTGTGGCTCGCAGCTACCAGTACGCATGAACATTCATGTCAAAGTTGTCGCGGCTCTTCCAATGGTTCATGACTCATGACGCTTTGCCTTCCTTCAGTGATATGAGCAGGTTAAATTCGCGAAGGGGAAGATTCTCGCCAATACACATCCCTGTCAATGAGGGACACTAAGTCCAGCTCACGCAGGGTCACTCAAGATCGGGCAAGCCAAAATAAGTTACAACTAATTTACCTCACTATTTACCATATTATTTACGGACTCTTCCTATTAAGGGCCAGGCCAACCAGAAAGCTTGATTTATTTACGTGATTGTTTACGCTTTTATTTTCGGGTACGGCGAAAACGACAGACACCCCTATTTATAGAGGCTAAGTTTTGGTTTAAACTGGATGTTTTTGAAGAACTTAGAAATAGAAGGATAACCTGTTGGGGCCATGACTAACAATGTCAAATCGGGCAACGTTTCAGGTCGGATCAACACGTCGATTCGCTTTGGTTGCAACTTATATACCCAGTGTCCGTTTCCCTGTTTAGGTAACCAACAAAAACCAGCTTTTAGGAAAATGGCCAAGGGTGGCTGAGACTAGGGAACCAAGAGATCCAGCTGTTGAAAACCAAAAGGAAAATGGCGAAGGGTTGCTTAGTCTATAGCCAACTTGGATCCACCGGGTAAACCGGCGAGAGGGACAAAAAAGGACCAGCCGGAGGTTGGAAGGGATGGTTCCTGGCTGAAAAGTCCGGCATGCTGACCATCCTAAGGCTCATGACCACCTATGCAGAATTTCGGACCCTCTGGAGAACCCCGACCAAATCCTCACTAAAAAAAACACAAAACTTTTTGAGGCCCCATCAGTCGGGACCCTTCGGATGGGATGCAAGTCTCCAAGTCCTCTCTCGACGCTCGCGTTTCGACTCGCTCTTTGTTGCCTTGAAGAAGGCAGACACGTTCTCCTCGTAGGAGCTACCCCCGAAGTTGGGGATCTTCTCGATGACGTGCGCCAGCTTCCTCGGTTCGCTCCAAAGAAAAAATCCCCCCAAGTCCAAAACAAGGATTCGCATGCAAACACCAGGGGTGTGGGTACCCCACGAGGGGGACCCCTGGCAAAAAAAGGAAGATCCTGGAAAAGATAGGAGACGAATTGGAACTTAAGCTTCTTATGATATTACTCTTCTTCTGCTTGTTCTTGTCATAGGTGTCCCTAGTGAATGTTGGAATCACAAGGTAAACCAGGGCCTTCTATTTTTTAAGCGAAACAACCAAAAAGGACACCTATGGTTCTTGTTCTTTCTCAACGGGAGAAAGGGTGCCTGGAAACGGGATGGGTCGCGTATTCCGCAGGTTGACCTGGAACCATGAGCCGAATTTGGCACACGAGCAGTTCTCCGGGACAGGTTAACCTGGAGCCATGAGCCAAACTTGGCACACGAGCAGCTCTAAAGATTGACTCGCGTAAGTGAGATCGCCCAGCGCAGTTGGTCTATGAGACTTGGTTTCTCTCTTTCCCCCTGGCCCAAATTCACAAATCCCCTCAAAGCCGTTGAGTGGGAGCACAAGAAAGCCTAGGTCCTCCAGTACAGAGGTTAGAATAAGGGCACCCTTTTTCCTGCAGCCTATTTTAGTAGGAGAACCCTCCCGCCAACAAGGGTAAAAGGGCGCTACTGGGGGACCTAGACGCAAAAACGAACGAAAACACGTCACCCGAGAAAAACAAAAAAATGGAAAACAGAAAAAAACGAGCTTCATAAATGTCATCCTCTGCTCATGTCTGTGGCCCTCGTCCACAAAGGTCACGTGGTACCGGCAGCGGCAATCTTTGGGCATGCACCCGATGGCGCCAATCACGTTCCGCAGCACTGTGCCTCGGAAAATCCGTCCGCTGCCAAACATGCTCACCCTGGGGCTTGGATTGGTGGAGGGGTTTCCCATTTACCGGGGTTGCATTGAGCAAATGGCAATGTAGAGTAGGAAACTGTTTCACCCTGGGGTTGCAAACGCCCCATGAACCCAATTCGGATGACAATCCTGAACCGGTAAATGATGTAATATTTGAGCCCAACCATTGCTTCAGTGGTGCTTTGAATCCCAAACATATATACAGGCAACACAGTGCGGTTGATTTCGGGCTTCTGCTACAGCGGTCGCCTTCACACATTAACTCTGGCTTCCCCGCGGCAAACCCCCTTCAAGCCTCGCTACCCCTTTCTGCCCGGCAAACTCGAGCTCCCCCAAAACGCGCCAACATCGCTCTCATAGGCGCCAACCTCAAAAAACAGACAAGCCCAAATGAGTCATGATCGAAACTCTGCATCAAAATAGTCTACCCAGAACCATGTAGAGAATTAGAAGGCGGATATCCGCAGCTATTTATGAGGGAATTCTCCCTAACCTTCATCTACCCGGGTTTAATTTTGAGGACATGGCTCAAATGCGGGCAGCTTCCATGATTGGTGGGGGTGTCTCAAAATAGGGGACCCCGAATATTAATTGTCGTCCAAATGAACATGGAGCCACTTGTTGGAGACAGGTCAGAGCTGCACTTGTTCTCGCCGGCGCTGGGAATGGTCACCGTGATGTACCGCAGGTTCCTAGCACAAAAAACAACTTCCCACACCCAAAGGCTTGCTTATGTTCTAAGGTACTTGAACCGCTTAATCCCCATACGTTCCCAAAAGCCATCAGGTGCTTGGACCTTCACACAACAAAATCCCCCGGCTGGTGGGTGCGCCTTTGAGAAGCATACTCTCAGACTTGCCGGTATGTTCCGTGTTCCTTAAAACTTTGCCGCCAAGTTTGAGGGTCCCCTACTTTTTGAGAACCCCATTTTGCGGGCTTCTTTCAGGCAAGTCAAGCCGTGGTTCGAGGTGAGCTCTGGATCATAGCGCCGGAAGTGGGCGTAGGGCGAAAACACGCCCGGGCAAAGCATGACCGCCTTCACGCCGAAGCCGATCAAGAGCACATAGCAGAAGAGCCACACCTCTGCTCACTTGCGCGAGCTAGAAATGACGGTGATCACCTGGTACTAGAACAACGACATGCTTGGCTGGGTGAGGAAGGCGCCTCACGCACAACACTAGACGAAATCCAAAAGCTTCGCCTGGTGGAACCTTTTCTAAAAGTGGACCAACATGGACAAACCAAAAGCTCAGATCCGGCTTCGCTTTGGGCCAGTAAGATCGATCGTGTCTGTGAGTCACCGTGGGGCTCAAGAAAGACGAATCCAAATTCCAAAAGGGGTCCGTCGGTTTTGAGGGCTCCTTTTTTGGGGCTGGTTTAATGGGAAACCCAAACAGGCCCCCCTCCCACACAAATAAACAAGCAGGTGTGAATCAAATCCGACTGTCGCTTCCGACTGGGTGAAACTTTTATAACTAGGCTCAAGCGTCCAATCACACCAATTGAAAGCCTGAATTTAAAACCAGTATAGTGGGAAGAAGGGCACAGTCCTTTGGCTTGGTCATTTGATGTGGGGGGGCGGCTGGAAGATCTTGATCTTCAACAGAGGCCTGGACTAATACAAAACAATGCGCCCTCCCTTGTCCCAAACAATCCAATAAGGAAAGACAAACCATGCACCATGTGATCCATTCGGAACAATACCCCATCATATAAGTGTTTCTTTTTTAGGGGACCGCCAACATGAAGGATGTCCTTTAGATTTCCAGAAAAAGGGAGGACTGTACCCTAAAAAAAAGACCAGCCACCCACATACCCAAGCACTGTCGGCCCCGAACGAAACACTGAGAGAAGCACCGGAGTCGACTGGTTCTTCTCGTAGCCCACGTAGCCTACCAAGGCCTTAGGGTTGATGTAGCCGTCCTTAGCGACGGCGCTTCCCGATTCAATTAGAGACCCCAACACCGAAGCGGGGTGTCCAATGGAGGGGTCGGGTCTTCCATTGAAAGTACCAGGAGTCTCTGAGTGTCACAAAATAGTGGAAACCTCCCGAAAATAATGGTGTTGCTTTTGGATCCCTGTTAAGCACCCCAACAGCGGAACCCTCAAAAGAACCACCCAAACGATCCTAAACGCAAATGGGAAACTGTCTGAGCCATGGAGTTTCACTCAAAATTGTAACACGGAACCAACAAACGGGAAACAAGGTTCCTGATCACTTTCGAGGTGAAACGGGAGACCTCAAAAAGGCGGCGGACCGGTGTCCTGGTGACAGAAAGGGTACCCTCCACAAAAAAGCACCCAAATAGTTGTGCAAAACTACTTGGATAAATAATTACACCTGCCGTGCAGTTGGACAAGATGTATTACACACACATTGAGGAATGGTTTTCCACCAACACGGGTTGGAATGGATCAAGGTTCACTTGGTCAGCCTTCAACTCCAACCCTATCGCACCGGGAACCACCCTGTACAAGCCAACAGGAAAATAACTGGTTACCGAAGAGAAGGGTAACTGGGATTCACTGGGTAAGACTCGGATGTTAAATATGCTCCAACTGCTCAGCTCCAGGAATGGTTTGGAGCCCAGTCGGTGGTTTAAGGCGAACTTCTTATTTCTCTACCAGAACTCCCGGGTTTCACCAAGCCTCCAATTGGGTGGCAAGACTTGTAGCCAAGGGCAATGCAAGACATCAAGCCTTGACCCAGTTCACGCTTATTTTTGCGGGTCACGCCTTTGCAGGTCGGGTTCAGGAAGAGCTCACGGGACCACCCGATTTTGAAGGCGCAAACAGGGTTCCCTGTATTACCCCTACCGTAGGCCCCTACCCAAAAAAATAAAATAGAATCTGCCAGCCAAACCAATGGGCGATTAAAACTCCAAAGGGCAAACTACTCACCTTCTTCCTGAGTGAACAACCAAAAATACTGCCTGCTTGCCCCCTACATTCAAAAAGTAAATGTCCATTAACCTCAAATGGTCTAAATTTAAATAGTTTAAATGTCCATCAACTCACGGAGTGGTTAAATGTCCATTAACTCACGGAGTGAGGGAAAAAGGGGGTGACTTTTCGTAGGGGGAACCCTCCTACCCCTCCCCAACCGTTGCTTTCCCCTACAACTTGTTGGAACATTTTCTCCGACACGTTCCCTTCGAAACCATCGAGCCACGAAACCAACTCTCCAAGTGGCCAACCGAAACAAACTTGTTGGCCATCAACATGTTCCATTTGGTGTTTCGGCCCCAGGAAAAACACGGAAATATGTCCAGTAGTGATGAATTCCTTTTTAAAACCAGCAAGGGAAAGCAAAGGAAAAGCCCAAGTTTTAAAGTCTGCTCAGTTGTTCAGTGACAATGGAAAAAATGGAACCCTTTTTTGGGAAGACCAGTTTAGTGGGGCAGCCACACAAAAAAAGGCGGAAAAAGGGAGCCACTGAACAACTGAGGCTAAAGTCCATTAACTCAGGGAGAGAGAAAAAGAAACTTCCAACTGGCCGACGAGCTTCGCACTGGCCGACAAGCCCCAGAAACAAACCTTGGAGGCCAACAAACACAACTACTAAACCTTGGTTCACGTTGGCAGGGGAGCAAAAATTCAAAATTTAGCAGTTCAGCGATTGAATTTCAACAACTAAAGCAAACATATAACATGTTTCCCAACAACAACCATGAAACCATCAAGAGAAACCACCAAGAGAAACCACCAACTAGGTCCTCCAGTAGAGAGGTCAGAATCCCTTTTTTCTGTAGTTTATTTGCGTAGGGGAACCTTCCCCTAAAAACAAGTTGGTGAGAAAGGGCACCAATTGCCGGGGGGCCTAGGGCTGGAACTGCTTGGGGCGGGAAAGGCATGCTAGCTCTCCTGCCCCCAGATCTGCGCACGCATGCTTGGCTGGCTGTGGAAAGCTACTTGGATATAAACCTCAGCTGTTCAGTGACCCTGGGAAAAAAGGAACCCTTTCTTTGGGAAGACCATTTTTAGTGGCGCAGCCACCAAAAAAAGGGAAAACAAATTGGAGCCACTGAACAACTGAGAACCGCCAAGAGAATCTCCCCCAAGGTCTTCCCCCAGAATTCGTTGCGCCAAGACGCCGCGCTGCAGTTGGCCAAGGCCCGCTGCTCGGACTGACAGGCGTAGGCGCAGCGCCCCGAGACCGCCACGCAGCGGTCGTTGAAGGGAGGGGGTGCAGCCTGCTGTCCTGGCAAAAAATGGAAAATGACATGGCTTCTCAAAATGGGTGTCATTTTTTTTTAAGGGGGGTATCCCTTGTTTGGACGGTGGGTCTCCAGCCATTTCCCTTTTTGGCCTTTAAAAGGCCAGTGATTCAGCCTGCTGTCCTGTCCCCCCCAAAAAGGCGACGGTCAGGGCTCCCTATATTTCCCCTTAACACATCACCCCCACCAGGGGACACTCACCTTTCATGGGCCAAAAAGGTGATGTTTAAAACCGCAAAAAACAAGGAAATATAGGGACCCCTGACGGTGGGGACAGGCGGTTTGGTTTTTTGAGTTTGTTGGATTTGGTCGAAAGAAAAGCCCAAGGGAAACCACCAATGTTGAGATTCGGAGAGAAAAAGCAACGTGGGGACGGGGCTCCAATTTTGGACAACGAGTGGACCTAAACCCGGGGGTGGTTGATGTCCAAAGGGAAATCCCTGGATTTAAGTCTACCTTGGGGTGGAGTCCAAAAACGGAACCCCGGGTGGGGATCTGCTTTTTTTTTTTTTGAGTTTTTGGTTTGGTGGAAAGGGACACCGAAGGGAAACCACAAATTTTGAGGTTCCTAAAGAAGAAGAAGAAGAAGAAGAAAGAAACGCCTCCCCTGGAAAATCAAAAGCCAGGCTCAGGCAGGTTGGAAGGGTAGGCTTGGCCATCTATGCTTAAAGGGGCAGAGGGTACGTCAGGTACGTTGTAGACGGCACAATTCCCTATGCGGATTTGTGAGCGGACAAAGAAAACAACATGAGATGAATTCTGATGGCTACTTTCACCCAACTGACAGTGGTTGGTATTTCTGGCTTAAACCCACTCAGACTGTACGTACTCGAAATCTGTTAACTAACACGTGTGACCATCACTTGCCCAGGTTAACCATATCAAGTGTCGTGCCTTGTACTTTGGAATACGCTCCCGAGAGCTCGGGCGTATGGAATCTCACTCAATCGGAGTACTTCCTTTTCTTTATGGAAGCTGTTCCCTTCAAATCACCGGGCCGCAAAAGTGAACATGTGGTTCTCTTTTTGTTCTGAGGGCCGCATCTTTGATTCGCTGGGGCTCACCGAGTTTAGAAGTTGTTCATTTCGCGGCCTGCCTTCTGTGCCAGTTGATGGCTTTGACAACTCCCGCGGAAAACCGACAAAAACAATGACACTTGCAGTATCTAGATGCTGCTAAGGGCGTTCCTTTAAAACCACCAAACAAGGGAACACCCTCCAAGCAAAACCACACCCAGTTGGTCCCAACCGCTTTAAAGATGTGGGCAAATTACAATAGGCATTGGATGCCCAAGTCACATCCTCAAAACGCTCATTGTCTACCTCGTTGGAAGGCGTTCAACTTACCTCTGCCCAGTGTAGAACAAGGGAACTCTTTGGGACGGTTAACCATCAACGGGAATCTGCAGAAGGGAAGCAAGCCACGAAACTGGGGCATGGCCATCATGTCGCTTGCCCAAAAGACCTGAAGATGAAAAGTTGCCCGATTGAGGCCATGTCTAAACATTGGAAACCAACAAGGGAAAACCAAAAGGTCAAAAAGTCGACTTTGGGCAAGTGAGTCCATGCATGCGGGTTGTCAAGAAAAGGGGCCCTTTTTGGCAGCCCCAAGATTTTGGTGGCACCAAACACGGTTGAACCCGCCACATTATGGCTGTAGCTCAAACAAATGGTACCCAAATGCAACAAAGACCAAACCCTGTGCAACCCTTGTGGAACTTGGAGCATCACCCACATTACGTGTTTTTGTTTGAGGGTACCCTTTTCTGGGCGGTCACCACATTTTGAGGGGCCCCTATTTTAGGAGAACAAAAACACATTTTGAGATTCAAACACCGTGAGAAACTTACTCCCTTGAGCGGCAAAACCCGCTCGCCGCTCCTGGCTCGAACCTCGAAAAGCTCGCTTCGTCGTAGAGGGTGCTGTTCACAGCGCAAGTCACCAGGTACAAGGGGCCTGAGCGCCCGATGTAGCGCTACCAAGTCCAGTCTACCCGAAGGGTCCCGATTGATTTTGGGGCCTCAAAATGGGTTGTTTTTGAGGGCCCATGAGGATTTGGTCGGGGTTCCGGGGGGAAAACGATTTGTTCTTCCCAGACGTTGCTGCAGCTTCCAATGGAAGACCCAAACCCTCCATTGGACGCCCGAAGAAGTTTTGGGGTCTCAAAACCTGGCAGTAGGGCCCAACATTTTCTCGAATTGGAGCGTCTGGGTTGCACGAGTGGCTGCAGAACTTACGTGTTTCTCCTTTGTCTATGGCGAGCGCACCAACAATTGAGACCTGAGGGTCTGCTTACAAGGGTGCTCCCAACACCCTGGGAAACTTGAATGAAAGCAACCCGCACAGAAGACAAGACATGCGGGCGGCAAAAGAAATGGCGCCCTTCGGGCATCTCTGTTAAGAAACGGTACCTGCAACCAGGTCTCAACTAAACCCTTATCTCCGGACCATCACCCTTGCCTTCCCAAAGGCCCATTCCCCGCCGACCCGGCAGGGAGGGTCACTGGACATCGGAAATGGACAAATTTTAAGCGGTGTCCACGTTCCTAGCTGACCCGATGGCCGCATGCTTGGTCCATTCTCAAAATCCGTGTTGGCAAATTATGGCAAATTATGGCAAGGTGAAGGCCCTCCTGCCTTCAGGTGCCATGATGACAATGTCATGTCCACCTCCACTTAAAGCCAATGTGAAAAAGTGAAACAACGCTTTCCCACCAAGTGGTGGTTGGGTGGCTAAGGCTTCTGGAGCCGTTACCTGAAGCTCTGCTTTCCCGAGCGCGAGCTGGAAGGCAAGACCGATTTGGGGACCCCATTTTTGCAACATATGGGTGGCCGCCTTCTTTGAGCATGCTCCTATTTGGTGATGTTCAAAACAAAAAAAAGCAAAAACACCGAAGGAGGACGAGCATTTTTGGGGCCGCTATGTCTCCTCTCGTTTTCTATCTTAAAGCACTCCTTTGGACCTTGAAAGTGCCGGGGTTGCAGCCAAGCTACTCGGTAACGACCAGTGACCATCGCAAAAGGAGGGCACGGTCTCTTGGTTGGATGAGTTTGAAGGGACGGACCCCCACCCAAAAAAAAAAAAAAACAGAACAAGCTGGCATGCCACGAAAAGAAACTTGTTGCTCACCAGTTTCTTTTCGACAGCTTCACTAGGTCCTCCAATAGGGAGGTTAGAATAAGGGTACCCTTTTTTCTGTCTATTTTTGGGGGGGAACCCTCCCCCCAGAAAAGAAACGGTAAAAAGGGCACCTAGCTGGGGGACCTACTTGAAGCAACCTCCCCACCCCAGCCTTGGCGTCCATAGCACCAATCTGGATCGATCTCCAGATGGTTCTGCTCGTTCAGCTTCATGGCATGCGCACTGACCTGGGCAACACACATCCATCCGAGCCGTTTCTTGAGCCGAGTTCGCCGTGGCTTAAAGGGAAGCCAAAAAGAAAACTATCGGCGTTTAAACCCCCACACTCACATACCCAAATGTTGAAGCTTGTTTTTTGTGACCCTAAATTGCTGCGCACAAACGGGTTCAATTTGATTCTACACACATGAAGCTGGAACCCGTTTGTTTAAACCTGTTTCCTGCACGGGTCCTCTGATCCTGGACTTAGAAAGGGAACCGGGAGGACCCCAAATCAGGAAACTCCTATTTGGTGGTTTAGATTTGGTCTGAATCCCTGTTTCTTGTGGAGAGTGAATGGGAACCAACCCTTCTATACAGTCTAACCACCGATTTGGCTCCAAACCACCCATCGGAAGGAAGCTGACAGAATGTTTAAAGGCGAAGATACTTTAAAACTTGGTTGACGTTGGAAGTGGAGCAAAACTTTAAATTGTAGCAATTAAGTGGTTGGAATTCAATCACTAAACCACAAGAAGCAAAACTTTAAAATGTTTCCCAGCAACAACCATGAAAAGGCCAACTCAGTCTGGCAATGCGACTGGATCTTGCACAGGTGGGAGCTCCTCATCGAAGCTGTTATCCTCTGCCACCTTGATCAAGGGCTTGTTGTCCTGGCTCATTGAGCCTCACTATGTGGCCAAATCCCCAAGGAAGCTTCACATAGGGGGGGTCTCTCTTTTTGGGGACGGCATTTGCTGTCTTTTGGAAGCATTGGAGCTGTAAAACTACATCCCTGTGAGCGGCCCTTCTGCTTTTGACGAGGGTACCCCTGGTTGGTTGTTTTAGAGGAGGAACCAAAGGGGAAACAAACATTGGGGGGGGGTCCGCTTAAAAACCACGCACCCACAACATCGAACTCTTCTTTGTGACTTCCTTTGAGTGTGTTCTTTCGTTCCGGGTTCAAAGGGATTCCAAAAAAGACACACACACACACACGCACACTCGTGTTCAGAAAATCCATCGCCCGTTTGAAGACAGCCATTCTACTTTCATCCCACCTTCACAAGGAAACAAAGTCGCAACACAAAACATGAAATTATCAATGGAATCCTACAGTTGATGGACACATTCCTGCACTAGCTAGGTGGTTTGTGAATTCCACTCCGGATTCTGTCTGTCCACAGTAGGACCCCATGAAACGAATGTAAGGAGGCAGCTTCCGCGTTCTAAATCACGGAATTCCTGGCTTCCCTTGCAGGATGTCCTCACCCACCGCGACTGGAGGGTCAGTCATGCCGTAGTCATGTTTGTACCTGGGCCCGGTCGAGTGAACCTGCAAAGGCAAACTTGACTGGCTGGGCAAAATCGTAGCTGCTTATTTTATGGGTGTCCAGCTAACCGCACCAGGGGACGACAGCAAACACACTAAACATGAACAGAACCAAACAAAAACAAAAACTCAACGACACTGAACGTTAACGTGAGCACACCAAAACAACAACAACACACAACAACACATAACAACATGCACAACAAACAATTAATCAACATAACAACCAGCCCCCCAATGTATGTATATATCTATATATATATATATGACAGTTGTCTGAAATTCCTTGTTCCGGAAACCGCCATCTTCGCGAGAAAAAACATAACTTTCGCGGACCGCATCGCGGAACTTCCGCAGTAGCAAAAGCCCGGCTTGAATGTCAACTTTCCAATACGAAAGTAGTACATGAACTAAACTTCCGCAGCCTCGAAAGTCAAAGCTTTCTAATACAAAAGTAGTACACAAAGTAAGCTTCCGCAGCCCCAGCTCGAAAGTCGCAACCTTTCAGTTCCAAAGTAGCACGCGAAGCGCGTTTCCGCAGCTCCAGCTCACAACCGTTACCTGCACACGAGAGGACCCGTTGCCTCATGTCCGGAAACTGGCGGGGAGGTCCGTCGACTTTCGCGAAACTTTCGCGGATCTTACGCCAGACATTCGCGAAAATCCGGCTGGAAGTTGCACTCAACTTGACCCGAAAGCTTCAAAACTCCCACAAGACGGTTTCTGCTGGCTGGGGGTTGCTTTTGCAGCGGCGTATTCTTGCGGCGACCCTCAGGCTGCGCATTCCCCGGCCAACTTTGGTCTGCGGGCATTCTGCCCGCACTGCCAGCAAATACACACGATCCCATCCATACCGGCGCATCAGCGCTCGCAGAGAGGAGGCGTCGCCCTCGTCGAATTTGCGGGACTGGTACTTGTGCTTCATGACGTTCAACACTACCTGCAGCAAGCAAGAAAAAGTGTGTGAAAAGAAAACCACGCATTCACTTCCAACAAAGTTGCGAACCTGTAAGTCAAAAAGCGCGCGCAATCCGCAAGACAGCGTCTAGCACGCAGCGCCCGCCATCTAGCACGCAGCGCCCGCCACATGCCCCGCGCAAATCTTAAAACAACACAACAGCCTCCAGAACGTCCTTGCGATCTTCGTACCCGTCCACTGCGCCACCATGTGGAACTACCTCCAGCTGCGCCAAATACCATAGACGATTTAGCAAGCCAGCACCCTTACACAAAACTTTCGCGAATAAAAACATAACTTTCGCGACCCCCTTCGCGGAACTTTCGCGGAGGTCAACGCCAAGACCAAAAGGTCTTCCCCTTCATAGCTCAATACAAGGACCTTTCGGACGACTCTCATATGCAAAAACAACAAGCACATAGATACATTCATAGCATGACCAAGATATATTAAAGCAACTAAACAGCTTTCCCACCCACCGCGGCAAACAAACAACACACACACGCACACCCGAAGAAGCCAAGGAAACGATTGAGTCTTGCCATGGCGCAACTTGGTCCAGGTGCCTCGTTTGCTATGGGAGGACTGGAATAGGAAGACCCGGGGCTGGCTGAAGACGTCGGTGCCTCCTGGCACTTTAGAGCCCTCCACAGTCCTCAGGACGCAGCACGAGTGGCAAGCGCCATCGAGCGGAGCACGAATCTAGGCTGGAATTAGGACCTGAGCAAAAAGTATATATTTTTGCTGGTTAGTGGCAAACAAAGGGGACCTCAAAAAAGCAAAAAAACAAAAGGGGGAACTAATTCTACCCATGGAGCGGATTGAAAAGCACACATTTCTTTGGAACTCGCTTCGAGTGGATTGGAAAGCGCTCCTCTTGAAAAACTGGAGCTCCCAAAATAGGCCCTTTCCATCGCAGGGAGTGGAGCCGAGTGGAGTGGCAATCCACTCCTTTTGCTTCAAAAGGAAGAATTGGAGCTCCCAACATGGGCTCTTTCCCAGTTGCTTCAGGATGCTCGTCAAACAATGGAACCTCACAATGTGGTGTCTGCTTGGTTTCCCTCCAAAACAACACCTGAATGGGCATACTTGCGTGTTCCAACTATTACAACCATGATTATAAGGGCGCTAACCCCAGTTATCCCAGTCATAACCCTGGTTATACCTATCCTATTTCCTACGTTGGTTGAACATCAAGCAAGGATCCCAAAATTGCTGCTTTTCCTTTGGGCGTCCTTTGCCGAATTCGGGAGTTTCGAAAGTTGGTGAACCACAAGTAGGTGGTTGCCTCTGGTCTCTCCAAAAAGCATACAAACAAATCCAGAAGCGAGATTCCTCTATGTTTGACGGATCCGACCACTTGTGAGAGTTGTTCAACGTGTCCTTTTCAGCCAATCTGAAAAGGCACCCTCAAACAACACACACGCACGCGCGAACGCACACACATGCTTCTCCCCAACAAAAACACATACACATGTTTCGGAGCCAGGGGGTACTCCAAGGTCGAAACAGCTTTATTTGGATAGGCAAGTAAAGAGGATGGTTGGTTAAACCAAATTTGTGGTTGTGCCATTGTTTTTCCACCTGAAACCAGGATGTGTTTCTGCATCACTTCCCGTCAAAGGCTAAGGCAGGCATGCCAAAAATAACACCAGGCGGTGCCCTCGCTTACAGCTCGAGGCACCGAAGAGCGACATGGTCGTTCCTCAAAGTTGTTGACACATGGTAGAAACAAAACACGGAAAACCTGGTAAAACGCAAGTCAAAATGGAAAACTGAGTAATGCGACAAGTGTGTTTTACTGGAATCCACTACTACTAAACCAACTAAAACCTAACACCTAAGAAACCGGACGGCTGGGAGCCGCCAAGCTGAGTCATGCAGAAAAGTGTTGCTTCCAAGGAGCACTTTGAACCGCGGCAGGGACTCGTAAATCATGGGCTTCTTGCCCTCTCCACTTCCTTGGCCAAAGAAGGAAACAAGGAATGATCTGCATCTCTTTTTTTGGGGGGGTCCCTTTTTTTGGGGGGTATTTTCACGGGAAACCATAAGGAGACAGGAAATCCATGTTTGGGGGTCCAACCTTGAAAACGACACACGCATCTCGGGTGGCTGACTCCACAAGGGCGAAACTTTCGGCCCCTAACTCAGGGGCCAACAAGCGTATCGTCAGGTTCTGGCCCACATGGCCCACGAGCCGTTTGGACCAAGGGACATGAGGTACCGTCCCATGAACCCAGAACCTCTCCTGTGAGCTACGTGGCGCTTGGCTGCTTGAGAACGAAATGGTGGGAAGACAACGGGAAAAATGTTTGAACGGGAAACATGTCTTGAAACCACCAAGAAAGCCTAAAACACCAAACATGACGGAAGACGAAGTCATCTCTGGTTGCCGACGTTTGAAACCGATTTGCGGCGTTGAACAGGGGGTCTGGGGAAAAAAGGAAAAACAAGCAGCAACTACCAATCCCGTGTGGCTTCCCTTTGCATGCGATAGTTAGTCGACAAAATAGGGAAGGGAGGTTCCCCTTCTCAGGCTAATCAAGTGGGAGCCCATTTCCCGAGGGTAAGAAACAAGCGATTTGAATTGGACATGCGACTTGCATCCACCCAACTAAATGTGAACACACCGATACCTGGGTGCGTCATTTTTTTTTGGGTTGTAACCATGGTTTATGAAGGGTTACAACTGGGCTTACATCCAGCGATGGATAAAACTTGATAAAACCTAACTCAGTAAGAAGCTTGAACACCCAAGCATCCTACGGCATTTTCCGCTTTTTGGGTTGTTTCACCGCGAATTTGCGCATTTTGGGGGCTCAAGCAAAGAACAGCTTCCCCCATAGTCAGCTTCCCCCCCAAGAAATCTCTGGAGACTGGTGGCTTGGAAGCCTTCAGTCCAATGCCACAAGAACCAGGCGAGGTCCAGTGGCGAGGCTAGAATAACAGGGATCCTTACATTATCTTACCCCTTAAAACTCCAAGGATTGGGGAAGTTAATCTTTTACAGACATATAGCCCATGTTCCCAACAAGTTGAAAAGTTGTGTTTTTAAGAGGTAAGTTATACACCGATCGAACATTGCAACTTGTAAATGGTAGTGTCCTTTCCTTTCTGGTGTTGAAAAAGCAACATGTTTCAAATGGCTGCAACCTGTTTTTGTTCAAGGAGCCCTGAATACTTACATGCCGCAGGCTTCCCTGCGTGAAACGCTCCTCAAAATAAAGCACGTGACATAGGGGGCTCCAGACTGGTGACTGTCCTCGACAAAACTGCGGGAAACGGAATCCACTTCTGTACAACAAAAATTGGGCTCCTCAAAGACAAACTCTGCCACATAAGTGGTTGGAAAAAAACCCTTGTATCACAGGAGTGGTTGGATAAACCCCTTGATCCCAGAAAGAGGATAACCCCTTGTATCGCAGTGCTTGGAAAAACCCCCTGGATCGTTGGAAACACCCCGAGTGATCCGTCACAACCCGGGTCCTGGATTTCCTTTTAACCAGGCCCCTCCCCCCAACAACTCACTTGCCCAAAGGACCTGGAAATAAAAGGTCAACCTTTTGGGACCTTTACTAAAAATGGACCAAATCAGGGAAACCGAAAGGTTAAAAGGTCAGCTTTGGGCGAGTGAGACAAGTTTTTACCCCAAAGAAGCCCAAGCATCCCCAACAGCCAGGAGAACCACTCCGAAGGCCTGAGACTGCCGTGACGCATTCAGCTCTTGAGAAAACACCACCCAACAAAAGCCTGAAACCCAAAGAACCCAACGAACACGGGGCGATTGCCCCAACATAGTTTCAGGGTCCAGGTGCTTCTTTTCTCACTCCCTGAGTTCCTTTGGTTTTTTTAAGGCTTCAGGGCAGCAGTTTGAGGGTGCAGTTCCATTTTCAGTCGCGCACAAACCCCCGGCACGGGGTCTCCAGGCCAGGCGTCCGCCGCCGGCGCCGGGGAGATCGATGCCGCCGATGCCGCCGTCGGGGTCCGGGTCAAGGCCCGGGATGCCGCCGGGAAGGCCCCCGATACCCGGGATGCCCCCGATGCCCGGGATGCCCTGCAAGCGCCGCATGTCATCCTCGCACCAAAAAAAAACGGCCAGGGGAATATAAAAACAAGAAAAAAGCCTGATAAGAAAAAGGAGTGGTCTTGTTAAAAGAAAATGTGTGTGTTTTGGGTGTTTCTCCTGTTGAGGTTGGCTTGGGAAACTTCAGGAGGGCCCTGGAAACCTAACCCTTGCTTGGTCACACTGGCTCCAATTGACTCTGAAACAGTAGTATGAGCAAGATGACTGGAAATGCAAAAGGAACTCCATGCACGCCGGACGCCCCAAACTGGCATAGGTGAACCGTATGCGTTCCATCAGAAGTGTGTTGGTTCAATCAGATGCACACATCTGTGCAAGCAATCAAAACCCCGCTAGAACCTGTTCAGCATTTTTTTAAGAGTCGGTTTAAGACGACCTTTCGGGGGGCACCCGTGACTTCGAAACAACTCTGTGTTTGTGTGTGTGTGTTTTGCCTGTAATTTGCCTGTAATGTGAACATTGCACCCTGCAACTCAGCTACAGCTTGACTCACTTGCTCCAAATGGGACCTGGAGACAAATTGGGTGAAATCAGCTTTTGGGACCAAGCAAGTCTAGGTCCTCCAGTAGAGAGGATAGAATGAGTTGGAACCAACTTGTGTCTGTACTCTATTTTAGTAGGGGAACCCTCCCAACCAGAGGGGAGACAAAGGGCACCGATCGCTGGGGACCAAACAAACTAGGCTTGCCCAAATCGGAGCTCACGAGGTCAGATCAGGTCGAGCCGAATGGTCGTGGCCGTGTTGATAGTCGCCAGTAGCGTGAGCTGAGGGGTCTGGAAAACCTATGGTTTCCGCTACCCCCAGACATCTTACCCCCAAGAATTCGTGGGGTATGAAATCAGTACACAACTACTAAAGTGCCTCCTGCGAAGCCCATGTTCGGGCAAAAAGCACCAAACTACGGTCGTTGTTCGGAAAAACATATATATATCGTTGTTTGGACAGTTGTTTTTTTTGTGGAAAGGTAACCTGGCTCATCTAAGATTTCCGGATTTGTTCCGCCCTTTTCCGTTTGTTTCCGCCTTTGTTCCGCGTTTGTCCGCCCTTGTTTGGCCGTCCAAGATGCACTTTACCCACACAACTCTGAAGAAGGTCGGTTGTTTCATGAAAACATAGTTTTTTCTTCTCGAAAGGACCGAACAAGGACACCCAAAAGGCTTCACAGGTTTAGGTGTCTATATTCAGTTCCCTCGGAGGCTCTGGGAAGTAGTGGTTTGAGGGACAAGCTCTTATAATCAACTGCACGGAAACAACGGGAGACCTTCTTGGACATGCAGCCAGAAGCTACCTTTATCGATGGAACCTGAAGGGTCTCCTAACGGTTGACTCCCCATGTGCTCCACTTGAATTCGTTGAAATCACCCCATTTCCCCCCTGTTCTTGGGTATTCTTTGATTTGCCAGGGAAACCTCCTCACCCAAACGCTCCCGATTTATTTTGGGCCCTCAAACAGCCAGGTTTTGAGACCCCAAAACCCCTTTGGGGTGTCCAATGGAGGGCCTGGGTCTTCCATTGGAAGGTTCAGGAGCGTCTGGGCAGAAAGGGAGGAGAAGCAAGAAGCGACCTGGGGTGTGCGGTATAGGTATGGCTAGGAGTTCGGAACTTGGACCGCAGAACACACACGGCAGACTCGGTCGATTCGAGTTAAGTTTGTTTTTTCTGCTTTTTCTCTTTTTTTTTTTCCGAGAGTCCTCGGTTCGCGGGTCGTAGAGGCATTTGTGACACCTCCACTGCTTGAACCTTGCTTGGCCAGTGAGCGCCCACAAAGATCAACTCGCATGGGCTAGTGCACAGTAATGAATAATGCAGATCCCCCACTAGCAATGGGAAAGAAGGGTCTTCCTTTTTGGCACTTGAATTTGACAGGAACCATGGGCAAGTGACAACAAGTTGGTAGCGTCTTTTTGAGGCGGCCCTTTTTTTGTGGTGACTTGAAAGGGAAACCACAAGGAAAACACACACATGTTGGAGTCCTCTAAAAACACACGCACACAGACAAACACCACAAGTGAACACCTAGCGCAGGATGATGCAAAATGCAATGTCAATGGCTAAAACATGCCAACACAAAATACACAATTTGTTTGCAATGCCGAGCCTTGCCAAATGCTCCTTGTATGTGGCCCAGCGAAAAACTGGAGACGAAAACCTGAACAATACATACGACCAACAAAAAATCAAACAACAAACAACACATTCAGTAAACGAGAACGCCAAAACAGCAACAACACCGAGCGAACACAAAGGCAAGAGGAACAACAAGGCAAAACAAAACACACCGTCCAACTCACTTCCTGAGTGGATTGGCCGGAACGTCAAGTCCAAACTGTTTATATTTGCCACAACCGTCCAAATCCAAAAAAGTCTCAAGTTCAGGAACTCGGGGAGTCCGGGGCGGGGTTTGGCAAGGGACCCCAATTCCACAAATCTATATTTCAATGGCGATCCTCCCAATCTGGGTGAATTAAAATATGTCACCCCCCTGAAAGAAGGTTAAGCCAAAAACCATTTGAGGCATAATCAAAACCCGGTATTACACTGGCCTTCCCCACATACACCCACCATTTGGGGTAAATTCGGCCGTGGTGAGGCCGTGTTTTTCTCGTTTTTCACCCAGACGGCCCACTGGAGGTCGAAAATTCTGCCGGGCCACTTGTCGGTGGAGGTCTCGCACTTTCCAGTCCCCGAGCCCTCCAGGCACTGCCGCATCATCACCTTCCCGAAAAACTGGGCGCCGGGGATCTCTCTGCCGGCCACCTGAAGGAGGCGGCGTTCGGGGCGGGTTTTTTTTCTCCCAGGCCCTCCAGATTTGAGAGGTTAGAATGAGTTGGTGCCAACCTGTTTTTTTCTTCTGTAGCCTATCACTTAGCAAAAGAACCCCCCCCCCAAAAAAAAAGAGAGTTGGTCAGAGGGCACCTAGCTGGGGGACCAAGGCACAACCCAAACGCTATGGGCGCGATGGGCGCGAGGGGCGCTAAGAAACGGGCTATCGTTTCCATCCTTTTCCAGGGAGATCGGTTTGTTTGAGCGTCCCTATGGTTTGCCATGGGATCAAACGCAGTGTCACAATATCAAAAACAAAACACCGAAGCCTAAACTCAGCAAAAGGAATTTTGACGGTACTTCGTGTATGTTTTCCCCCCGCAGCCCCAAACCTAAACATATGGGAAAACAAAAGACACAAAACAACGGAACGCTTTCGAAGAACGGTGAAGCTGTGCCAAGCACAAACGGGAGCTGCCAAACCCAAGTGACTATAAACTCTAGAAACTCCGAACAAGTGAGCCGTTTGGTTTCCTTAAGCCAAGCCAAGCCTGGGCCACCTTGTTACCTCTCTGGAATTCGGGGCCCGTTCAATTCCGGACAATCCACACTCAGCTTCCCTCCAATTGGTGGTTTGGTGGTGAAACGGGGGGGTTTCCCATTTACCCTTTACAAGAAGCAGAGGTTGAAATCCCCAAACCACCAATCCAAACCACCAATTCGGGGTTACCTGACACACCGAGCTCCAAACAACCAACTAAGGGTTAACAGAAAAGCCAAATCCACCTCCAACTGCGTCATAATCAAAACGCGGTATTCAAATGGCCCAAGCCCAGAATCATGGTAGAAGAATTGGGCAGGCGAGTATCCGCAGCCATTTAAAACAAGGGGATGATCTCTTACAACCCTCCAACTACCTTGGGTTTGATTGTGACCCACCTGAGACGAGAGCTATGCCAAGCACACGCATGTCCGCAAGTGACACATACTGTGGATGGATGCGAAATCCATTTCACACCACTTTGAAACCACCACAAAACCACCAGGTTCGTGTTTCTGTTTACCTTCTTAGGTGCGGGATCTCGTCCGTTCCCGGTCACCTTTGAGACAAATCGATCACCCATTTATTTCAAACCAAACAAACCTAAGGATGCCTGTGCCTTCAGGCGAGAATGGCGGTGGCAAGTGATACCTATCCAAGCCTTGGTTTAACATGCCAACAGTGAAGATACCCTCCCACAGACGATTCCATGGAAGCTCCCAGGACCCCTTTGGAAGACTGGGTTCCATTTACTGAGGTCTCCTGGGAGCTTCCATGTTAGTCTGAGGGAGTGTACCTTCCCTCCACATGGCACCTTTACAAAGGCACCTGCAACAACAAGGCCCCAGGTCAGCTCAAAGAAACGGTATCACTTCTTTTGCGAAGGGAACAACGTGTTGGTTGGCATCAGGGATGCTCAAAGGAAAACCAAAATCCATATTTAGGGGACACCGATTTCGAGATACCCGCACCTGGGTGTGTGTAAAAATAGAGCAACCACAAAAAGGGTGTTTGTTTTCCCTCAAGGCTGCCTTTGAACAAATCCAAGGCTACCCACCAAAAAAGGACAAGCCCATATTTCCGGCTACATCACTTTAGAAGGAAACTCACAGATGATGTTTTAAAGACAAACTCCTGGTAAGACGATTTCCCTGATGCATTTCTTTCTGCTACCTCAGCCTCTGCCCCACAAAACATGTAGCTTGGATTCCGGTTTGTTTGCACCCTTCGATGTAAAATCCGTCCGAAATAGATCCCTGGCCTATCTACACGCATTTAGCCAGTGATGCTGGGTCGAGAGCTGCGGATATTTTTGCAGGTGTCCCGGGCGAGGGAAATTAACAAATTTGTCTCCTACCCTCTGGCCCTGACTGACTGCCAGGAAAAAGATCATGTTCCTCTTCTCACTTGCCCAAAGGACCTGGAAGTAAAAGGTCAACCTTTTGGGATCCTTTTCTAAAAATGGGAACCCAAGTCAGGGAAACCAAGAGGTTAAAAGGTCGATTCGCTTTGGGCGAGTGTTTTTTGAAGCGACCCTCTAGTGAGTTCCATCTTCTCGGACAGGAAGAAGAAAACCAATTCTCTGACTGTTCCTGATCGGAGCAAGCCCAAAGCGAACGGACACATCAAGCGACTGAAGTCGGTGTCATCTCGATGTCGCCGTCAGCGGAGCAGCCTGCACATGGGGGATTTGGGGTGAGATGGGTATGTCATCATCACCGATGCCCAAGGAAGTAAAATGAGTGCATCCCTTTTGGTTTCCCGGTGCAACAATCCAACAAGGGCACCCTCAATAAACACACACTCAAATCGAAATAGCCATAAGGTCGTTTTGGAAGGGGTTGGGATCAACCAAATCTGGCTGAAACAAAGGAAGCCTGGTTGAACATCCTGATCCACCCCAAGAGTCGTCCCCCGTTCCATATCCAATATTCCCCACAAAAGGGACGTCAAAGTACAAGTGGAATACTGGATTGTCGCCTTAATCCTTGGGGGTAGTGGTTGGAGCTAGTCGAAACCATCTCGGAGGCTTCTTTCTGGGAAGCGTACAGGTGTATGGGCTTAAAATAAAGCAGCTAGGGCAGCTGTGGACGGAACAGCACGCGGGTTCCCATGCTGATCAGAAGGGAATGAGTAAGATGCCGCTTTACCCTCGGGTACATTTTGTAAGAACCACTTTGTCACATAATGCAAAGCAGTTTGGTTTATCCAAAAGGAGGTTCTCGGTTTTGTTTTCAGCAGTGTGAACGCTTAATCCGTTTATCGCTTGCACTAAATAGTCGGCTTCCTACTAATCAGGCTGGTCTGGTGGTTGGGGGGAGACTTCCCATTTATTCTCCACAAGAAGTCGGGGCTCAAATTCCAAATCCAAACCACCAATCAGAACCAACTGGTCGAGAAAACACGTGGCATGCACGCTGCCGTCATCCGACTGCGAGCGATCCGCATCCGAGCGCTTGAGGTCCAAGTGCACGGGTTCCTTTGAGAGGAGGCCCTCCGACAGGTGCCAGAAAAAAGCAAAAAACTAAACAACCTTGCCAAGAACAGTGAAGATCCCCTTGTGGTGCCTTTGCGGGGGGGGGGGGGGGATATTAACATACACACACACACACACACACGCAACGAAAAACACCGCGCTGCGCCTTCTAACAAGTTGGAGTCGATCACTGAGTTGCAGCTCCATCCGCAAACTCCGCCGGCGCTCTCACAATACTCGCCCAAGTCCGAATCATCGAGCTCCGTTGCCCTCGGAAGCATCGCGCGAAATTCCGATGCCCGAAGTCCCATCCAGCCCGGACGATCTTCCGCGGTTTCCATGGGACTGCTCACGCAGCAATTCCTTGAGGGAATAGATCCACCCCAACTTGGTTGTTCCGGTTAGGTCGAAAAAAACTGTCCGAGTAACGGCGTGCTACTCGACCATGACAAGGTCAAAACGTCAGGAAAGTGACGTGGCACTTAAAACCACCACTTAAGTGGTTATCTAAGTATCCACCCCTGCTTCTGAGCTGACTCATAATTGTTGCCTGTCCCCTGTTGGCAAGTCGGCAGAAACTCACCCAAATGACACCCTGAATGTCAATGAAATTAGCTTAGGCCGAAGAGTAATCACTTTTGACTTCACCCAGGCCCGGAAATTCTCAAGCTGGCAGAAACAAATCGCAGGTCCGCTACAAATCCACATGGAACCCAAACGGACCCGGGGGGGGGGGGGGGCAAACGCAGTTTCCTCATGGGTGGGTCTTTCGGGCTCCATGTTCTGGAGACCACGTCTCCCTGAAGGATCCAACCATGGATTCCTGAGTTCCCGCAAGTTTACCTCTCACTTGAGTGGATTTGCAGAAACAAACAGAAAAACCAAGCTGTTTGTCTTTGCCCCGTGGTCCAAACCCAAAAAGTTGATAAAGTCCAATCAAACAAGTGAGCTGTGACAGAAATCTTCAGGGACGGAGAAAAGCCTTTCCGGGATCAAATCCCCTGACGTCGCTTTCATTCGCCCAAATTGAGGAGACAAGGTAGAGGGGTGATGTCTTAAGTCAGTTGGCGAAATCAGTTGGCAAAGGTGATGTTTTGACTGCCCCAAATCTGGGTTGCTCCAACCCCCCTCAGCAAAAGCTCGCTAGACGTGTTGTAGGTTTAATGGAAAAGCCCGGGTCACACCAGCCATGAAATGCACCCCAACTTCCTGAGTGGATGGAAGAAAAGCCACCACCCTTTTTGAGTGCCACTCAAATGGTCCAAACCCCCAAAGAATATTAAAGTCCAGGAACTCAGGAAGTGACTAATTATCCCCCCCTGGTGGAGTGTTAGCTTCTGGACAACCGCATGTTTGTTCATGGCTGTCCTCAGATGCCCCGCCAAAAGTGAATAACATTTAGCGGGCTAAATGCAAACCTAACCGCACAACCACCTGAGCCGGACGTTCGCAGTTACCGGCTAGTTAAAAGGTGAAGTTGAGCATGTGTGCAAGCAGTCACCTTCCATTTCGCTAAGACCCCTGGGAACAAATCCAGCAGTAATACATTCGCGTTACAACCAACAAGGGGGAAACAAAAAAAAAAAAAAAAACATTTCAGCAAAAGAAGTCGCAGATTCCTTCGTCGCCTGGCTTCGGGGGTCCCGAAACCAGCCAGAAGCTTCGGACGGCGGCTTCGCCGGGCGTCTTCTCGAGCGCCGCGAAGTTCGAGGGGCTCCACACCATGCAGGCCAGAACGTACCTGAAGGGTGCCCAAAGGCTTTACCCCATACCCAGACTAGGTCCTCCAGATTTGAGAGGTTAGAATAAGTTGGTACCAATCTCTTTTTTCCGGATGTCCATTTTAATTGGGGAATCCTCCCCCCAAAAAAGGGTAAAAGGGTACTACTCAGGGACCTGGCAGAAATGAACCAGGGGCCATGAGGAAAAGCATGGGCTGGTGCATGGAAACCTCCATTTTGTGTGCCTAAAGGGTCTTGGCAGGGACGACTGGAAGCCGGCCGACCCATAGATGAACCTGGGGTGAGGAAAAATGGGCCGGCCCGTTCACTAAAAGGTCGGAATCACTAGAAAGGTGGTTGCCCAAAGGACCCAGAACTAAATGGTTAACCTTTTGGCACCTCTACTAAAAATGGACCAACATGGGAAAACCAAAAGGTCAAAAGGTCGGCTTTGGACAACTGAGTAAAGGTGGTTGCCAAGAACGGGAAACCAACAGATCAAGTGACAAGTTCGATTCGCGAGCAAGTGAGCAAAACATGGTGGTTGTCCTCTTGGTTTCTGCTCATACCACCCCTAGAAGAGTACCCAACTTTTGTTTTTGTTTTTTTTGGTGCTGGGGGGATATCTATTGCACTACACAAGCTGGATGATCACGTGGGTGACTCTGTCATAACCATGTTGAGGGAACCACAGCTTCCCCCCATGGTTACCATACTGTGGATGGACGAAATCCTGCACCACCTAAGCAACCATGAGGCACCACTGTTTGTCAGTCTTTGCAGGGGAGTCAACACTTCAGGGTTTCTTCGGTGATGCAGGATTTCGTCCATCCACAGTATGACCTACTTGCTAAACAAAATATGAGGACCCAAGGTGGCTCCCAGCTCATTCCCATGTACCCTTGTCACATGCGTGTTCGGGACCCTGAGACATCTGGTCCCTCCATGCCTCCCATGGCCTTGGGATCGAAACAAATCGTATGCTCAGATTCTGTGCCATACAAAATCCAAAATGCAACATACTGTGGTACACATCCTGCACCAGTTAGGAGGCCTATCCCAGTATTGATAGAGGTTCATGAATTCCGACTCCGACTGGTCCAGAAGTTTTGTCCATTCACAAAACTAATGGTGGAAACGCCGGAAACTAAGAATAGACCACCAAGGTAGTTGTCAAAAGACTTCCTTCCAATCAACCTGACAAGGGCGCCGACAATAATATCGGGGAGTCTTTTGTGGTTTGAAAGCGACCCAAAGGAAACCAACCATTTTGAGGGGTACCCCTGTTTTGAGCGCTCCATGTTAGCGGACCATAAGCTATATGGATGTCATGTTTGTGGGAACCATCTTTTTTGGGTTGCTTCAAGGGGACACCAAAAAGGAAAACCACCATTCTAGGGGGTTACCCTAAAAAGAAGACAAGCCATCCATGTAACCTCGATGCCTTTGCAACCCCATCTTGTTCGTCCGTTCAGCCCAGGCACTGTCCGGAGTTGGAGGCAGTGGAGGCATCAGGAGTTTCTGGAGGCGCCACGCAGGTGTCCGTGGTGTAAGTGTACGCACGGCCTGTCGAACGCATGCATGGGATCGTCTTTGAGGGTAACCCTCTTGCGTGTTGGCTTTAACAGGAAACTAAAAGGAAACCCACTATGTGTTTGTCGTTTTTTTGGGATCATTTTGCACCAGTTAGGCGGCCTATCCCAGTATGATAGGGTTTTGTCACCAAAAGAGAGGGTCTGGCTTTTGATCGATTCCCGAAACAATTTGACCCGCGCTTTGTTCCCAGTCTAAGGAGGTTGATTAAACATAGAACCTAGGCTGGAAAAAAGGGACCCCAGCGAAAAATGAGATCTTTTTTGCCTGGTGAGTGGAAAACAAAGGGAACCCAAAAATGCAAAAAAGCAAAAAGGGGAGCTAATTCTGGGGAAACCTGCTTGGACCAGTTTCCTTCCAAGGTGACCCCTGTACAGGCTCCATGTTTTGAGGGTAAATCTGCAGAGCTTCCACGCGGGTTCCGTCCGTTTGTTGGGAGGGAAAGCATCTCCACGTTCCGGAAAAGGCCTTTTCACTTACCCTCCCGCCACCTTGCCATGGAACCCAGCAAAGAAATATCCCCTGCAATGGAACACAATCCAAACCAGGACCCCGAAGCGTGAGGTGCCATGGCAACGCGGGAAACTACCCCTTTTTGTTTTCAGGTTCGCCAGTTTACCCAAAATAAGACCTGAACAAAGGCCTTATTAGGGTCTGATTCTGGGGGAAAACAGGGGGAAGGTGTGGTTGAATGCTACGATCCAACCCCCCCCATCAGTCACCGTGTCGAAACCTGTCCCAAGGCAATCCCTGGGAGCCTCACCCCAGCCCTGCTCAATAAGCAGGCTACGACCATGGCTTCTCATTGTAGATAACTTACAATCATCTTGGTTGCTGTTGACCCCCCTGCAAAAAGTGAATAACTTTTAGGGGGGTTCGTGGAAAACCTCATGATTTCCCAAAAAGTGAAAGTCTAAAGATCCGATACCCAGCAGCAGTCAAGCCATGGATATGACCTACAGTACCTACGATGTGGCTTGAACTTTCCCACCTGCAGTTGCATGAAAAAGGTGGCCCAATTCCCCCCCCCATTTTGGTTTAGCCATGCTCTTCACCCACGGCAAGAATATTCAAGAATTGTGCCATCTACCAACCCACCCTGATAAATCCAAGGCGTCCACCACTCTCAAACCACAGCTGTTTGATGGGACAAAGACACACCATGTCTCCGATATATAAGGGCTAAATGTTCCGAGTAGTAGTCTACAGCCATCTAAGAGTGTGCAGGTCCCATGAAGTTGCCTCAAAATGGTTCGGGGAGGGGGGGAATCCCCAACATCAACCTTGAAACCAACCCCCAAACAGGCAAAGAGGCTTGTAACAAGAGGCTTGATAGATGGCACCATTCTTGGAGTCAACCCTTATATATCGACTTTATGGCTCACTCCCTGAGTGGATTGGCCAAAAATCCACACACTGTTGTTTTTACCCCAAAATGGTCCAATTCCAAAAAGCTTAAAGTCCGGCAACTCGGTTGAGAGTGGACGCCATCTGTTTCATAATGAACATCTGGTACGAAAATGGTGAACCCAAAAGCCATGGTCTGGTAGAAGAGTTACCAACGCGGCTGCAACCATGCCTGGTCGGGACTGTTCTTTCTAACCTTCAACTACCAGGTGTTGTTTTTTTAATTGTGGCTCACCTAAGAAGCTTGCTGGTTGCTTGTTCTCAGACCTTCCTGGTGTTTGGGAATCAACGCTTTGGGGATCCCCTTCAATGAAACCACTCGACTCGTGGGACGGTTTCTAGGTCCTCCAGTAGAGAGGTTAGAATAAGGGTGCCCACTTTTTTCTATAGTCCATTTTTTAGGGGAACCCTCCCCCCCAAAACAAGAAGCGGTACAAGTTGGCACCTGGCTGGGGGACCTGGATGCCCATTCTCTTCAGGGATTTTTCCTTCTCTGCGAAGAACAGGCCGAACCCCTGAGAAAATGAACGGCTTCTGAAGAGGGCGATGAGTGAAGAGAATGGAAAATCAACCCTTATGAAGCCTGGGCTGTTCAAAATGGAGGGTTGGCCAATCCTAATCCATCATCCCCATAGGGAAGCCACTACAAAAGGACCCCGTTGCGTAACGGAAGGTAAGGATTAAGGATTCCCTTTGAATAGCCCAGGAAACATACATCGCCCAAAAGCTTCAAAGCTTGGCACCCGGGTCTCTTGGCGCCCGGGTCTCGGCACCGTCCTGCTTGGTCTGTCCGAGCCCGCCAGAAGGGCTGGGGGTACGCGAAGCGCCGGTCCGCCACCACCCACCAGTCTCGGAAGTCCGCAGAGGCGAGCAGCACCGGATACACCGTGTGGACATAGCCTAAGATCCGAAGCGGCCAGGAGCTTCCCCCTATGCCCCGGAAACAGAAACCGTCCATTTGGTTAAGACCCTGGAAAATAAAAAAAGAAACAGAGATGTCCCTAAGTTTCCTACAGCAACCAAAGGGGGAAACCCTCCGGGGTCGAACCTAGCGTGATACCCAAACCCCTTCGATCCGCTTCAGGCCATCAAAGCCGCCGCAGTAGATGAGTAACTGGGCTGCCCGTTTTCCGATCCCCCGCTAAAAAGGGACTAATGTTTAATGGGTTGAATGGAAACTACCACAAAACACTCAAAGGCTAAAAAGCTAAGGGGATGGCTGGGCACCAAGATCCCCCAATGCCCTGGAAGCAAGAACCTTCCATTTGGTTAAGACCCCTGGAACAAATAAAATTATTTCCAGTCGTGATAAATTCCACAAGGGAAAATAAAACAATTATTCTTAAGCAAATGGACGACACACCGAAAACCAAATAGGGGCTGATAGACACGTAGGGACCAACTTTTTTGGCTCTCCGGAACTGCTGTCTGGAGAGAGGGGGCGTTTGGCCCAGGAGAGGTTCCCTAAAGACGTGTCTCAGAATTCTCAAAGCGCTTTTTGCCTGTAGTCTCCGCGACCCTCAAAAAAGTCATTAAAAACACAAAAACAAAGGGTCATAACTTATAACCCCTGACAATGAGGCTCTAAGTACTATAGCCATGTCAGTCAAAAGATGCAAGCTGCTACCACGCGTTGACCCCAATACATGTCTGCTTGCAATAAAAACTCCCCCAATAGCTATCGACATGGTAATCCACATGACTACTAGTCAACTCCTTGAAAAGGATTTCCTTGCAATCTCATCACAAAGTGGAATCTAGGGAGAATGTTGACCCAATATTAATAAACCCCATTTTATTAATAGGGGGCTGTCCCTGGATTTAGTGGGGAATCAGGCCACTTTGGAGGCCCCCAACCCATACTAAACTGCGGTTGATTAATATCGGGACAACGTTGCCCAACCCCCCCCCACCCCTGAAACCGGCGAACTCCGAAGAATGTCTTCATAATTAGCAGCCCTTGGCCAGCTCGGAGTCGTTCAGCGTGAGGCTCACTCGGAAGTTCATCTCATTGGTGCGGTAGCCGCGCCAAGAGGAACACGAGTAGTTACAGCCTGGGTCAACTGGGCCTGGTCAGCTTCCCCTTTGGACATTTGGCCCTTGCTTTGTGTGAACTTTGTGTGTGCTTGCCGGGCCGGACTTGGCCCCCAAAAGGCAAGATGCTGTTAAAAAAGGACTATGAAGGCCCAAGAGTTGGCCATAGCGCACGGGAATTTAAATCTCGCAATTTGGAGATGGATGATGGTACCTGGTGGGGTTGCTTTCAAGGCAAATCGCTGGCAAACTGTTATTCATCGAGTGCCCCAGTTCAGACATACAAAAAGGAGAAGCAAAAGATTTCCAGGTTCGAAATCCCTCCCCGAATTCCATGGGGAATCCTTGGGAGGAACCCTCTGCTGAACATGTTTAGGAATGGATTTAGGTCCAACCAATTGGGGATGTTTCATCGGGGGAACTATTGTTTCAAGTACGAATTCTGTATTTTCCGTGGGCATTCCTCGTTTGAGAAAATAAGCCCAGATGGCATCCCCAACAGCAAACCCTCTGTGCACGGGCCAATTTGGACCCCATAGCTTTCAGCTGGGACTTAGCCCCCATGTGTTGTTCAGGGGAACCAGTTTTTCCAACCACCTCTTTGTTGGACCCATAAACCAAAGGACCAACAGGCAAAACGCAGGTCGAAACAGAAAGAGGCTTGCGGTTGCACAGACAAGGTACCCCACCCACAACCACCACCTCCTACCCCACCCCACCCCACCCCACCCCCATCTCCTCCCACCTCCCCACCTCCCACCTCCATCACCGCCCACCTCCCACCTCTCACCTCCCCTCCCACCTCCCACCTCTCACCCAGCCGCTGTCCGCTTGCGTCGGGATGGGCGACATCTCGATGGGAAACCTCGCCGCGCTCTTCTCCGCCAGCTGCTGCCCCCCCGGCGCGGCGATGGACGGCCACTTCGGATAGTTCTCGTGCCAATACCTCGAAAACGGCCGACCCGAGCCATGTCCGTCTTTCCGGGAAAGGAAAACATAGACAAAGAAGCTGTAGCTCGCTTCATGAGTAGAATTGGCGGAAAAAAGTCGGAACTGTTTAGTTATGGAGTGAAAGCATAGACAAAACTCACTGTCATGAGTAGAATGGGCCGCAAAAAGTCGGAACTTTCTAGCTACCGCTAGAATGGTCCAAACCAAACAGTGTTAAGTCCAGAACCCTCTGGGAGTCAGGTAGCGATCGATTCTTTTCAACGCCAGGGGAGAGTAACTAACATCAATTTCAGCCAATGGAAGAATACTTTTTTCGGCGCCTCCACTGCTTCCCGGCGACACAACCACAGAAGGTGGATAACTTTTCCTGGGTTCTTGCCCGGGGGTTTTACCGTGGTTTCCTGATGTACCTACTCTAGTTGCCCGGAAGGACTAGGAGAGTCCTTCGTTTGTTTTGAAGTGGGAAACACACAGAGGCAAAACACGCTCAACTTGTGGTTAGCAGGACTAGGTCCTCCAGTAGAGAGGTTAGAATATGGGTACCGTCTTCTTTCTGTATGTAGTCTATTTTAATAGGGGAACCCTCCCCCCAAAGTTGGTGAGAAAGGGCACCTAGCTGGGCAACCTAGAGGAAGCAGGAAAGCAAAGATATCCCCAAGCTTCGAACCAAAAACGCAGCCAAGACGCTGGGTTGGCATCGGGTTGGTCACCAACCACTTCCTCACTGGCAAAGGGCCACACAGAAAACCAGGCCATCCTCATGCAAAGATAGAAACCAAAGGGTACCGTTTAGAGAACAAAATGAATGTTCCAGCTACAGTTGGCTAAAAACAAACAGCACAATTATCCTACGGTTGTTTCGTCATTCCCTTCACTTACCGACGCAAAAGGGAACTGTTTCCATCTGCTGCGGCAAAGGGTAACGGAAACACAAAAACAACAAACAAACACGCCAACCTTTTCTAGGTCCTCCGGTAGAGAGGTTAGAATAAGGGTACCTTTTTTTCTGTAGTCTACTTTAGTAGGGGAACCCTCCCCAAAAAAGAGCAAAAAGGCACTGGGGGACCTACTTTTCGGGCCAAACAAAAAAAGGTTGCCAAGGTGAGCTTCGTCCAAAGCGGGAAGATCACCATAAAGATCAAAAACTGGCAAACGTAGCAGAGGTGGCAGCAGCATGCCGCCGTCAACGGCGGCCTGCAGCCGCCTCATGGACCAAGAAGGAGCTGCGCGCCCTGGACTTTTAAGGGGGGCGGGTGTTCTTGTTTTGTCTGATTGTTTTAGTTGTGTTGTTCCTCCTTGTGTTAGAAGGGGGGGGAAGGGGTTCTTCTTGTTGTGGGTCTTGTGTTTGTTTGTTGATTCATCTAATCTATTGTGTCTCTTCTTTTGGCGGGGGCAGATCCCTGCCGAGGAAAGCCTCAGGGGCTAGGTGACTTGCCGAGGTCTATGCGCTGGTGTCTTGGCCTCCCGAGGACATGGGGACCAACCTGATACTGTGGATGGGCGACATCCATCTTGCACCACTTTAGAACCATGAAAAACCACCCCCTACACCCAATACCCACTTTTTTCAGGGTATGATGTCGACCCTCTACTAAAAAAGGATGCAAAAACCATGGAAAACCAGGTTCTCCCAAAAAAAACTGAGAAAACAAAAGCGGGTATTTGGAGTAGGGGGCACTGTTCGTTGGTATTTACAGGGGAAACATCATTCTGGGATTGTTAGGTAGTGCAGGATTTCGTCTTATCCAAACCTCATCTCGGATCATGATCGACAAGAATGAGAGCCCAATAGGGTCAGCTTAAAATTGTTGCGCATGTGATAGCTTCGGCTTTGCTTCCGCTTTTGCCTTCTGTTGACTTTGTGAAAGCAACACGCTCATTTTTGTTCACCCGGGTATTTGATGCAGGAGAGATGACTGCCAACAAATAAGTTCCCCTTAGTTTCCCTTAGCTCACAAACCAAAGGTTAACCTTCTTGGGCCATGACTAGAAATAGAATCAAAATGGGAAATGACAAGGACAAATCAATTCGATTTGCTTTGGGCGGGTGAGTTAGTTGCCATTTGGCTGTGGCTCCAAAACCTGCGGTTTGCCCCTCCGATCGTTTAATTTTGAGCCACAGCCATACAAATTGCGGGATTCCAACCAGTGGAAGGGCAATTGGAGACCTCTAAGCTCTGTGCGCGGCTGCTTCAGGTTCACCAACGTGTGGTCCATTTCCTGAAAAGCCCAACGGAGAAGTTGTGTTTGCATTGTCAAAAACAGCTATGGACCAAATATCAGTATGCCAAATGTATAGTTTTTTCAGACTCTGGTGAAAATATTCAGGCCCTTGAGTGGATTGGCCAGAGAAAGTGCGACAACTTGTTGTCCACCGCACTAAAACGGTGTCTTTTATTGCTTTCAGGAACTACGTCAGTGAGTTTTGTCTACCCAACTGGGGTAACTGGCTTGGGGCCATGCTTTCGTGCGGGGGGGTGCCTTGGAAAAACCTCACAAATTGGACTTGTGGTTTCCACTGAACCTAGCTGTACCTTCCATGTCTAGGTCCTCCAGTAGAGAGGTTAGAATAAGGGTACCCTTTTTTATGCAGTCGATTTTAGTAGGGGAACCCTCCCCCAAAAAAGGGTAAAAGGGCACTACTGCAGGACCTTCCATGTCCATTCTCTTCCAGGATCCTTATCTGCAAAGAACAGGCCAAACCCCTGGGAAAATGGACAGTTTCTGAAGAGAGCGATGAGTGAAGAGAAGGGGGAACCAACCCTTATGAAACATACATCGCCCAAAAGGGGAGTGGCAGTCTTCAAACAAAACTCGTGCCCAGGTACCCGGTAGCTTGGTCAGCTCTCGGCCTGAACAATACATGTTGATTCAAGGTGGGGCCACAACACAGTTCTTGGCATGCTTCCATTTGCTGAAGATCCTGGAAACTAATCCAGGAGTGATAGATTCCCTTTAAAACCAACAGGGAAAATATAACATATTTATTGCGGTAGATGGGAGCACGTGTTGCCTTCGTGCAAACTTGCCCCGACATCAAGCTGACTGCTTGGGCCTTCACTTGCAATGAAGAAACGTTTAGAAGGAAACCACGCCCACGTGGCAAGCTAAACATGCAGGGCTTGACCAAAAAGACAATGATGCCAATGCCGGGGTGGTATTCTGGACGTGTGACTCTTTCACTCTAGGCAAGGTGAGCGACATTGTTCTTTCATTTGTCTGGGTGGCTTGTCTGCGAGTTGAGACAGACCCTGCCATGTTCTTTCAGGATAAAACTGCTGCGCGTCCTCGTCCGACTCATCGGTGCTGCCTGCCGTGTCCATCTCGGTCGAAGAACCTGAAGGCATCTGGAGCTTGGTTGCTTGCAACGACCCCTCTGTAAAAGTTGACAACTTTTTGTGGCTCCAATACGGAAAATCCGACCTGCTTCAACCAACAGAATAAAGTCCAAGATCCAACCAAATAGCCATTAAGGGAAAGGCGCCATAGGGCCGCCCAGCATTGCAACCAGGTGACCCCAGATCCGGTAACCCACGTGTTTTTTCAGCCTCCGCGTCACTATGTTTTGGCGGTTAGGCCTTTGGGCCCCCTTCAGGCAACCCCTACTTGGTGCTTCGAGGGTATGGGAAACCACCCCTAGCCACGAAACCACCGGGCTTCAAAGCACCAACTAACCAGAAAAGCTGATTCCCTGGGCAACACGTTCTGCGTTCTGCCCCAAAGATGCTTTGGAGGGTCTTCAGGGTCCTTTACTCGCGTGTCCCGGATGGGACCTGGCAACAAACGGTGGTCTCCTTTGGGAACCGGAGGACAAAACAGAGGGAGATCACCATTTGTTGCCAAACCAGTGAAAACCAAAAGATGCTTTGAAACCAAAAGCCAAACTAGGGAACCAATCAAAGTCAAACGGTGATTCCTCCAAATCAGCTGGAAAATCCAAAACATCGAGCTGGCCGCACGTGTGTCTCAGGGACCCTGCGCCGTGTCTTTTGGGGCGAGTCCCCAATGACACCCTCCCACCACCCCCGATTCTTCCCCCCTTGAGGATTCCCCACAGGGACGGCTGCTGCCTTGCACTCTGAACAGCTGCATCCATAGGTGACCTTTTGTTGAGAACGTGATGATCGGTTTCCTTGGTAAATCGGGCATAACACCAAATCCAAAACCAGTGGGAACCAGCGATTTCTAAGAAAACTCACCGATCAAAAGGACCCCGATGGCTGCATTCGGAGTCCACCGTGTCCTGCTCAGTGCGAGAACTTTCGGCTTCCCACTGAGGCCCTGGGCCGTCATAGCCATAGGTGTAGCCTCGTAACAAATGGCAAAGGACACTTCCCTTTTTTTCGTTGCTGGCCTTTTTGGACCAGCAAATGAGAGCCACATGAAAAAAAGGCGAGACGGAATACCAGCCAAAAAAAACCATCTCTTGGCATTTTTGAATGGAGATACGCCTCCCGTAGGTGCACCAAGATGCTACAACATGAACTCAGGTTTCGAGGCCTTGGGGGCCGGAAGCACCAACTCTCAGCCCCTGGGCAACTCTAAGCTGATCACCTCGGGACGCTTCACATATGGGCTCGTCTTTTGAGGGCACCGCTCCAATTTTTGTGGGTTTTGGAAAGGAAGGCCAACAGGAACACCATCCACTTTGGGGAGTCACCTAAAAAAGGACACACCCATATTGACTACAGGGAACCGGCCGATTCGCTCGCAACTGAGAAGCGCATGGCTGTGAATTTGAATGATGAATGCACCCCCAAATGGTTGCAGACGTGAACCAAGTATGATGTCCACTGGAGGGGGCCCAGTTAAGGAACTCACATTCGCCAAGGACAATTCGCAGACAAGAAGCTATCCAGAAGCGACCATCAAACACCATACAGATCACGCCGAATCGGGAGGCTGCCCCAGAGCAAAAGCGGAACCCGTACCAAGAAACACCAAGGTTTCCTTTTCAACCGCAAGGAAATCACATAGTTGGATTCATCAGTTCCAGGTGACTCCCTCTGAGAAGCACGTGTCTTGCTTGCATCCTGAAACATGTAACAAAAAAAAACTGCCCTTGTTCCCCTACTTGCAACCCATGGACAACTGCTTGCAATCGTGGGCCTTGTTCGCGGTCCGGGTTGCTGAGCTGTTTAACCCGTGAGATTCAACCCTTACATATCTGTCCATTGCGGTGTGCATAGGATTCAACATCAAGGAAAATAAACGATGAACTGAGCATATGATCATAATAATGATAGAAACATGCTAAAATAGAAAGACAAAGTTATTAAAACATATGTGACGTCTCATGTGTGAAGTATTAACTCCCTTTGTAAGCTCTTTGAGCCTTTGATCCCATTCCCATTTCCCTTTTTTCTCTGCTTCACAATTCTAATGAATGGGAAATGGGGATGAAGGGACAAAAATGAAGGATAATGATTCCTTTGGCATTGTATCCCTGTCCCCTTATCACGTTCATCTGCATCCTCTGAAAGTAACTTCAAGGATGAAGAAAACAGGAACGGAATAACACTGTAGAAAAAAAGACAGGCAATGATCATATAACCAATTCATCATTCTAATGCAAGAAGCTAACACGATAGATAATTAATGATGATGAAGAGACAAATAAACAACTATTATAAATCTGCATTCTAAATCTGCACGAGTAGAAAAGAGAGAACGTGCCCACCGCTCCCGGGTGGCCATAAGCAACTGGAACCACCAACCATCCCAAGCTCATCAGAAGGACCGAACCATGCTGGGGTGGATCTGTCTTAGGGTACCCGTTGCTTGATGGCTTCAAAGGGAAACCAACCAAAAAACCCTTTTGGCGTTCCAAACGGGATCCAAACCCTAAAAAAACGACACACCCTTGGAGCTTTCGTGCCCGGAAAAAAAACGCAGCTGACGCCAGAGAGCCAGTACCGCTCATCAAGGCATCACGGCTGCCCATGTCCTGAAGGCAACGGCTGCCTACAATCATAGGTGTCCTAAGGGAAATAGATGGGTTTCTCTGGTAGATGAGCAAAAACCACCACATAGACCAGGAATCGCGATCCTTTTTTCGAGCAAAACAACCAAAAAGGACACCTATGCCTACAATTTCTGAGAGCTTGCTGGAAGCAAAGTGTATCCAGTTTCTGTTTAGTGGGTTGAATGGACACTACCACTAAACACTACAAGGCTCTAAAAAGCTAAAAAGCTAAGGAACCGGATGGCTGGGAACCAAGATCCCACGCCCTGGAAACAACACCTTCCACTTGGTTAACTACCACGAAACTCGGTTGCTTTCTGCTCCCCTGCTAAAAGTTTAACTTTTAGTGGCTTAGTGGAAAACCCATTAGTTGGCAAAAAGTTAAAGTCCTAACATCCCTTGGCAAAATGCACCAGAGTCGCAGAGAGGTTAGAATGGGACCCTTTGTCGCCTTTGTCCATTTTAGTAGGTTCGGCTCAGTAGCCCAAACAAGGGACCCAGGACTAAAAGGTGATCACCTTTTGGCACCTCTTTGGGCAAACACAACGCTCTAAGAAGCTAAGGAACCATGGCTGGGAGCCTAAGGTTTGGATCAGCTTCGCCCTGAATTCCTAACATGGCTTGCCCTGGTGGAACCGTGGACCAAAGCCTGCGGTTTGCTCCGATCGTTTCATTTTGAGCCACACCCAACTGAAAAGGAACCAAGACAGAGTGATTAAAACAAGGGGAACGGATGTTGAACATGTGATGTTTCCAAGATGTGTAAACATGTGCGTGTGAAGTTTGGAAACTGAATCTGGGATGTGTCAACATGTGCTGACCCTCGTGGTCCAAAATCGATACAGTATGGCTTTAGCTACACCAAAGCATACGAAGTCAAACATGTCATATGTTTGTCTCAAATTCAGGCAGCCCCCATACTGATGTAGACCAACCCAAAAAGGGCACCTCCAAAACACCCATATGGGGCAAGAAACGTGGTGTCGTGGAGGGTTCCCTGTTACAGAGTGACCAGTCCCCCTCATTTTGGTGCACATCACCTGCGCAGCTTGTTGAGTTGCATTGTCGCAATTGTTGCGGAGTTAGTCTGATTACCGCACATTTAGGGACCCGACACTCTTGGTGGGACGCTGGAACCCTTGAATGAAATTCAAACATGGGCCACGTCTCTACAGCTGTCTGCTACATCTTGTAACGTAGGCAACGGTCGCGGCTCCAGGAAATCGTTGGATAAGTGGTGCTTTGACCACACATGTAGACCCCGTTTGTCTAAGGTGGTTGACTTTACAGGGAATCCGCCACGACTCCAATAGGACCAGGGCGCCACGGGAGGTCTGGGAATGTTCTCTTCCAGAGCAAGGCTCCCGGAAAATCCACCAAATCACTTCCCTGCAACTGTGCGCAGGGCAGCTGGAATATCCTAAGATACTTCTCTGCTTCGCCCGCGAGCCGGGTTTGGTTTTCCCCAAAGGGCAACCCCTGATTTTTTCGGTTTACCTGCGGCAAGTCAAAAAATGGAACCCTGGGCCTGGCCAGTTGTTGATTCCTTTCTTCAAGCTCCTTCCCAGACAATCCATGCAGGTATTTATATACATATATATATATATATATGTGAACATTCAACCCGTTTGGAGTTGGTAAATGTAGGTGTATTACCCACATGAATTCTGGGGTGTTGATTGACGTTCTTTCAAAATCGGGTACACGAACGTCGGCACATGGCTGCAGGCGAGCTGCAAAAGGGCCTCTGGCCGCCCGCTGCGAGCGCAACGGGCCGAGCGCTAGAGAGACCGCTGAGTCGGGGAGCGGCGAGGTGTCCGGCGGTTTTCTAGAAGGAAGGATCCCTGGGTTCAGAATGGGGAAGGTACCCCCAGAGTGATTGCCTGTACCTTCAGTGTGAAAGCAGATGGCACCATCTTGGGTAGATGCCAGTATGCAAAGGGCATGAGAAAACCAATATGAGGGACATGTGCCATCTACTTTCGCCCAACTTTAAGAGGCAGGGAGGGGGGTTTGCCTGTTTATCTTGCCTCCCTCGCGAAAAGAGAGCAAGTGAGATGTTATTATCTGGATCCAATAAGGCAAAAAATAATTTGCTTGCTGCAAATGGCATATGGAAATCATATGGTCTCGAAATGATGGGGCCCGCTGTCATGGTTGGCGTTGGTGTCCTTTGAAACCAATCACTTGCCCAAAGGACCCCGAAACAAAAGGTTAACCTTTTGGGGCCATGACTAAAACTAGACCAAAAAGGAAAAACCAAAAGGTCAAAAGGTCGGCTTTGGGCAACTGAGAATCCTAAGAAGAGAAACCCTCAAACACGCACAACCCCAAATCGAGTTGCCGGGGTTGAAATCCCCCGAATTTGTCCTCTTGAAGAAGGGTGCCCATATGCGAGCTGGGACACCCAATCCGACACCCGGACTGTTTAAGCAACCAATAAGCTTGAGAGAGGAATCAACAACATAAGCCCCTTGGCTATCTACACAAGTAAATGGATCCACTGGGAACTGGGAACTGGTACTCTCCTGTCCACCTTGCCATGGAACCTGATTAGGTTCCGAGCAACCCTAAGTTGCTTTGAGCATGGCCTGAGCGGGGTTTGTTCAACAAAAAGCCGGACTATCTAAGGGCACGTCCCCTTTCAGGCCCCTTTTGAGGTGTCCGACGTGAGTTTTATCCGGATGCAAACAAACCCGGTGGATCCATTTACCTGCATACTAGGTGACCAAGGGAACCACACTTTTAAAACGGAAGGAAAATAACTGCTGACCCACTATAAAGGGAACACACAGGTATCACTGGATTTCCCCTTCAATAGTTGCAATTGTCTGATGGTTTCCCTTGAAACTGCCACGTGAGAAGGCTCCAAAAACAGGAATGGAGGGAACCCGGAAACAACCTTCCCAAAACATGACGATTCCGCGGCCGGCAAGCCGATTCCGCGGCCAACTCGCTCAAATCCAATTCCAAGCGCACCTCTACCGCTCCGAGGTGACGGTGTGGGTGTAGGGGATGCCCACCCCCACACCCCCCCAGGGCATGGCTGCCCGCTTGTGGCCCTTCTCCTTGCCCAGGTGGGCCTCCAGGACATCACGGATCGATTCCGGGCTTGGCAAGCAAACCGATCGTATACATTACATATTTGCGTGCGATCGGTCCTTCAGATTTGAGAGGTTAGAATATACCCGATTGCTTTTCTGTGGTCTGAATTTTAGTAGGGAACCCTCCCCCCAAAAAAAGAAACGGTAAACAGGCACCACTGGACTGGGGGACCTAGTGTCATTTTTCGTGGGCGCCTTTGTTTTTGGTATTAACGGGAAACCAACAACAAAAAAACAAGCCACCACTTTAAGGTCCCCTAAGAAAAGACCCATATGGCTGTGGCTCAAAATTAAACACGAGGGGGTACGCGGGTTTTGGTCCATGTTTCCACTTACCAGGGTTCCATTTTGGGAACCTTGCAACTTGTAAATGGTGGTCTCCCTCTATTTGGGTGTTGAAAAAGCAACACGTTTCAAATGGTTGCAAAATGAATTTCTTTTCAGCAGCCCTGATACTGATTTGAAGATTCATTGGACAAAGTGAGAGTTTGCGCCCAGTGGTGACTTTTTCCGGGGACCATTGAAAGCCGTGACCTTTGGCTTCCCTTGCTGCTCTAAATCAGTCTCTTTGAACATGTGTGACCTGCAATTCAGCGGCGACCTTATGCGCGGTGAAAACTCCACATGTGGGTCAGGTCTCATTCATTGGATTATATGTGACAAGCGAGTGAAATCCCACACCCATGCCGAACAAGAAAATATGTATTCTTCTTGCACGTCTGCTGGGTCAGTCATGGGCAGTTGCCATCATGGCGCGGTGCAAAAGATCGTGGGTCAAAAGCGACGTCTGTCACTAACGTCCGGCATCACATCTCAACCAAATCACCATAACCAAGCAAGAAGGGAACAGCAAATAATTGACTTATCCACTGAAGCCTGCCGAGAAAAAAAAGACAACGGCTTGTTTAAGCCTTTTTTGCCAGAAACTGCCGACTGCCAACCTCCCTCCCTCCCCGGACCGGCTCCGGCCCGACCCGCTAGTGCCTCAAAAGCCTGCACCATGCGCTTGGTATTGGACTGCTCCATGGCCTGCGCTCGGTTTAGCGCAGCTTGCGCCAACGGTCGGTGCCTCGGTTCAACCAATGGCAGCCAAAGTGTGGCCAGGTATCACAAACAGTCGAAATAGCCCTTGGTAAAAACCGAGGTCCTCCAGTAGAGAGGTTAGAATCAGGCATAAGGGTAATTACCCTTTTTTCTGTAACCTATTTTAGAAGGGGGGTTCCCCTCCCCCCAAAAAAGGGTCAAAGGATAAAAGGGCACTACTGGGGGACCTAGGCCAGGACATGCCGAAGGGTTCCTATAGCTTAGGTGACATGAACACCCAAGGGATGCTCCTGAAATAGGGTACCCGTTTCTCTAACCAAGTTTTCAGAAAACACACCAAAAGGGCAGTCTTAACGTCATTAAAACATGAGTCAAACATCTTCCTCTGTTCTTCATTGTTTTTTTGGTTTTTGTATTTCTTTTTTCTTTGGGGGTGGGGGGGGTGACGCCTCTTTCCGGGGAGGGCAGCCCACCAAAATCCACTGCGAAGGGAGTGAATCTTTTTGCGGCGGGCACGGGGTCTACTTTGTCTCCGGTCTGGCCACCTTCAGCGCATGTTTGTTAGTTTTCGGTTAAACACCTCCCTCCCATATGTTGCTGGTTTGGATTGGTAGTTTGGATTTGGATTTGAACCTCTGGTTCTTGTAGAGGGTAAAATGGAAACCCTCCGCAACCAAACCACCGTAATCCAACTCACCAATTAGAGGGAAGCTGATGGTTGTTCATCTTACTCTTCTATTTGGTGGTTTGGATTGGTGGTTTGGAGTTGGAATTGAACCCACTTCCTTTGGACACCAAAAGAGGACGGCACGGCTCACGCTGTTCCATGTTGTTTCTGATGACCCGGATGAATGCCATCCTTTGAATTGGGGAGTTGGGGGGTGGGGGCTCCCCTCCAATGGAGATTCCCAACTAAACCAGGGACACCCCTACCTATAAACTGGGGTTGACTTTTCTGCGGGGGTCCCATTACATGGCCAATTGTGACTTACCTCTTTGAAACAACACATCTTGCGGCTTGCCTTTCTCGAGCTTGCTAAAGCAAAGGCGCCAATCATGGCGCCAATCATTTTGTAGGCTTCCCCTCATTCGAGCTATGGCTCACTTGCTCAAAGGACCTGGAAGTAAAAGGTGATCACCTTTTGGGACCTCTAAAAATGGGAACCCAAACTCGGAAAACCGTTTAAGGTCAGATCCGGTCGATTCGCTGGCAACTGAGATGGGCTGGGTTGGGGAACCCCAAGTGGTGGCCTTCCTGAAAGCCACCCCCGTCCTTGGAGCCCATACTCTCCTCGAGCTTGCCCGAAGCGGAGGCCGGCCTTGCGCTCTCGCGAGTGAACGTGCCCGGTTTGAGACATATTAGGTTGAAGGGAAACCAGTGGTTGGGGTCTACCACCACTCTGAAGTGGTCATAGACATCTGATTATCTACATATGGCCCATTGTAGACTTTGAAGGGACACCCCAATCTAGAAAACGGCTGGCATGCGTGTGTTTGTGGAATTGTGCCTATTCTTCCCCTGTTCCCAGTACTCTTTTAATATTCTACGACAGGGGTGGATCCACAATTTCGCCACATCCAAACCGGTTTCTAGACCAAACCGAAGTTGACAGGAGAAGCACTCCACATGTCTGGAAAACGTTTCTGGAAGCCCCATCAGCTTGTTGGAGCTGCCAAGACCCGCTCGCGTCGGATAAATAGTCTCTGGAACAATTCAGAAGCCGAACCTTCTACCGGAACCCTCTTTTCCGTCTCTTTTTGCGACCCCGTTTGCCTGGGCCCCCGTGCTTCCAGGCAAGCTAAGCACGGGTTCTTACCAGGCTTGACATGGCTTCCTTGGTACTGTAGTAATGGCAATGTTGACCCCTCAATAGAAAATCCCACAGATATCCCCAGTGCTTCCTGTCTCACTATGGGGTTTCTTACCTCTAGGTCGTACATCATGATTTCCCTTGGCTACCTCTTGTAGTGGAAGCACTGGGATTCTTAAGGCGGGTCCCCTCGAAGAAAGGCATCCCCACAAAAAAAGGAAAAACCCGCCTTAACAACAACTGCGGGAGTTGATTCATCAGGGATCAGCACTAGCATATTAAACACGTATCCAGCGCAAGCCATCCTGTAAAGCCTGGTGAGACATGTTGCTTGCCTACTATACTAGGTCCTCCAGTAGAGAGGTTAGAATAAGTTGGCACCAAGTTTTTCGGTAGTCTATTTAGGTAGGGGGTTTCCCCTCCCCCCGAAAAAGAAACGGGTGAAAAAGGGCACCAATTGCTGGGGGACCCAGGCTATCGGTGACTCACTCGGAGCGCTTTGTCTGGCCAGCCCTTCGAATCTGAGGCACCCGCTGTTTCAACGTCTGGCTCGCCATTCGGGGCGAGCGGTCGTTGGTCCTCACCGATTTCCTGATCCAAAGATGCATTAGGTCGTTGGCTTAGCAGGTCGCCGTTTAGAGGTCGTTTTGGGCCCTTTGGGGACCTGCTAAATGTGCGACCTGCTAAATGACCCCACTCGCTTTGGGGTCCAAAGCAGTCAAAGGTCAACCTGCTTGACTAAACAGGGACCAAGCCGGAGAATCCAAAACGTCAGATCCAGTCGATTCGCCCGATAAGCAACTCAGTCCAACCACCCAACGCTGCTGAAGATGATA